TTGCCTGCTTGGTAAGGGCTGGATATGCTGGAACAAAGATGTAGCTGGGTTTTGTCCAAAGATGACAGTATGTCAGGTTTGAGTCACTTTTCTTAACGTAGCACAGTGATCAGCCTCTTTATATTTGGTTTTCAGAGAGCACAAGATCAGATTTTCATTGCATTTCTTTTCTTTGCACTAGCAAGGTTCATGGATGTCGTTTAGCCAAATAGGAGCCTGCAAAGGTGAGTCAGAGATACATTGAATGAGATCTTTAAAAAAAGTGTACCACCAATGTAGAGACCAGAACATAGTAGAAAACTAAAGGTAGAAGTGTTAGTTCCAGAACACAACCTTGTATGCTGTTTAGCCCATTGTCTAGAGGTCAGATGATGTGGAGAGTAACTTATTGCTTGTGCAGATGAACAAAAGATGGAGACAGCATGTAAGCATCTGGGTTTCTATAAAAGGACAGAAGTTTAACACAGGTCTTACTAACTTCAATCAGCTTCATTACCAGGCTTCAACATGCTGCTTATGCTGCTTATGACTATCTGAACATTTATAAAAGTGCGGATTTATCTCTTGTGCTCAGTGCCCTTCTCACAACACTCCATCCTCAATGTGTCTCAACAGATATCAGTAAAGGCTATGCCTTCAGTGCTGCATGTTTAGCATTGTCCACATCAGCAGCATTTACTATGCAATATTAGAGTCCAAGAAAATGCACAATGCATTGACTGTCTAGGAAGTCACCATCATTATGCCCACCACAAAAGACTAGTCCTTCTGTGAACATATGAAGGAGATGACTAGTGGCAAGATGAAGCACCCACCTATGTTAGCTATCTTTCACACTTGACATTCCTGACTTACCAGCTGATCCAACTGCTACTGAATAGAGTGATTGGCCCACTAACAATGCAAATGCTCAAGTTTCTCAGACTTGACAAGCATCTCATATCTTACGGCACCATGTCGAAGCAACCACTCTCGCTTTTGATGTTCATGTTCATATTCAAGGATCTTGCCTGCTACTAATTCTGACAGAGCCAATGGTACATGCAGCACAGCAGGTAAGAGCATGAGGCACTTATACAGAGGCTTGCAGACATAAAAGTGCATGTTACTTTGTCTGTGGGTTGGTGTGAAGGTTTATCAGACTGCGCATAAAGCTGAAGGAGCCTGAGCATGAGGTTGTGACAATTTCAGCACAGGAGAGCAACTTAAAAGCAACTCAGAGGGTTCATGAAATCATGAAGACATTGACAAAAGGCCAGCACAGAAAGAAGATCCTTCTCAAAATTGTGCATACTTCTCAGCAGTGTGTTTCTAATGATGGAATGATCTATCTAATGCCTTCCTCTTCCATATTGACACATTTACTGCTGCACCTCAACTTTGAACTTTGCATGTGTACATCCTGTCTCTTTTGCCTGTGCATATCTCTTAGCAGCGTGTCTCCAGCAATGGAGCAACCTGTCTGATGCCTCTCTCTCTTGTGTCAGTGTATTTACTGCTGCAAACATGTCAATCCTTGCCAGTGCAATAAGCAGTCTGATATGGGTGGCCTATTCTGGAATCTGTGCATTGTAAGTAATTCCCTGCATCTCTTTACTGAATTAGATCTAAATGATGCCTCAAATAGCAGAAAACAAATTCTCTTGTAGTTCATGGTAACTCTGGCCCTTAGATTGTTTGATGCGAGAGCAGTGCGAGGTATCACCAAGCTCCTCATCAAACATGTCATACAGACCTTTGGTGCTTTGAGTGGCCTCTCTGTTAGTATTGGTGTTCTAGCAGACATCTACAGGCTAAAAGAGCAAGGCTGGGTGTTTGGCATCTTCTTCGATGTAAGCCAATTTACCTTTGCACCTGTCATGCACTGACTGATATGCTAAGGCTGTTTTATTCAGAATGTCTATTACTCCTACAATCAGCAATATAACTGCAGACTACTATTCATGGAGAACAGTGCAATATAGGCTCTGCAGTGATTGTCTCTTTCCTTCTGACACTTTTCTTTCAGCCTAAGATCATCTGGCCTGTGTCGTGGGCATAGCCCCGGCCTCCTATTTTATTCCCATTTTCTCCAATTTATTCCACGATTATACGACCCTCCAAACGTCGTCGGCGCATAGGCGCCAGTTTACAAGCCATAGCCGCGCGCTAAACACCTCGAGAACGCATCACCGACGGGCACGCATCAGCGCATTAGATGCGCCTGCATCGCCGCCGCCTCGTTGCCGCATCATGCTTCCTCGGTAACAGCCGCACTCTGATCTCCATCGAACATCCGATCCCCGTCGGCCCGACAACGTCATAAGCCATGATACACCGGCCCCGTCTACCTCCGAGTCCGATCGGCAACAGACTTCCGATCCCCGTTGGCCCGACAACGTCATACGGTATGACACACCGGCCCTCGTTTCCCCGCCTAAGTCCCCTAGACACTAGCAGTCGCCGTAGCACCAGTCGCTTATGTAAAGCCTGGTCCGTGTGCAACCTGACTAGTATATAAGGCTCCCCTTTGTCGCTACCTAGCCCCATCTCAACCTCTTGGTTAATTGGGCTAGGTAAGCCTCCACTTGTATCGTAGTACAGATTGCTAATATACTTAGTTAATTGGGCTAGCTGAATAAGCTAACACATTAGTCGCCAGACCTCATCGGCGCCGCCTTCTGATTAGATCCACGCAGTACCCCTCGTGGTGTGTCGACGCAAGTCCACATCAGCCTGGTGCTTGTCACATTGACATTAGTGTGCCTTTCTCTGCCCTTCATGACACCAATCTGCTAATATCAAAGACAGTCAGCTCAACTTATGCCAAGTGCCTCTCAAACCCCATAGTTGTCTCTTGGCACAAATGGCATAGCAGAGTGTAGATGCCCAAAGACCACCTGCACACAATAACATTTGGTAGGCTTGTGCTCATGTCACTGTCAATTATTGGCTTGGGCATCATCACCCAGTTTTGTGATGACAGTGTCAATTCAATCCTGGTAATGCGTGTCTTGTCAATATCTTGCACTCATGCAGTGCTGAGGCCACTGCTGTGAACATGTAAGTTCCAGTTCAGGTGTTTCAGGTGCTGCACTGTTAGACTCACACTGGCATAGAGTGTATTGCAATCTTGTCATTGCCACTGCAGTCAGATTTATTCTGCTCTCTGTTAACACTTTGGGCAGCTTCATTGCTTTCACAGGCACCATCATCATCTCATGGATAGGCTATGGGTATGTCTCTGGGGATATTTTGCTTTTCTCAGGCTTATATGTCAGTAGCAGATTAATGCTTGCTGTCCTTGCATAGGTGTTATTGGCATTGGCACTGTGTTTATCATAGACCACACTTCTTATACATTATCTCCTGATACTTTAGACAGTTGTATCCTAATAGCAACTGCTTTGGTTTGATAATTCACAGGTGTTATACACTAAAACGTGAAGAAGTGCTTCTTTGCACAATGTTTGATAGCTAACTCAGCATCCAAGCTCTTAGATGCAGTGATGGCCCATTCAATGAGAGCATGGAAAGAGTGCAGCTACAGAGGTCTGGTCAGTTGGAACAGGCAGCTAACAAATAGCTTGCTTATGATCTCGAGTTGAAGCTGAGTGAGGGCAAAGATGAAGGCACAATGGGTAAGCCAGCCCTTTAAAGCAATTGCTTCTATTTTGGTGCAGATTGTTCAGTTGTATGCCCAGTTGGGCAACTTGCGTAAATTGTTGCACTCGTCTTGGTACTCATTGAGAACAATTTGCAGGCTCTTCTGATTAACCATAGGTGGCAACTGGAGACTGGCAGACAGTTCAATCTGCATGTAGAAGATGAAAGTGTCAGGTGAGCCATCACAAAAGTATCTAGCAGAGAGAGGGGCCTAGGTGTGACTGCAGTGAGCATTAACAGCTCATAAAAGCTCTGACTGCATGACGGACTGGAACATGCATCACATCAAAGATGCAGCATTCTTAATCCTCAGGAATCAGAGAAGGAAGAGAGTACAGGTTGACCTCAGTAGGTTTGAAATCTTTCAGCCAGATGTTTACAGCTTCTGGGTGGTAGAGCCTAGCATGCTTTGCTTTGAGCTGTTCACTCCTGGGTGTCATGGGCCAAGAGTATGTGTTTGAAATGAGAGGCGGTGCACAGACCCCGAATGGGTTTCCACCAATGGACCAATGGGTTGGCATAATGGTAGCTGATAGTGTAGAAGGTGTGGACGCATTCTGCAGAGCACCATGTTGCATTCTGTGGGCCTTTTGAGCAGGGGTCTAAATTCTAAACCTGTACTCATCAATTTCACAATGAATCCAAGGTAGCCAGGAGGATACATGTAAAATTGCATATGTCCAGTAGGTGCAAGCAGGTGCCTGAATCACACAACTGTGTCAGTTGGTGTCCTGGGGCTGGACATGCTGGATTTGTAATGTTTCATATGCATACTGAGCATCTCTACAGCTGTCACACCAAGGTCAAAGTTTTCGGTGTTCCCGACTTTGCTACATTGGATTCACTGTCTGATTCATCAGCTACACTACAAATCACACGAAAATTGGCCCCGGACAATTTTCTGCAAAACACAGTGAGTATGAACTGAGCGAACTCGAGTTGCATTATTGGCGCTAACGAAGGGACAGGCGTCTAAGTCACGCGACCAGGGATTGCCGAGGTATGGTCGGTGTGGAGGGCGGTGAGTGGTCGACGAGCAGAACCAATCACCATGGAGGGCGTCGATCAGCTGTTCAACGGCTCACCTTATCACACATACTGTACGTGCTCTCACAACCCGACACATATCCGTCTACTCACATCGTGCAGCGCACAACCAGTCTCATGTTTACCCGTTTTACTCATCTCAAACTCATCACCAGCCCTCAGCAGCCGATCCGTCCCGCCATCCCTCCCCAGCTCCCAGTGCTCTTCCCGCTTCGTCCACCCATAGCCTCTTCCTGCCGCAGACCGCCGTCCCGGAGCCGTCGACCGGTCAAGAGCAGTCGGCTGAGCCTCCAGTGGATCAGATCCAGGATGATGCTCCCGTCGACGAAGAGCCGCTTTATGTGAACGCAAAGCAGTATTATCGCATTTTAAAGAGGCGGGTAGCGAGAGCTCGATTGGAGGAAGTGCACAGACTGTCTCGCCAAAGAAAGGTGCGTTCGTTAATATTTGGAAACTCGTCACCATGCTGAACAACGAGCAGCCTTACCTCCACGAGAGTCGGCATAAACATGCGATGCGACGTCCACGAGGTCCTGGTGGTCGTTTCCTCACATCGGAAGAGATTGCGGCACAGAAAACTTCTCAGATACCAGCGGAGCAACCGTCTGGTACAAATTCGCAAGACGGTGATGAAGATGAGGACCACAAGATAGATCAGGATGTTTCAATTACAGTACCAAGCCCTGTGGAACGTTCATCCACCCAGGCCATGGTTGAAATCACTCGCGACGAAGATACTACTATCAACCAGGTGCAGCAGACAAGGACCCCTGCCGTCCAGCCGCTTCTTCACCCCCGCCCACAGATCCAGATCCAGACAATACAACCCCTCCAGAAACCAGATCAACAGATAAACCACTCTATACAGTCCCAATCTACCACAACACACTTGCCTGTCCGATCACCGTTTGGTGAACATGTGCCTATGCCTCACTCTGCGGGTGCTCTGGACATGCTTAGCGCGACATTTCTGCCTCAGTCCCATCCCACTACGCCGACAGCGATCTCCCCTCACAGTGCGATGGTAGACGTAATGTCTCCGTCGGAGCATATGCAGCACGACCACCACGCTGCTCATGCGCATAGTCATGTTCACCCCCACCCGCGTACGCATGACCACCAGCGTCACATGTCGACGGCTTCGACTGCCACAGCTTCAACCTCACAGGCTAGTCCTACTCCTTCCACGCCCGCAAGTACCATTGCCAATGCACGCAATACGTATGCAGCGATGCAAATGCATCATGTTCCCCACCCTCACGCCCACGCCCGCCACCACACATCATATCTGAATCGGGCTGAGCGGTTGTATGCTGCCGCTGCCGCAAGTCAAGGTGGGTGTGTCCTGATGTGTCCTATTCACCTACACGGACTGACCACAGTGCAGGTGCAATGAATGGCATGCGCTTCGATAGCACAAATGAAAGGCAATGACGTGTGCCCTCGTTTATCTAGCAGGCATACCACCTTGCTAAGTTATGTGCTGATCTGCTTTCATCAACCTCTCTTCACTGTTGTAGACATTGCTACTTCTTCTCCTGTTAGCTGTAATCTTGCTTATCACTAGACTGGTTTCGTGGCTTTCCAGTTGCTGGAATGTATCTGCGATTTGAATATATCTATATCTGTTCTATTTCCATGGCATCGTCGTCATAATCATCGTACAATGGGACTTCGTTTACGATTACATCGTCTGACATGTTCCGCACGCTTTGATCGTTCATGCTCAATGTCACCCGCGGCACCTCTACTCTGCCCATGTTCCCCATCGTGAGTGGTGGTGATAATGGCTTGAACAGCACGAGTGCTTTACTCGAGTCCGGCGGAGCTAAGTCTGCCTGGAAATCAGGTTCGCGGTGTAACCTCAGCCTGTCCAGCAGTGCGCCATTCACCCGCACAGACGGCTCATCCGCGGGCTCGTCAACGTCGTAATCGTCCAAGTCAACAATGACGATGCCTGTTTTACAACGGAGGGCTGTGAACTCGCGTGATGATACGAATTTGGCCTCTGCAGTACTCACGATCTTTCTCGGGCTCGTACCACGAGCGTGACTTCATGGTCACGTCGGGAATGTCTGGTGCTGCGGCAGGCGATGTAGGCTCTTCTACGGATCCGGGCAGCATGACGGAGGAGGCATAATGCACCGAAGATTGGTGATATGCATCCCAACTATCGAATGCTTGTGGCTGTGATGCGGGTGTAGCTGGAAAGCCATTTGTGGATTGGGAGCTGAGGTAGGGACAGTAAGGTGATAGGGTTACTTCGGATTGTTGCGCCGGATGCGGCGCAGGGTTAAGAGAGAGTAGGGCGAGACCATTCTCGAGGGCATCGCACCGACGGCGCTTGGGGACAAAAGAATCGGCGTCGGACGAGTCATCGGAGCTATCGAAGTCGACGGTTTTGCGCTTATTCGACGGCATGCGGAACCAGGGATGCATGGAGTGCAGAGGATAAGACCAGTTGGCGGCCATGACGGAATATCAACTAGTTTAAAAAGCGTGGCCAGATACGCCGCGAAAGTTCGCGAAGCGCCGAGGGGTTGCTCTCACTGATGTGACAGCTTTGTAGGCAACTAAGCTCGCGTTGACAGCCAGTGCTCAGTATAGAATAAGAAAATGAAGGCATGTACAGGTAATGTGCGATACAGGCATGAAGAGGAGAACAACAAAACTGCAAGACGTCTAACCACGCTTCTTGGAGACACCGACAGTCTTACCACGACGGCCTGGCCGACAAATTCAGTCACGCAGACAAAAAAGCCAGCTATTTCGTACGAACCAGTTGTCTTGGTGTGCTGGCCACGGACGCGAAGGCCCCAGAAATGACGGAGACCGCGGTGCGCCCGGATCTTCTTCAGACGTTCCAAGTCGTCACGGAGCTTTGAGTCGACGCCGTTGGAGAGAATCTGGCTAGTCTTGCCATCGACAATGTCCCGTTGCCTGTTCAAGAACCATGTAGGAACCTTGAATTGTAGTGGGTTTTGGATGATGGTGACAAGACGCTCAAGCTCGTCCGAGTTGAGCTCGCCGGCACTACAAGAGCTCGAAGTGTCAGCGAAAACTGTGCAGCGTCGCGAAACTGAGTTATCGCACCGCTTATTTAGGTCAACATCCGCCTTCTTGCAGACGATGTTAGCGTAGCGACGACCAACACCCTTGATCTCGGTCAAGGCATACATGACCTTGCGCTTGCCATCGACATTGGTGTTGAGGAGACGCAAGATGTGCTATACGCGGCTTTTTAGTGATAAGCTCACATATTCGTACCAATCTCAACACACTTGAAACTGCTGGTGGGCTTCGGGGACTACAAGAGACATAGCAGGCGAAAATTGGACGAAGAAACCTAAAGGGAAGAGAGAGGAAGTCAGACCATGCGCTTGAGGTTCATCCCACAGCCTCGCATTCCATCCACCCTTTTCATCCCCTCAGCCGCTTCCAAATCGTCGATTCCCATCCTCCACAGCCCCTACGAACAGCGTCTGGCATCCTAGTGTCCCTCGGGACGACAGAATAGCATACTCACCGGTGTCTTGAAGTTCGTCTCTCACTGGATCGTCCTGAACTGGCGACTCGAATGTGAAGAGGCGCTCAAGCGATTTAGGCGCCCCAAGCACGGATCTTCGACTGCTTTGTCTTTGCCTGATCATCTGCACCTCGTCATTGTCAGTTCTCAATTTTCATTTTCTTGTTTACCTTTTCTGCTTCTCTTTTTCACCTGTCTTTCTGTTCTTGGCCTTATCTGGGTCGGCGAGGTATATGATACGCTATGTCTTTAGTGCAGACTCCAATTCATCCGTTCACCGTTCACCATTTCAATCAGTATTTACTTATCGAATACACACTAGGCCGACAAAGAGAAAGAACCATGTAGATAGACTAAACACCGGTCTTCTGCAAATAAAAATCCTGCGCAACCTTGAGCGCTTCTGTGACCTTTGTGCCATCCAGGCCGACACCCTGAGCGCCGTCCACCTTGCCGCCAGCCTTGAGAAAAGTGTAGTTAGCGAAATAATGATGCAGCTTCAACATGTCTGCTTACTTTGCCGCCTAAGACATCAACAACAGCAGTTGCCCACTCCCGACCATCGATACCTCTCGACTTGGCATCTTCTGCGACGAAGTTAGCATGCGCCACTTTGCCCTGCTCAGAGTCGACGCTGAAGACGTAGACAGATTTCCCCAGCTTCTTGGCCTGGAGGACAACGCTTTGTAGAACCTTTGCGTTGCCGTCAACGTCGAGGTTCGCGCAGAAAACCTGAGCGTTTCGGTTCTCCTCGAAATAGGTGATGAGGCTATCAATAGCCTGAAACGACAATGAGATAAACCAGGGGCTGAAAGACCTATTACGTACAGCCTTGTTAGCAGCAGCCTCTTTGTCTTTCTTTTGCTTCTCAAAAGTCTTCCGAACGGTAGAGAGACGCTCGAGGAGTCGGCTTTTGAAGATCAGGGAGATATCCGCCTGGTTGAGCTCCTGCAGACAGCATCAGCTCAACGCAAAGGTACACAAAATAACGCGAAACGAAACGCACTACTTGATAGGCCTTCAGGCCGGCATCCTTTTCCTTGCCTTGCATAACCTCGAGCTGATCCAGGCGAACTTTGAGGCCATCTGCGACTCTCCTGACTTCAGCAGCCTCGTTTCCAGTGACTGCAACAATGCGTCTGATGCCCTTGGCGATGCCAGACTCCTCCGTAATGACGAAGTCCTTGATTTCACCGGTCTTGTTGACGTGCCTATTCACGTTTGAGTGAAAAGGACAACAAAGACGACAGGAAAGCTACTCACGTGCCTCCGCAGAACTCAACACTAGTACTGCGCCATTTCGGGTTCTCGATGTCCTGAACGATCTCATCGACATCGTACTCCAGCGAGACCACACGGACAGGGTCTGGATACGACTCGCCAAAGACAGCGCGGAGGCCAGGGATCTTTTGCGCAAGCTTAAGGTCCACTTCTTTCCCGAAGACCTTGACGTTACGGCGGATCCAGTCCTGGCTCATTGACTCGATCCTCTCAAGCTCAGGAGCGGGAATCTGTGCTTTGTGCGAGAAGTCGAAGCGCAGCTTCGTCGGCGCGACAAGCGAGCCCTTCTGGTCAATATGGTCGCCGAGGGCTTCCCGAAGGCTGTAGTTGAGGACGTGGGTCGCGGTGTGGTTATTACGCAGGGGCCACCGGCGAAGCTCGTCGTATATAGAAACGACCTGATTGCCAATGGACAATGCGCCATACTTAAGCTGGCCAATGTGAAGGACGTAGCCATTGTAAACCTGGACGTCAGAGACTTCGAACTCGGCAACGCCGTCAACAACGATGCTTCCCGTATCATGCTCTTGGCCACCAGATTCAGCATAGAAACTGGTCTTATCGAGTAGTACGCCAAACAGAGCATTTTCCGGAATCTGCTCCGTCGAGGCGGGGAAGGTTTTGTTGTAGTATAACGCGGCGACTCGTGAGTCAATACTGCCGCGCACTGATAAAGACGCCTAAGTGAGAAAGAGTAGATGGATAGACATGGACGCACGGAATTTGGCAGATTCATCGGTCTTAGGCACGCTGATATTCTTCTCAAGCGCAGCGATATCATGAACATCGAGCTTGACAGTCTCTTTGTTTATCTTCTTGATCGCCTTAGAGGCCTCCTTCGACTGCGCCTGAGCAAGCTCAAATTCTTCCTCGTCCACAGTAAAGCGAAGCTCCTCGGCCATGAGTCGCGTGAGATCCACAGGAAAACCATAGGTGTCATAGAGCCGCCAGACATCCTTGCCAGAGAGCTTGGTTTCGCCACGCTCCTGGGCTTTCTGCACATACTGATCGAAGAGTTTTTCTCCTCGATCGAGAGTTCGTGAAAACGACTCTTCCTCTTCATCTAAGATCTCTTTGACCTCGTCGACACGCTTCGTGAGCTCAGGGAAGACACCACCCTAGAGATCGCGCATTAGTAGTGATCGCTTGGTCGGCACCTGCTGCCCGCTGCCTACCATTTGCTCGACAACGACGGGTATGAGCGAAGAAAAGAACGATCCGATTGGGGCACCAAGCTTCTTCCTGGCGTATCGTGAACCTCTCCGCAGAATACGGCGCAAGACGTAGCCGCGACCGACATTATTCGGCACGCCACCATCGCTGATGGCGAAGGTGAGCGTCCTGACATGATCAGCACATACACGGTAGGCAGTATCAATGCCATCAGTGTCCTCTGCACCAAATTTGCCCTGGTACGGACGGACGCCAGTCAGCTCTTGTATCCGCGCGAAGATTGGCGAGAACACGTCAGTGTCGTAGTTGGATATTTTGCCTTGAACGGCCGTCACAATACGTTCAAAACCCATACCAGTGTCGACATGCTTCGCGGGCAAGGGCTTCAAGGATCCATCGTCCTCGCGGTTGAACTGCATAAAAACGTTGTTCCAGATCTCGACAACCAATGGGTCGTCTTGATTCACGAGGTGAGCCACATTCCGCCCACCGACCAAGTCATAGTGGACTTCACTACAAGGACCGCAAGGGCCAGTAGCACCCATCTCTGGCGACCCGTTGAGTTATGACACACGATAGCAAACGACAAAACTAAGCATACCCCAAAAGTTGTCCTTTGCATTCCCCGGCAGGACATGGTCCTCCGGAACGCCTTGATCAAGCCAGAGTTGGCGGGCCTCGAGGTCCGGCTCGAGACCGTTCTTAGAATCGCCTTCAAAGTAGGTTACGTAGAGGCGATCCTTTGAGAGCCCATAAACCTCGGTCAAAAGCTTCCATGAGTATCCAATTGCTTCTTTCTGTATAATGAACCCTTAAGCTGACAGGATGCCGAGAGTATGAAAAAAATACCTTGAAATAGTCGCCGAATGACCAGTTGCCCAGCATCTCAAAGAACGTGTGGTGGTACGAATCCTTGCCAACATCCTCGAGATCTATGGGCATCACGTAAGTCATATCGAGCATTCGCACTTAGCGAGGGGGTGCACCGTTATGTTTTCCTCCGGCGCGGATACACTTTTGAGAGTTGAATGCACGGTTCAACTTGGCCAGCTCAGAATGAGGATCGACGGTTCCGAGAAAAATCGGCTTGAACTATTGATGCTGTTATTAAGGTATCTGGTAGATCGTTGCGACCCAGACGCACTTGATTCATACCAGCATTGGCAAAAAGGAGCGTCGGGTCCTCATACGGTATAGTGGACGAGGACGGGACGAAGGTGTGCTCTCTGTCGCGGAAGAATTTGAAGAACTCCTCGCGAACTCTCGTCGAGGACCAAGAGCTGGACATTCTTGCGACGTGATGGAGGGGATGAGGAGAAAGCGTCCGCGGTAGAAGTGGCACTCTCAGCAAGTATCGCATGCGAGTCAGTAATCCCGAGATCACCACTACTTGGGCGGCCCACGTGGCGCAGGCGCCCAGTCTCCCGTGTTGACACTCGCGCGGAGCCGCTCACCACACCTCCCACCACATTCCTCGACGTCAAAAATGGAGTCCAAGCTGCAAGTCCCGCAAGCTCTGCTGGCTGGAAATTACTTCTTACGCATAACACTTACAGGAAAGCCCTCAAAGTTGTAGACCTCAAAGAGATCCTCTCGTCAGCACAAGTCACCGTCACGGGCAAGGCTAACAAATCAGACCTCGTTGCCAAGATTCTCGCGTCGCCAGAGGCCGTAAAGGTGTATGAGCAACAATATGGTTCTCCGGAGAACAACGACGCGTCGGCATTTGCTGCCTCTCACGGCACGATCCCAACAAGTGGTGTAGTAAGTCCTTTTGGTCTTCTTGTTCCATTTATGTTGACGTGGACATGGAAGAGCGACTCTCAGCCAGTAGAGTGAGTACGCGAAATCGTGTACCGCGACTTGTAACCTACCTCTTCGCGTTTACAGATCTCAGCGAAAGTCTGCTCAGTACATTGAGACCACCACACCTGAGGTGGCCAAGCCTGCAGCGTCAAGTTCAACTGTCGCACCGAAATCTTCAGCAAAGCCAGTAAGTCGTATTCTCTGTGGCCGAGAGAATTTGCTAATTGAGAGCGTAAGGTGTCGAGCGTAGCACCTGCTGCGGCGCAGCCTTCTGACACAGTGGCCATCGTTACGCCTGAAGACCCAGAGCTCGAAAAGCGCAAGGCACGTGCCGCCCGGTTCGGTATTCCACTAGTTGAGCCTGCCCAGTCGAAAGCCAGTAAGGCTGTTGAACAAACGAAAGATGCGAAGAGGACTGAGGACGTACCCATAGGTGTAAGCGATTTCAGCTTCCTGAGGGAGCGCGCTCATTTGTATTATGCGCCCTCAGGACTCTGCCAAACTGGAGGCGCGCGCGAAACGGTTTGGGCTGTCCCAAGCTGTTACTTCCACGGGCAAGCCTGAACTGGCGAAAGACAACATCAATCGCAGCAGAGGCAATAAGCGTTCTGCGCCTGCCGAGACAGTCGACTCAGAAGAGCAAGAGAAGCGGAAGAAGAGAGCCGAGCGTTTCGGCTTTCCTGTGACTTCGGTCAATGCATAGACGTGCCCGCGACCGCCATTTTTGTCCCCGATTGTCTTTCTCCTCTTGCTTGCTGAGCTGGTTATCTGGGATCGCATCCCATTCCGTTGGAGCCGAGCTCTGCATATGTTTCTACATTCTTGAGGCGTCTATAAATCTTCAGCTTGACACAGCTGTCGTTCACCAGGACGGACACCCGTACTCAGACACCTTAGAGCGGGCATGCTGCACGATATGCGGCGATGCAGCAGCTATTGCCTATCGCATCTCCTGATGTGTATACTACTTTCTGGATTGTATTAATCCCGGACATGGCCGTGTATCAGGGTACGCTTATCCTCGGTCCAAGCCTCATGCCTCAGAGTGCGTTCCCCCTAAATATTACAACCGCGCAGCCAAGGATTGGCCGCACAGCAGTATAAAGCGGCCAAATATTGGGAAGCGCTTGCGGCTGATACTGGCACGTAGTACTAGTACGAAGCTGGGTACAGGGTTTGAGGTCGAGCTGAAGAGTATATATGACTTTACGACAAGCTCACGCCCCATGCCTACCGACATGTTCCAAGGCCAGAGAGCTCAATCAGACAATGGCTGGACTGGATATGGCGGTCCTTGGCCGTACACTATTCTCAAGGAGCCTGAGCTTTCGTATCATCTAGAACGCCTGTCTGTCCACCGTACCGTCTGCGACGTCGACGTCGTCAGTTTTCAGCCCTATCCGGCGTTGGACCACAACCAGGACCGCTATTTCATTGAAGACTGGATCGTTCGAGGCCAGACTTGGCGGTTCTTCAGCCTGTTCGACGGTGAGGAAAGTTCTAAACCGTAGCACGATTCATTTCTGAAGCCGTAGGCATTCAGGCCACTCGGACAGCTATGCTGTCGAGCACGCTGTACGACAGCTCCCGTCTGCCATCAAGCAGTCGTTAGCATATAAGGCGGAGACGGGGCAGACCAGCAACCCTGTTGAAATCGAGACGCTTCTACGGCGGTCCATCTCGACGTTTGATAACGAGATGACTCAAGAACTTCTTGACCTCTTTCCCGGCGGCGTCGAGGCCATCGCTGAGATGTCCGACGATGAAATTCGCGCTCTAGTTGTCGTAGATAGCCGTCCTCATCCAGTCGTCGCGCGTTGTATGGGTGGGACGACTGCTCTCGTTGCTCTCGTGGACCCTGCTCGTAATCTGTATGTCGCGAGTCTGGGTGATTGCGTGGCATGTGAGGATTGTCAATCTGTGGAAGAGACTTTATTTGTAACTGACATCTCTTTCTTAATACTAGTACTCGGTCTCCGAGCAAACGGCGAGCAGTGGACAACTACTATCTTGAGCAGTAACCACAACGCAAGCGATGTCCAGGAAGCACAGAGGGTCAGGAGTGAGCATCCTGGAGAGATGGAGAGTGTGGTAAACAATCGCGTGTGCGGCGTAATTGCTGTCACCAGAGGTGAGCCTAGGGCAGACTCAAGCAAGCGTGAGCTCATGAGACGGGGTAGCAATCGGAGACCATGCTTTCAAACTTCCCATGGCTTATGCCGACAGAGTCTTCAGACTTGCGGATCCGGGGGCGTATATCCTCAAGCGACTTGACGTTCTGCGGCCCCGCCACCACACGCCTCCTTACCTTTCCAACACGCCGGACGTCCAGCATATTTCTCTCTCAGCATTCTCTTCCCACGAAACTGTGCTAATCTTGGCTACAGACGGGCTTGTTGATATTTCCAAGGCGCACGAGAAGGCTCTGTCGGATGTAGCGCCACATTGGGTGTCAGCGGCGTCGAGAAGTATGGACAACAAGCCGGCGCTGCGGCTTCTCCGTGCTGCCATGGGAGGCGAGGACACCAAGCAAGTCTCGTTCTGGTTGACGGTCGAGATGGACGTTCCCTGGGTAGATGATACGACGATCCTTGTAACTCGTGTCTAGTCAGTACGGTTGAACGTCGAGAGTGTTTAATCGAACAGGGTCAGAGTAGGCGGCAGACCCACGTGGGAGGCGCATCAGTCGGCGGATCGGTAATCATCATCAGTCAGCAGACCTTCTCGATTTCAAGCAGCTACTGCTTGCTCTCATCACCTCTCCCCACACCACCGCTTGCGCACAGCGCAAACATGTCTCTAGTTGCACCCGAACACGCAGAGTATTCCAATCATGGCCTCTTCACCTGTCTCTCGTGCTCTATCGCATTTCATTCAGCTGATGATCAGAGTAAGCTTGCTGTAGTTCTGAACCGTGCTCCTGGCCTAATGCGCAATAATGTAGGAGAGCACTACCGCTCCGATCACCACAGGTATAACATGAAGCGTCGTGTTGCCGGTCTTCCTCCAGTCAGCGCAGAAACATTCAATCAGAAGGTGCTCGAAAGGAGAGCCGAGACTGCTATCATGGCCTCGCTAAAGGGTTCCACTTGTCAAGTGTGCAAGTAAGTGTGTATACATTATCCTAAGGGGGATACAGCACTCATGTACTTCTCCAGCAAAACATACACAACTGAGGGCGCATATCGCTCGCACGTCAACTCCAAGAAGCACAAGGAAAATGAGGTGAAGGCGGCTCAGCATGCTTTGCGTCCTCCTACTCCCAAAGAGGAGCCTATCCAAGTAGCCGACGCTTCCTCGGTCTCTGCAGATGCTGGGGCCGCAGCAGCTCCTGTGGCAGCTGTCACCGAGAAAATGGCGTCCGTAACTCTCTCAGTCGACGCTAACGCTACCGAGGAAGAAGTGACTCGTACTATTGAAGAGAAGATTGCCGCTGCCCGATCCCGCTTGCAGCTCACTCAATGTCTGTTTTGTACTCATGCATCAGACTCATTGGGGGACAATCTTTCGCACATGTCCGTCGCACACTCATTCTTCATCCCCGACGCGGAGTACCTCGTGGACCTCGCAGGGCTCATCACCTATCTCGGCGAGAAGATCGCCGTAGGGAATGTTTGCATCTACTGCAATGGCAAAGGCCGCGAATTTCGCACGCTTGATGCAGTACGCAAGCATATGCTCGACAAGGGCCACTGCAAGATTGCATACGACTCTGAGGCGGAGCGGCTAGAGCTCTCCGATTTCTACGACTTCACGACATCTTATCCGAATGCGCAGATGCGGAAGAAGATCAAGAAGTCTGCCCAGCCAAAGGTCGAGGATGAAGCAGACGCGGAGTGGGAGGACATGGACGAGGACGAGGATGAGGATGCAGACGAAATTGTCGAGGAAGAAATGTCTGCGGATGAGGACGACACATCTGACGAAGATGGCCTGCCTGACAACCAGATTACCTACGGCGACTCGCACTTTGAGCTCGTATTGCCCTCGGGCGCGCGGATAGGCCACCGCAGCATGAAGAGGTATTATGCACAATCATTCCACCCGATACGTACCAAGCCAGAAGATCCGAACTCAGGTCGCGCACTTGTTCGCAAGCTTATCAATGACAAGAATTCTGCGCTGGTATCAAGGAAGGGTGGCTTTGGCGCGTTTGGCGCTGGTACAGACGTAGTCAAGGCTCGCAACCGTGGCGAGGCTCGTGAAGCCGGCAGGCACATTAGGGAGTTCCGTGATCAGCAACGGCGGGAGCACTTCAAAACTAAGGTTGCCTTTATTCACAACAGCCAGAAGCACTTTCGAGACCCACTGCTCCAGGTATGTCCCTCAGCCTTATCGTCATACACATCATTGACTTTCCCTTCCAGTAATCTTGTTGAACACATGTATATCCTCATTATTTTGTGTTCATGTCTAAGTCTACATCCAGCTTGCATGTGCCAGTCTCCATATGTGTCGATTAACAATAAAGAACGGCAGTAACTTAGTGTGACAGAGTTTCATGCCATGTACGGGAAAGGAGAGAAGGGTCTGAAGGTCAACCTCGTACATGAAAAGGGGTGGTATAGAATAGAAATACGATAGCATGAAGAGTAGCTCAACGCGGTGAACAGATCAGAGGACTCGAATAAGGACAAAGACCGGTCCGCTCTAATAAATATATGCCGCGGGGACGACGCCTTCTCTACCTGTCCTGGTATCTCGTGCGTACCACCACCTGCGAAGCTACGTCAGTACACATGGATTGGCGAAAGGATAACAGAACGAACGCAGTATCACGGTCATCAAGTATCTCTATCTCCTGTCCGGCGGTCACTGGGAGCTCGCCCTCTCCCGCTCCATCAAATGAGTATCGTGCATGCGCAGGTCGACTTGCTTCTTCGCCGCCCATGATGCCGCCGATGGCGTCACTTGGCGTTTCCGCACGCGCAAAATTGCTCGCATCAGGACCGAAGGGATCAGACGTCGTCGCGCCTGCGACGTCTTTCTCGCCGTCGTTGTGCTGTGGGTACGGGCTTGCGCCGATAATAGTGTTGCGAGCGGCGGCATTGATGTGCTCAAGGAGTGAGGATGGGCGATGCGTGGTCGAATCGTCATCTTCGACTTCGTTTGGGTCGAACTTCGAGCTATCATCCTTGCGCGAGAACAGCGTCCAAAGAATGCCGATTAAGCAGAGAAGGAAGACAACGCCAGCGGCTATGGCGATGGAGATGAGAATGACAATCCCAGTAGCCAAGAAGTCTGTGGACAAAGTGTTAGTATGGCTATCTCGATTATAAAGAAACGGGGGTAAACTTACGACGCTGCGTGAAGCTGAATGTTGAGAAAGAGTAGAACAAAGAGGCCACGATACCAGGAGTCCCAGAGGAACTCGTGGATACAATATACGGGATGATTTGTTGTCCATCGAACAATGCAGACGAGGCGTTGCCAAAGCTTGGGTCGGAAAGCGAACCGGATATCCATAACATACGATCAGGCTCTACAATGCCGTTGGCGGGGTGGGTGTCCTGCAGAGGAACCATCACAAGCTGCGAAAAATCGGTAGTTTTATCGAAACTGGACCCTGCAGGACTGTCAATACGTTCCCAGAGTTACGAGACACAACAAGACTAACCAACATCGTTCCAAGACTTCCCGTTCCAGAAGGACAGGAACGACACTGAACCATCCGTGGATTGTCCAGCAGCAAAAATACTGCTCGAGTTGCCGTCGTTCACCCCCATTGCGGTAACAGGTCCAGGCAAGTCACTCGACGAGCCTACTGCAGACCAGGTGTCATTGGAGATCGCGAATTCCGCGACGTTGGAAGGGGTGCCATCCGCAAGAGCAAGCGAGCCAGCGATAACGATAGTATCCAGGTTGTCCCCGGCGTATCCAACAGCCGCAACCTCACCCTGTACCCCGTTACCTAGAGCGCTCCATGTTCTGCTCTGCGTGTTATAAGCACACACCGCTCGGCACGGAGTTTCGCCCGCCTGCGCAAAGCTGCCTGCGACAATGAGCGTGTTCGCCTGCGACGGGCTCTGCGTAGTCGAACGCACAACGACGGTTGAGCCCGAGTTCTGGAGCGCCTCAGCCCCAACGGTATCCCACTGCTCAAGCGCAAGGTCGTAAGCTGCGAAGCCGTCGAACACGGTGCCCTGCACGGTGAACTCGCCACCGATGTACAGCTCGTCGTTCACCACGAGGACTGTGCGAACAGAACCATTCAGTGCGTTGCCCTCCAGAGCGGAGATCGCCGCCGTAACAGGATCATATATCGCAATGTTCTGTGACGTTCCGCCCGAGTTGGATATGAATGAGAAGTTGCCGCCAAGAATGACTACTTCGCGCGAGGAGCTTGTGTTGGTCCAGTATGCCCCGGTCAAAATGGCCGGTGCAATAGCGGGGGCCGTGGAGGGAAGAGGTGTAAGCGCGGCGTCTATGGTACTTTGCCTCTTGAAAAGTGCGGTGATGCGAGGAATCCAGGCGATGACGGAGGACGAGTGACTCGCGCTATGGTGCCTCTTTAGCTTTGCCACGGCGACAGAGGTGCTATTGGGGGATCCGGGGTTATCTAGCTGCACATTGAGCGGGGTCACCTGCGGAACACCGTTGGTACTGGCGCTGTCACCATTTTGCAGCGTCACGAAGCCAGAAGCCCCGAACTTCAAAGCAGCGGCGACGTTGCCCGCGAGCATCTGCCCTTGACTCTGTCCTTTCGCTGGCGTCGTACCATTACCGACGAATGTCATCTTGCCCGCTAAGAATCCACCGGAGTTCGCCCAGCTGTTGCTGGTCGTGTTCCACATGGCAAAGCCGGAGGCGGGATCGCCACCAATGATATTGCTGAAATTGCCAGCAACAAGGAGCAGTCCATCCTCGTCGATTGCCAACGACTCCACGGCCCCATCAAGACCAGCCTGTAGTGGAGCCCATTGGTTCGCTTGGACATCGTAGGCAGCTACACTCCGGAGCTTGCCTTGAGTCGACGACGAAGACGTATCGCTAAAAGATCCGCCGACGAACAAGGTGTTGTCATGCGCGACGAGTGAGAAAACAGGTCCGTTGAGACCGGTGCCCGAAAGAGCGCTCAGCTGACCGCCATTATACGAGATGATGTTGGAAGCACCGGAGGCGCTGCCAGAGGAGAGATTGAACTGGCCGCCGAGGAAGAGCGCGCCTGACGGGTGCTGTGTTACAGTCCGAATAGACATTTGCGAGGACTGAGCGTCACTTGAGCCGATCGCGTTAAACAAGTCGAACGCGACAACGTCCAGGAGCGTCATGGACGAGTTCGGTAGGATACCGCTCGCGTTGACCGAGGAGCTGTTGGCCAACGGCCATTCGAAAAATCCAAAACCGGTAGCAAGACCCTCTCCAGAACTATTCCCAGAAGGTGGACCTACAGAGGTCGTGCCCGTAACGTTCGCGCTCCTCAGCACGAGCTGCACCCTGTCCGCTACAAGTTCGTATTGGCCGTTCTGTCCGTCGCCAATAGGCTGATCCGCAAGCTGCATGTTCACAGTCATCGAGAAGCTGTTAGAGGTCGGGACAACAGGTCCACTATAAACCGTGAAGTTCTGGTCCTCGGTGTTCTGTTGTGATATCGTCTGGACGCTCGGCGCCTGGCCGCCACCTGGGAACACAGTAACCGTGACCGACGTGCGCATCGCGCAGTCTTGGAGGTCCGTGCAGCCAGGGACGAGTAGGTTCACATCGTAGATCCCTGATGCAGATACATACGGCATCCAGGTGAACGTGGGACCCTGGTTTGCAGGAGTGCCAACGTTAACGTCTGAAACTAACACTTCCTGCGTTGTGCCAGCGATGGTGGTTGCCGCGTCCTTCTCAACCCAGTTGCCCGTGCGAGTAGCGTTGGAAGCGCTGGGAGCAAAACATGACTGAGCATTGTCACTTGGAATGGACGACGCGAACGCCCCGGACGATAGGATTTGTAGGATGTGGAGACCGGCACCAAGGCCGGTCCATTCGGAGATCGTGAGTTGGAAGCCGGTGATGTCTAGCGACCCGTCGGTAAACAGGAAGTCTTGGTACGGGATCGAGGGATCAGTGAGGAGCGGGCAAGGACCGGAGCAGGTCTGATTTATGCCGGTCGAAGGGTCGAGGTATTGAAGTTCCCTGACTGTGTTGTCTGGGATCGTTGTTACACTGAGCATCACGTTAATGAACGATTATCCCCGGTTGAACGACGGAGGACGCACCTGAAACCAGTGGTACCACGACCTTGCTGGAAGGTATTGCCAATGCGGATTCCGCTAGCACTCAGGAAGGTAAACTTCCGAACGGTAACCACAGCCCCAGTGCCGTCTTGAGCAAACCAGCTGTTTCCTGGCCCATCTGCGCCTGCTGGGCACAGGACGTTGTCGATGTTGTTGAAACCGGCTTGGGTACTCGACGGCAGTGCCTCTATTTGAGCATCGCCCAAAGGAACGGGAACAAGAGATGAGGAGAATGGGGTGGCGCCGGCGGAGAAGGGAACATTGGGATTGTTGCTCCCGTTAAGCACTAGCGAACCGTTCCCAAAGGCAGTGATGAAGGAGCCAGAGAAGAACAGGCTTGACTGAGAGGAGTTCGTAGCAATGGACAGGACTTGCGCGCCGGCCCCCGACAGACCGCCGAACGGTGACGCAGTCCATGACTTGGACTGCGTGTTCCAGATGGCTACAGCCGAGGCGGGAGATGTGAACTTGCCTCCGACCCACACGTTGTTCTGCGAGGCGTCACAGTATATGGCATTAACTTCTCCATTGGGCCCGTTGGGGTCCAGAGACGAGAATGCATTACTGGAAGGTTCATAAGATGCAACATTGATGGCAGAAGCTCCGCCGATGGAGGTGAAGCTGCCCGCAACGAAATAGGTGTCTCCCAAAGCGCAGCCAGCTTGGATGGTGCCTCCCGGGTTCGTGGAAGCGATGTAGAAGAGGGAGCCGCTATTATTTCTTGAAAGGAGAGACGAAGTGGAAGGATCGAATGTAAGGGAGGAGGAAGAGTTTTGAAAAAAGTCGAGACCAGCGAATGCACCTGCAAGACCGACCTGGCCCATGCGGTTGAAGTCGACGAGTGGGAGGCCGGCCATTGCGAGAGATGGACATAGGAGCAGAAGAAGCAGTAGTATCTGGCGAGTCATGACGACAGCATAAGCCAACTTGCTGAGGGGTATAATCGACAGCGACAAGACAGCCGGTCGTTCGTCGTACGCGTGCAAGCCCGGCCTCAACACGCGACAACCGACCTACACAATGCGCTGATTTAGGCGCCGCCTCGCCCAAAAATTCCTGCATTAAGAGGGAACCGAACCCCCGGCGGGTCGATGGCAACGACCCAGGCACTACCCAAGCGTTTAACGGGCGGCTGCTTATTGAACAACCGCTCAAGTGTGCTTTGCCCTCGCGGCAATGTCGTGATTTTGCTGTTTACATCCTTAAGCCACTTAATCGTCTGTAGAACTCCGTCCGACGCCTTCATGAAGGTCCATTGTACGTCATGCTTATGTGGCGGCTCGAATTTCACGACAATGTATGGAGAGGCGATAGCTTGGTTTGTGCACCTCATTCAACGAAGCACTATGTAATTCATCCTTGTGGGGCCAAAGGACTGAAATTGGAGGGAAAGAGAAGAGGGAATTAACTGCCGCTCCTCTGCAATTAATATTCAGGGTATGCAGCCCAGTGGATGTGAACAACTTATTGAAGTGCATGCAAGGTCCGTATGCAGAACACAAGCTTCTCAACGATCTTTGACTGCTAAATCGGCAAGGTCTGGGCTCCCACCAACAGGATGCAAGTGAGCAGAGTGCTGTTCGAACCGCCTATACGAAGAGTCCTTTAGTATGTGCATTAACCAGTCGAGCAAGGGGCACGCACTGGGGAAATCTAAACCGGTGCACGGGTGGCCTCCGCGCATCCGCAACAATTAACATCTCCTGCGCCCCCTGAGCCTCAAGGGTGAGGTGCTTGATATTGATCTTTTCCCAAGCCTCCTTCGGGATTCGATAGTGGTCGATTAGCCGCTTCACGTAGCTGTCATCCTCCGGTGACGGCGCGAACTTGTAGAAAGCGGAGGCAGTGAGACCAGCAAGGGCCCAGCCAAGCCACACCTTGTTTGCAAAAGCTACGGTGCGCGCATCAATGAGGTTGCCTTGTTGTCGACCACGCCAGAACCACGTACTTTCCTGCGGATAGACAGTAGTATCTTCATGATGATGCTCCTCGTGATGATGCTCCTCATGATGTGTGGAAGCGTTGCGCCTTGGCAGAGTCGAGAGCAGTGCCTGCTTTTGTCTGGCAGTGGCAGCCCTCAGAAGTGACATGGCGTCGAAAAGTTGAGGTGGTGGTTAGAGTACGCCCCCGCCCGCGTTCCTGCCCGGGACGCTTATGTAAGCTCGCCCGAGTCGACGCGGAACCCAGCGTACAGCTTCCCGACCACCATACTAGCCCATACTTTTGCACAGGCAGTCTCTTCAATCACCTTGGGCCCGCAATACTTTAACCTGGAAGCTGGTCTTCTCGCGATAATCACATACACCGCCTGCGCTGTGACCAACATTACTAGCACTACTTTACGAACAACTTTCGACTTCGGATACTCGAATCTCCTGAGACTCGCACGTACTGTATCTGCTACCTTCCACGCCTGGTGCCATGGCCTCCTTGTCGAATCCTTTACCTATTCTTCCTCTACGCATCCCTTCGCCCCTTCTCTCTGGAGCCCTTACTGATGATCTCACGGCGACACTTGTAGCTCGAGGGATCTTTAATCCTTTGCCCAGTCTGTCTTTCGCACCTACAACCTGGCCTTCCTCGAAGTCGTCCACCTTGCCCGTCAGCAGTAATGTGAACAAGTTGCTGCCCTCGCTTCCCAAACCGCCCATCCCGCCTAAGCAGATCATTGCGCTGCTCGACCTGCTCGAAAAGATGGATAGCGACGTAACAAAGGAAGTCGAACGCGTTCGACAAAATATTAAGGAGGTGCGGGCGATCACGCAAGCGTTTAGGGACGAGCGGGAATTACGTCGCGAGCAGATCGTGAGGCGGAGGGAGAGGGAAGAGAAAGATACTAAGCGTCCAGATGACGAGTTCTGGCTGAATGTCTGAGCGAAGGCTGTATATTGCGCACCGTAATAGACCTCACAAGCGGCCTATAGCTACATGCCACCATACCACGCTCCGTCTCTACTCTGTCCCCTCCGAGTGCGGTAACTAGTCCGTGCGGTCGTGTTCAGTCGCCAGCTGTCTCGGATACCTGGAAACCGAGCCGATACATACGCATTTGTCGAAGTATTCGCGTCAGCCCTGCCCGCGAGGCCCATAACGACAGGTTCTACTAGGTTCGGTTTGTTTAGCCCAAGCTCAGGCCCGTTAGACGCACCCCTTACCGTCCCTCACGTATATATATGGAAAGTTGTGGGCCTGCTGACCCGGATCCCTTCTCCCTATCCGTCACTGCCTCCCGACCTCGCACTATACTATCCCTGTTTCCCTTCTGCTATCACGATAATGTGTGAGCATGCAATGTACAGATGAGCTGAGGCCTGCTCACGATGAGAGGAACCCACAGCTGCCGTCGAGAGTAACACAGCCACTGACGCCACGAGGCCGACGCCCGAGCGCAAGCCATCCGTTGACCCGCACACTGCTGAGGCCCTCGAGAAGCATCTCAGCCAGCGCCCCGACAAGAAGGATCTTGTCGGCCGCAACATCCTCAAAGGTACGCAGACATTACACTTGAGGTTGTCACCATGTCGACAAACGATTTTCGCAGACGACAAGGTTGCGCCTTCGCTCCAAGCTGCGAAGGAAAAGTTGGAAAGATCCCAGCTCGAGGTACAGCGTTTACCAGTATGAGTTATGGCAGTATGACTGGAGCTTGACTGCTGTAGGACAAACTGGGACACGCTCTCCTTCAGCGTCCCAAACGCGAGGAACTCGAGCAGCAAGGCATTCTTGGTGTGTATCAGTTATATAGGCTATGTCACTTCCCCGGATACACTAACGATCCCTCGCACAGAACCAGAAGGGTCCGCTCCGACTACCGCATCGGCCTGAGTCTATCGGAGTTGTGGGATCCGAGTACCGTAATATAGTCGCACGGCGTTTCAGACAAGAATGGCGGAGAATTAGGGGGATGTATTCTGGAGCGTAACGAGCCTGTCAATATTTGTATACTCCGAATCGTAACACAGAAAGCAAGACGCACCTAGTTTTGAATCGTGGTGAAGTCATTAATCGTGATCTCTACCGCTGCGGTTTCGAATTCGTTCCCTCATCTCCTGCGCGGCACGCTTCGTCCCTGCGCTGCCGGCCCACCCGCGACTTCGTAACCAACCGACCAGCCTCGGTGTGACGGCGGCGGTAAGGCCAACCCGGACTGGCAGGAACAGGGTCTTGTGGATGGTGTACGCAAGTACGACCATCGCCCAGATACCCTCTGAGCCTCCGCTGCCTGCATGTGACGCGCTGTCCATCTCGTCCCTCCCTGGCTCTGCGGGTCTTGACGGGAGCAGCCCAGCAAAGACTTCCTTGGCGGATACTGCAACTCGGGCAACGTGTTCGGCGCCGAGAATATTCACCGCCGCAAAGGCGACAGTGAAATCTGCGACGGATAGCAGAAAGTATACGCCGAGGGCGTACCAGCCGTAGGACTTGATTAAGTGCTTCAGGCGTTGGGAGAGTGTTGCATCTGGAGGAAGATTATTATCGGGGCCCGGCGAGGAGTCACGGGATGATGATGAAGATAGTCGCGAAGAACTGTGGTGGAGGAGACGTGTGCTGACGCGACCGCCTGGTCTTGTGAGGGTGATTTGCGGCTCTGTTGCAACGGCGAGGCGGGTGATTGGAAGGAGCGGCCGTGATACTCGGGGAAGCAGCGAGCGGAGTACAGGTATACGGAGGATGATATTTCTGACCATTCAGAGCGCAATATGCTATACGAGCTGGAGGAGGGTGTCGACGACGAAGAATAACCGGAGACTACTCGCAGACGCGTTGAGGCGGCATTCGCGCTCGGCAGCTTCAAGGCGCCTCGGCAAAGTCCGTGTGTAAGTTTGTATCGATATGTACGAAAGAGTATGCAGAGTATCATCTCTCCTCATCTTCGCCCTTTTCATGCATCCACACAACCCTCACTCTGAACCATACGAGTCTTCACTGCGATAGCATCCTCGCATCCAGCTCGTGTGCGTATGGACCTTGTTGACACCAACGATGGCTACGGCCCCTTTGAAGGCCCCGAGAAGCTGCTCGAGATTTGGTTTGCCTCCTCTCCGGCCGACCTCCCAGACGTGTCTGAGTCTGTCAATGGCAAGTTTGGCCTCAGAAAAGTACCCAGGGCCGTGTGGGAGGAAATGCTGGACATCGTCAAGTGCAAGATTCTTTCCCACATCGAGGGGCACGAGATGGATGCCTACCTCTTGAGGTGAGCTTGCCAGCCCTTTAGCATCTAGCTGTTCGAGCATCAAACCCTCCTCCATATCACGATCGGCCCCTCTACTTAGTCGAATTCCAACTCTTCTGACGTATTTCCCTCTGTTAACCACGATGTTACCTTGCAGCGAGTCTTCGTTCTTTGTGTCCCCACACCGTCTTATTTTGAAGACATGTGGGACGACACTCAACCTTCTCGGTCTTCCACGCATGCTCGAGATTGCAAAAACTCACGCCAATCTCACCGCGGTTTATCGGTGTTTTTACTCGCGCAAAGCATTCATGTTCCCGGAACGACAGCGGGGCCCGCACCGCGACTGGCGCGCAGAGGTCGAATTCCTCGACCAGATCTTCCCGAATGGTGCTGCCTATACTGTCGGAAAGGTTAATGGAGACCATTGGCTTCTCTACATCACTAGCCCGGACGAGGACCTTGCCTCGACCGCGCCGAACTCTCCTGCTCCTGAGGATGTGCCTCTCACAGAAGCTGACGAGACTCCTGCAGCAGAGGCACAAGCAGAGGACGACGAGCCTGAATGGATGAGCTACGATTACACTATCGAGATCCTCATGACAGAGCTGTCGCCATCTGCTCGCGCGAAGTTCAACCATGCGTCCGCTCTTGAAGAGGTCGAGCACAACCCAGGGCAGCATGCTTTAGACCTTTCTTCGTCTATCGGCATCACCGATCTGTTCCCCCGCCCGCTCACTACCCTAGATGCTTACTCGTTCACTCCATGCGGTTACTCCTCCAACGCTCTGCTCGAGTGGCGCGACGATGCCGGTATGGACCCGGTTAAGAATGGGGAGGGCTACTACACTATCCACGTTACTCCAGAGGATGGATGGTCGTACGCCAGCTTCGAGTGCAACGTCCCCATGCCCACTGTCCCTACTCCGCAGCCGAGCAAGATTCCCGACCTGAAGACGCTAATCCGTCGAGTGGTCAGCATCTTCCAGCCTGGTCGGCTGACTCTAACCTTGTTCGTTTCGAGTGAGGGTAACGCCAATGCCGAAGAGGAGGAGGGGGAGAGTGCCGTGGAGGCGGCACAGCGGGCGTTCAAGACTGCGCTGGTATCGCCCAAGGGCGTCAACAGCGTTGCAGCCACTCGTGCAGAGGGCGGGGCGGAGGCAGGCGCGGGGTTCCACGGAGTGTACAGGAGGACGGATAAAATCAACTATGAGTTCGGAGGATACGAACTCGCATTCGCCAGCTTCGAGCTGCGTCCGTGAAAAGTCTGGTTTATCTGGACGTTGGCGTTACCACGCACGTACCTGTGTATCAAAAAGGATTTCGTGGCCAGTGATACTATGTATCTGCTCTATCTCTCTAGCGATGTACCCTGGTGTAATACTAGCTTTTTTGATTGTCGCGCCCGACCTGTTGTGTGCGATCGGGGCCGCCCCGCGGGGCAAGCATGAGGGGGCGACGGAGGCCCATGCTAGCGACAGTGCCCTGCGCCTGTACGCCAGTCGCTGTCCGGGAGCAGTCCAAGCAATAGAATCTGCCTGCTGCGCTTTCATTTGGGAACAAGCTCTTGTGCCCACGGTCCAATGTTGTTGTGAGCTGTGGCCGTTCTTTCTTCTGAACCACTGAAACTATTTATGGCAGGTCGAGGGCGATCAGCACCCACCGCGAGCAGTGCTCGTCTCGAAGGCTGCTCCGAGCCTTAGCCCGCCGCCAGTAACGTGGAGGTCATTGCACATCCCATGCGAGCCCAGTTCGAGCTTCTGCCTCGGGAGACGAGTATCCGGTGAGTCCCTATCACCCTCATCAGCACGGTATCGCTACCCCTCCTTCGCCCGGTCGCTCACATTGTACGGCAGACGGAAGAAATCCCAGCTGCCCCCTTTTTTCCCTTTTCCTACAGCTAGCTTGTCCCATTCGTCATGATGCATGCCCAGGCATGCTCACTGGCTCCTGCACTCGGTTCGGACGGCTATCTACCCTGCCCTAGGGAATCCCCGCGGTTCGGGCGTCGTCTCCGCTGCCAGCTTGTCACATTCCTGACTATTCATCGCTCGCCCAGCGCTCTCAAGATGCCATCATCTTCTTCGCCATGTTAAAAAGACGGACGCTCGCGGCACGCGTTGTTGCACGGGGCAGTGCACAGCTGCCTCGTACCGTGCATCTCGCCTTGCCTAGCGACCTACCCCATGGCGCGCCAGGTCGTGCAGCTGCCCCCCGCGACGTCCGCAGACAGGCGGCGCGCACTCGACGAAGTCAAGGATTTTGCCGTCACCGACATGGGCTACGGCGATGAGGGCAGGTGGACATACAAGCTCCTGTACGAGCCGGCCCTCACGGACGAGCTGCGTCGCCTTGCAAACCCTCGCAGTACAGCAAATATCGACAGCGTTACCTTCCAGCCGTGCAGGAGTTACGAGCAGCGGAGTCAAGACCGCTACGTCGTGCAGCGGTGGGATGTCGGGGGTAGCGTCTGGGTCTTCACTGGAATATTTGACGGTGCGCACCGATGGGCACGCCCTAGCCCTAGCCTTGTTCCACTGACGCTTCTATATGACGCCACACAGGCCATGTCAATCATGACACGGTGGAGTACGCTACCGAGAAATTACCGCCTCTAGTTCGTACGTCGCTGGAGGGTCTCCTGGCGCAGGCGACATCACCTTCTCCCGCGCGGATTTCTGACTTGCTGTCCCAGGCCATTGCGGAAGTCGATTCAGCCATCATGTCGGACTTTCTGTCTATGTTTGCCCAGTCGAACGTTGACGTGTGCAATGCTCGCCCGGAGTTCATGAGGCCATTCATCAACGATCACACGAGAGGAGGCAGACACTATCAGAGGGTCTCGTGTGCACTTGGTGGGACTACCGCGCTCCTCACATTATACAACGAACGGCGCGGTGACCTGTGGGTTGCTAACGTAGGTGATTGTTGTGCGGGTAAGTAGCCTAGATGCTTTCTGATCGGCATATAAAGCTCATACAAATCGCAGTGCTTGGAACATGGGATCGGTCACGGTGGTCCGCGACATTGATCAATTCGATTCATAACGGGAACAACGCCACCGAACTCAATCGCGTCAGGTCTGAGCATCCACCACAGGAGCGATGCGTCAAAGATGAGAGGATTCTAGGATGGCTGGCACCAACACGAGGTAACCTTGCCGTTCAACAAACCTGCGAAGGTGTACTGACAGCTCTTTGCGACAGCCTTAGGAGATTTTTGGCTAAAATTGCCTCGAGTGTACACAGAAAATGTCTTCATTCACTTCGATGGAATGAAGCGGGAGTCGCTACGTAAATACCTCCCCCGACTGCAGACCCCGCCGTATGTTTGCGCCAAAGCCGACGTCTACCATCGGCGGGTACGCGGACGCCAGGGCGGAGCCAGCCCGTGCGATGGATTTCTCATCACCTGCACCGACGGGATGCTCGACCTTGCGCACTCAGAACCTCTACAAATCTCGCAGCAGCTTATTGACGGTTGGGTAGGCGTTATAGGACGGGCCTTGCAAAAGAGGCACGCGCATCCACCAAACCTCGCGCTCGCACTGCTACGCGAGAGCGTTGGTGGCGAGGATGCGGAGCTGGTGTCACGCAACTTGACTGTGGAGATGGACGAACGCTGGATGGACGACACGACGATCCTCGTGCAGCGCTTCACATGAACGGACATCAGCGGAGATAACTGGACTCTCTCTCTCTCTCTATATATATATATATATGTAGACAACCATACAAAGCGCACATACATTGTACAAGGGTGGTATATATTAGTACACCTAGGAGGAGAACCAAACAGCTCATGCGTAAGTACTATATATAATGAAAAATGAACAGGACCCCAGTCAACGTACACTCCCTATACAAAATAAGCATGGTATGGATACCGGTAAATAGGCCTGAAACATAGTGAGGTGTCATCGCTTGGTGGGCCTGGACGAAGGACCTGGAAGGTCGTCCTCAACGGCGCCAACACTACCTGGCTTCAGCGTCTGACTTGTAGTTTTTGCACGCATCTTGCAAAGAGGGCATAGTCGCGTAAACATCTCGACCATGGGCCATGTGATGGTTGCCTGCACGGGGCGTCAACAAACGTACGGGCAACATGCGATGGTGCTCACAATTCCCATTCTCCTGGCCTCAAAGAGCATAGTCGAGGGAGTGCCGTGGTTGCGGTGCGTGTATACAAGGATGTCGTAAATTTGGTTGTGCACGGGCACACGCTCGAACACCGCGGCGGATTCGAGTGAACTCGTATTGCTCTCCTCGCTCTTGGCGAGCGTCGCTGACGCTGAGCCTTCCCCGTCGGTGCGCACGATATAATTTGCGCGGAGCTTCTCCTCGTCTGCTGGGTTCATGTTGAAGAATGCGTCACGGGGGAGGAGGACAAGGTGGTGCTTGCGTGAGCCGGCCCGCGCGTGGTGACAGCTCGCCCATATCCGAAGGCGGTTTGGCAGCTCCCCAACGATGCCCTCTGACACATGCCGCGCAATGTCGGCGTACACATCCGGCAGAAAAGTGGCTGTCTCGCGAATTTCCTGAGGAAGGCTTGCAATAAAGCGACCAAGGACCTCATCGAACTGATGTCGCGTCGGCATCTCTATTGCATTGACCGTATTGAGGGCGCGGAGGATGACGTCGGGGAGCGGGGAAAAGGCGGGGTGCATCCAAGGGTCGATATGTGGCGTCGTTACGATCATACCCTAGCGAAGAAATGTATAGGGATAAGTGGTCTTATCGGGACATGTAGCGCTGCCGCACATGTTCAGAAATGGCGTACCCAGGTGAAGGTCCCGTCGGTGTTGCTTTGTTGGTAACTTATCTCAGCCAGGTCAGTATCTTCTCCGTCGAGAAGCGGCGAGTGAGGTGGGATGTATTGGCGGATTTGAGGTTCAGTACGGAGCTCGCTCTCAAATACATGACTGCCCGACGGACCTGCGTTTGACGCAGAATCGCTTGAGGAGCCGCCTTGGCCGGGCAGCATGTCAGATACGAGAAAGGACGCTGTCTTGGCGGCGTATGGTGCAACGGGCCGGTCTCGCGAAGTAGCATGGTCAGACGGCACCTTGTGTCGCTTCTTCGGCGTGTAGTTGCATTCTTTTTCCTTGTCCTCCGCGCAATGGTTGCATACTGGCAAATTTCGGTCGCACTAACCAGTACCAGGTCAGCACACCCGGTTTGCCACTTGACGAAGTGGTATATAATATGTACCTTGAGGTTTTTCAGACGGCAGCGGTCGCACCTCGGAATCCCTCTGTGTGCTGGTGTGGGCAGAGGGGTGTATTTGCATTCTCGGCCATTGGCCCAAGCACAGTGATTGCAGGTTGGAAGCACCCTGTCGCACTATCGCAGCGGTCAATGGAGTGGAACCCTTTGGGAACGACAGACTTGCCTTGAGATTATTTACTCTGCAATGATCACACCGCGGCTTTCCCCTCCTGCCTTTCCATTGCGACTGACGAGCCATAAAGACCTTGGGATTGGGGATCCTGATGGTCAGCTGGCTCTCGTCACCAGAGTCGACAGGTGATATGGAGCCTTCGGCTGACCCTACGATGCTTGCTCGTTCGTCTACGGGTTCCATTGGAGAGGTTCGTGGGGGTACAGCTTTTGTATATGCAGCTGCCGGTTATACGGAGGGCCTGAGAGCTCAGCCAAGATGGCGAGCGGTGGTTAGAGACAGGGCTGAGGTGACAAAATTAGCACGGCGTGCAAAAAGGCCCTTCCAGAGAGGCCATTCGCACCTCTGAGAGTATTTTCTGTCGAGTTTTGTGCGGTGTATTTTGTGTCTGTGCTCGCCGGTCGGGGGGACGGCGAGGGCGACCTCGTGTGGTTTGTACTCGCAAGCAACCAAATTCGGCCAGATGGTGAAATCGAACTTGATGCGAGGCGTGACCGTGACGGGATAGGTCACTTGGCCCGATACAACCGTCGGCATGTGTCCGTAATCTGCCCCCCAGCACGCTGTAGGCGCAGCGCTGTCGACATGCCGCTACTCAAGAATTTTTCCCAACGAATTTTGGCCGCATTTGCTCTCGCAGACGTTCAGAGTCGAGTTGTCCCGCAGGATGCGGCAAGTCCCGGAAGATTCCTAGTTACCCCTTCAGGCAGTCTCTGAGTTTAGGAGCTGTCACAAGCTCACACGGCCCAAACACGCACCTGGGCCGCCGTTCCCACTCGCGCTGTCTGCGATGTGTGCTGGCCCAGTGTTGCGAGCACAATCCAGCCCCCTGGCAAGAGGGGATGGTCTATTGCCAATTTGATACTTCTCGCATATCTCCGCATGCCACCGCGAGTCTGCGAGTCCGACGTTCGCCCATCATCACAGACCATCTGGCAAGCAACCAAGGTTACACTAGCTATTGATCCTTCCCTGCCGCCGAGCATGTGACTCTCGGATGCTCTGGAAGAGTGCACAAACGTGCGAGAGCGAATAGACGGGTGCATTGGCCAACCTCTTGTGTCCAAAGTTGATATCTTAGCCAGTCGAACCTTGGCACCGAGCCCGACGACGGCTTATTGACGCTCCCATTTCCCAGTGACCTGAACAGAATTAGCCGTATCGGGGCCATTTGCTCATCCACAGGTTCCACGTGTGTCGAGGAACCTTGCTTCCTGATTTCCACTCCAAGTATTCTTAGATGGGCTTCGATGCATCATCGTTCTAGGTGAGCGCAAACGAACAAGAGTTGACATCGTGCACAGCTGACATGCCATGTCTCTCACCCTCACGATTTCCACCAGCCAGCGTCTTGCCATTACCGAGGTTTCATAGCGGCTGTAGGCCCTGGTCAGAGACTCTGTTTGAGCCGCACGCCATCACGTAGCCAGACACTCTGAAGGCCTCGACGACACCCCGGACCAAAACATGCTCCGGGTCACCTCGGTGAGGGACATCACACCACAAATGCCGTGGGACGTATTTCTCAAAGGATTTGCAAGTCGCCTCTTCTCACCATGCGTTCAGTCTTCGAACGTTCTTCGTTCAACGGTTGCTGACGGGAGCGTTGCTGCCATATGAGGCGGACAGTCATCTTCTTCCAGGACCCATCCGCGCGACACCGTCACTCAAGTACCAATCCCCACAGCTGCCACCATGTGCATTCGCTTAAGGAATCGTATAAATGCCCCATAGGCCCTTTTCCCGCTACCTAGACCCCTGCGTTCTCAGCCCCGTCTCCCTCTTGACAGACAAGATGTTGGCCTCTGCCTTGATTATCCTCGCTGCCAGTTTGGCCAACGCTGGTCCGTCTCAGGTGAACGCGGACGTCGGCTTTTTCGATCCTACTGCGAATGGAGGATCTTGGCTCGATAATGCTGGGGACGGCTTCGGCGAGCCTATGAATGTGAGTATCATGAAGTTCTATGACGTTCGGTGAACCTTACCACTGCGCTCGCAGGTCGTCATTTCCGGCCTCAGTTCGCCCGATGTTCTCACTGACGACGGTATCGTCAACTTCGCTCAGGCTATAGGCTTGTGAGTGCGATCGACTAGGCACTATGTTTCCCTTATCTGTTCGTTCAGCTCCATCGAATGCTTGGATATCCACCTCGGCGCCCCTCAGTCCGCCAACCTCGGTGATGGCAATGGCTTCGTCAACCAGACCATCGAGCTCCGCGAGGACTTCGGTAGCGCAGGCATCGGCACCTGCCTCGAGTCTCTCGTCGGCGGCGACCATTTCAGGTAAGCTAAGATCAGTCCATTGAGCGATCGTGGTCGACGTGAGCCTCAACTACCGCTTAGGGTCTTCCGCCAGAACGGCTCCCAAGCCAACAGCGGTGCTCTCTTCCTTGCGTGCGTGCATTAATACTCTCTTTATGACTAAACAGGCGCTCAGTATAGCATTGAATTAGTGTCTCCAAGGAGGAGGACATTTTTGAAAGCCATACTATCGTCCCCAACGGCTACAACATTGGCCGGTATGTACTAAGCGTACGGTGCATAAAATCATCGTAGCTCACCACCATGACGTACTAGTGACGAACTGGTTTCGGCCGCTGTTGGAACCACTAGCTTCAACGATGTTACCTACAGTACCACGTCTGAGACTTTGACTGGTGTCATGCCCGCTGGCACTGCTGGTGTTAACCACAGTAAGTCGTCAGCCTATCGCTAAAGCAATACAACTCTCTGAGCCTCATGCTACAGATATCTCCATCGACGGAAATGCCATTCTCCTTACTGTCCAGATTGACTAAATTCTTCGCAGAATTTCGAAGTAGTATCATTTCGGGCTCCCTCTGGTGCACACCTGCAACCGATCCACTTTATTCACGACTACGATGATGATGATGATGATACTCTTGCAATGACTCTCGTACTTATCTTGTTATGTATGTGATTCGCCTGACCTGGAACATGTAGTTTACCCATAGGAGTGTCGGAAATTGCTGTTTCTGCATCATCTTCGTGGCGTTCGGAGTGCCTGGCTGCGGCCCTAACTTCCGCAGATCCACGGCGCTTCTGTTGCATTCTGACTTGAAACAACGTCCATCGTACTACACAAACAAAGCTCAGACACCTGCCGCAACTTGTCAGGTATTGGTAACGCGCCGTTCCTGGGATGTCCTCCAGTATCAGCATCCAGTCACATGCGGATGCAAGCGGACGGGACCCATTTCCGTGAGGGGCGTACAACTTGAACGTTACTAAGTTTCTTTTTTACGCACATCAGCAGCTGAATCGTAAGGCCTTAAGGCCTGATTCTGATACACTCCGTTCGCTGCATATGTTTGCGCTCATGTTCGCAGTACTTTTGGGTCCGCTTCTTGCCGCTGCGCAAGGCAACGTATCGTTCATTGACCCAACGAGCAGTAGCGGAAGTTTCCTATCAATGGATACTGCTAGCCTTGATAAACCTATGGACGTGAGCCACATAATTTCCCTGATTTCTACGTGCTGAAAATCTGTCATTTGGTGTAGGTCATCATATCAGTCCAGAGCTCGTTACAAGTGCTCGCCAACACGGGCTTCTTGACCTACATCTAGGTCGTCGAGCCGTAAGCGTCTCTCTCCCCCTCCGTCTTCCGTCATCTCTCAGCTCCTCTCCTCTCCACAGCTCTACAGAGTACCTCGGCGTGCATTCTGAGGCCCTCTTCGCCGCAAACCTGGGTGACAGCGCTGGGGTACGGAATCAGAGCGCCGACTCGGAGTATCGCAAGGCATTTGGCAATCTCAGGTCGAGATGTACATTAGCAGCTGTGAGGTGGGAACCACCGGCGTGCTGTTGGGCTGTAGGCAGGTGGCGGCGCACCTATTCTGGCGTACGTGCTCACGATGATTTCTCAGTTGTATCGTGCAGAATGGCAGGTCGCTTGTGCATGCTTAGGTGCCGGGGCAAATTTTTAGGAGTGATCCACTTCAAAATAATCGTTGTAAATGGGCACGATTTTGACCGGTATGTGTCTGTTGCTCCCGAAGGGCGGGATCCCGTTGGTTGGCTTATTCGCTTCAATAGGGGCGCTTTCGTCCGTATGGTAGCAGGGACGAAGCGACTTAATTGCACGACATTCCATACGGCCGTTCAGAATCTGGCTAGTCTCATGCCAGCGGGGAGTGCGATCAATTGCGGTAAGCAGTCTACCCGGCCGTCATTGGCCTGCTCTTGGTCTAAAATGAGCTTGGTGCGCAGGGACTGCAATCGATGGCAGTGCGAAACGTTGACAGCGCGTATAATATAGAATATTTACCCAGGCACATACATATCACTGGACAATGATACCAATCGGCTTACAACACAGGCTGTGGTGGGCACAACCAAGAGTGAGAGAACAATAGTGAACATAGTTATATTGCAACCATACGAAAAAAGAGTTGAAGGAAGAAAGGGATATGTAATGCAGGGGGAATATTGCTACAGTGCGTTAAGTCAAGTACACTTGGCATGGGTGCGGTTATAGCTCATGAGGCATGGCGGGGCATAGCTTATGAAAAGTCCAGGGCATTGGGCTTTACGTTAGGAAACGAGTGTATTAAATCTCGTCAAACGCTTCTTCCTCCACCCACTCTTTCCACTGAATCTCGTCTGCGATGTGCGCAGGCGGTGTCACTAGCGACGCGTCGTCGTCCGAGAATTCAACATCATCCGCTTCGAGCTCGTCGAGCGTGTCATCGTCACTCTCGTCATGCCGCGCGGCCATGTTATCCCACATGGCCTGCTCAGTCTCGACTTCTTCGAGCGTGCGGCGACGAACACGCGAAAGCACTACGTCGAGAGCGGCGAAGTTGTTATCGTCCTCGGCGAACTTGCGGTGGCGTTTGGAGTAAATGTGCTGTTGAGACGAGATTCAGTTTAGAACACACGCAGTTCAAGCCGGGACACAGCTTACCTGCTTGAAGTCATCGAACTTCACTCTGCAACACTCGCAGTACCCAGGCTTCGAGCCCTCCTCGCGCTTAGCCAGACGCATGGTGGTCGTGCTCTTGCTCTTACGTAGCGTGCGCTGGGGGCGCTCGGGGACTACGAGGGGTGGACCCATCAGGTTTTCTTTGCCAAGACGCTTCCCTGCATCGGGCAGTCGTCGCGAGGTGATGACTTGATTTTCAATCTTTTCCCGCAGACTCGGAGGAAGGGCCATTGACCGCATCGCCACGCCAGTCGTGGATGTGGTGCCGGCTGCAGAGGTGATGCTAACGCTGTTGCCTGATGCGGCGACATAGGCACCAGACGCAAGGTAGCCTGACGCGGCTGCGGATCCTGCTGCTTCGCCCTCAAACCCGGCGTCGAGGTCGACAAACTCTTCTTCTACATCCTCCGTATGGCGCTTGAGACTCTGCATTGACACGGCACGTCTGAGGTCACGATGACGCTGGGCCTGGAACTGGGCCTGTAGTTTGGCTCTTCGGCGTCGCTCTTCCTCACGAACTTCAGCCTTGCGACGCGCTAACTCTTCTTCGCGCTCCTTGTCTGCCTGGTCCATCTTCTCGCGCCGGCGCTCCTCGCGTTCATTGTACTCAATAAATGGTCCGCGTGCTCGGGGGTGGCAGTGGAGGACAGGCCAGGAGCCGCGTTCTTTGCCATCGCGAGTTTTCTGAACAGGGTATTCCAGAGCAGCGATGGTAGCTAGCTCCTGTCGCATATCCTCGATTAGAACAAAGTAGCTGCCCTTTGAGAAATAGACATAGTCGTGACGTCGCTGAGTCGGGTCTCGCTCCGTTGTTCCGTGCAGTCGTTCAGACTCGAGGAGCCGGCTGAGTTGCTTCGCGGTGTGTTGGCCGGACGCCGAGACAGGTGTGGCCACTAGATTGTTAGGAGGGGCCTGGCAGCGGTCCAACACGCTTGTTAGCTTCTCCATGTCCCAAACCTTGATACCAAATTCTTGCGCCTTCTTGACGATCTCGGAGGCCCGATTATCACAGGGAGTAGTTCTGCGAAGTACATTCACTATGCAGCTACGCTAGACTTCACAGCGAAAGGTACGAACCGGGACTTGAGCTTGATAGGGCTCCCGAGAAGACCACCGTCTCGCGCACCACGCGCTCGCGAATTCTCTTTGTTACCAGGTACTTCTTCGGCTCTACATGTGATAAGATGGGTAACCTCCTTAGAGAAAAAGCCGTCGATTTTCTGTAGGCCCATCAGTAGCAGCAAGATAACCAGCGTCGATTGTACGCACAGCGCCAAGTTGAACAACGCGCCGTTCGAGCTTATTCTTCAAAGCAGCCAGCTCAGGTTGATGGGCATCGAGGTCGAAGTGGAAAGTCCAGTTGGGAAACGCACGCGTGTACTTGATTCGAAATTCCGCTTCCCGCGCGGCACGTATCTTGTCTTTCTCTTCTTTCGCGTCTGGCCTTGCATCTCTTATGTCGCGTCGCCTCTCGTCTCGCATTGTCCGAGATGACTCCGGTGCGGGCCTCACCCGCTTCGCGCTCTGCCCATCACCAGGCTCGGGCGAGTGGACTCGTTTCGACGAAGGACTCAATCTCCGATTAGTCGTGTGCCATGGAGACACCGTCGCGGAGAAATGGTGCGCGAGGGGTTTGACGGTAGCGAGCGGGTTTCGAGCCAAGGCGGCCATCTTTAGTATGGGAGTGCGTTCAGGATGCAAGTCGATATACAAGAAATGGCCACAACGCCGTCAGAGACGACGAGATAGGGTTGGGCTCGTCGAGTCTGACGACGACGACAAGACCTGTTGGAGTTGGTATGCACGTTGAGAACGTGACGGCGCCATCCGAGGTCACCGCAGATCAGTCCGCGTGACCGTGACCGCTTATCGTGACATAGGCGTGCCAGCATACGGTACGTGTCGTTAGCACGGCCATGATACATCCTCGTCTGAACAGCAAAGGCACAGCTGGAACATTAATTGCACCTTACCACATCCTGTCGGAGTGGTTATTCGAGTATACGCGGGTACCCATTCGTGATGAGTCACGTGACCGTGTCAAATATGAGCGCTGTAGACGCCTATCACTTAACCATCGACAGCCATGCTGGAGGACGACCTCGGGCCCTTTGAATCTCTCGGCCTTTGTATATCTGCCTTGCCAGAGATTGACCCTAGATTTAGGATTCCAAGGCTGGCCGAACAGCCGCAGAATCCTATCATCGAATCTCTTCAACTATGGCATCGCAGGTCGAATAAACCTCTACCTGAGGCTGAGGCATCCGCTGTAGTTGAAGATATACTCGTACAACCAGAGCCAGAAAATCTATCTGAGAAAGACCTTTGGATGGGGCTATATGATCAGGAGCATACGCTTACGGTATGTGTTTCGGCCTCTTCGTTACCCCGCTAAACACAGTTCACGTACAGAATGCGGCGATGTCGTGGGACACAGTGCGACACAATGGTGTACCATCGACTTCCCCGTTTCTTTCCGAGAGGCCAAGCTATACCCTTGCAGCCGCTCGCCAGATGTGAGTTGATTTGACTGACACATGAAGGACACCCCATTAACCGGAATGCAGCGTACTCCCCATGTTTCAGGATCAAACGAGCCGTGTATTCCACGTTGCTCCCTGCGAGTTGCTCGAGTATCTGGTGATGTCACTAACCGGAATATCGTCCCCTCTACATGTATGGAATCCGGAGACGGAGACGTTCTCCCTAAGAGGTCAGGCTGCAGCGGAACTGGATAAGATCTCTATATCATCCATGGATGAGGTCGCGAGTCTGAGGTATCCTTCCTCTATATTAGAAATAACTGATGCAGAAACATCTCTTTCGATAGTCTACTTGAGCGATTTCTAACAATTGCTACTCTGATGCGCCGATTGAACACCTTGACGTCCAAGCTCAGGGACAGGTAGGCTAACGGCGTGATTAACTACTCTCCCGCTTACAGTTGACATTAGCAGCGGCAAGACATGTCAACATCTTCATGCTTTCGGACACTCACTCTCTTCCGTACTGGCTTACCTCCAGGCTACCGTGCTTGAGCTGTCTTCGTTGACTCCGACTGGGGAACCAACTATACACGCTCTAACCGCACTATGGACCGCCTGCGCGGATGTAGAACAACAAGTCCGAGACATGGCCACGCTGTGCGGAAGAGTCAGTTTATGCGTCCTTTGCAGGTCACGTCGCGCTAATTTAGTCACAGAATATGAATATAACGCCTGCCCAATACGTAGACCTCCCTCCGACGCCTTCGGAGCTTCTTTCCGTCGTTTACGAGCACCTCGAACGTCACTTGGAGAACAGCTCATCGCGCACGACTACCGCTATCTGTGCTTTTATTTTGACTTCTGTGTCTGCTGATTACTTCGAGCGTATCTGCTACACAGTAGGCTATTATTCGAAAGGTGTACTAGCAAGTCAACCGAGGCAGACAGAGAGGGTGGGCTCTGGTCTATTCGACGACGACGAACACGAAGCTGACGGGGGCGATGCCGAAGGGAGTTTTTTGCAAAACGAGCTATTTCCGTGCTTCTTCACCTCGCACTTCTCACAATCTCTCTTGCGCGCAAGACGATCCTTGAAGCTTCTCCAAGCCGCCCGTCCAGATTGTCTGATACTTGCTGGCTCATGGACGCGGCGCAGACTGCGATGGTTTTGGTCTGAGGAAGAGGTGAAAGTAGCCTGGCTGGACGTCGGCAGCACCAATTCCAGCACTTCGCACTCCCCGACTCTACCCAGCAGTCCCATTGGTGCCCCCTCAAGCGCACAGGAAGTGGGCTACAAGGCTGAGATTCAAGCTTTTAGCCTATTCGATCTCGAACCCGGGACACACCTCCGCTTCCATGCTGGGCCTTCCCTAACGTCCACAACGAATGCCTTCCTCAGTTTCCTTGTCCACTTCCCCGCGCGCCTCCCTTTCCTGACACCAACGCTCTCAACACTTCGCGATCTCGTTCTTACCCCTCTGTTCTCACATATTGACGCGATCTCCACGGAACTGCAAAACGTCTTTCTGTCCACTTCTGCTGGCTTTCTCGATTTTCGGCGACATCTCATTTTGCTGCGCTCCTATCTCTTGCTCACGTCTTCCGCGTTTAAGAGCCGCCTCCAAGCGGCGCTCTTCTGCGACGCGCCAGGAGTGGCTGCAGCAGGCATGGCGGCGCGGAGCATGGCAGTGCGTGCTCGGGCACCGCGTCCGTCGCCAACGAAGCATAGTGCAGGGTCGTCGTCCGATACATGGGTCATAGGTCTCGCGCCGGCCTTGACGGAAGGAAATAGCTGGCCACCAGGCGGGTCAGACCTCAGCTTTTACCTCCGGACAGTGATCATTGACGCATTAAACGCTGATCATAAGTTGGGAGAGAAGATGGACGAGGACAGAGATGCGAGAAAGGATCAGTTGCTCGAAGAAGCGGAATGGAGGCTGGGATTTGCTATCCGGGATCTGCCCGTGGCCTCTCGCGCTCGGTGGCTGAATCCAAAGAGTATGGAGTGAGTGTGGTTTGAGCGAAGCTAAAGTACAGGCGTGACTTGACACGGAGAATAGGGCATTTGACTTCTTATACATGAACTATCATCCACCGCACCCGCTAGACGCGCTCATACCGCCGGATGTACTGTCAAAATACCATCGCGTCTTCGCTTTTAACCTTCGCCTCATGCGCGGTTAGTACTTCTATATTTCCCCTCCTCGTGCCGCCACTGATACCTACACACTAGTGGAGAACGTCACCAAAGCCCTCTTTCGCATGACCCTTGAGCAAGACTCAAAGCAGCCCATCTTTGAGACCTTGACATCGTCGCGACGGCTCTTCCTGTACTTTCGCTTCGTCGCGCATGCATTTGTCAGTGCACTTTCGTCGTATGTGTATGACATCGCAATAGGTGGCACATTCGACACCTTCCTTAACTCTCTCTCCCCACCTTCCGCCGAGTACCACTCGCAGACTGCAGCGTCATCAAATACAGGATCCAATCCTTCGTTCCCGGACGTGTTCGTTCTCGCCGAACGTCACTCCAGTGTGCTCGACGATATCCTGAGCTCGTGTCTGCTTCGGGGAAGTCAGAAGAGCGTCGGCGATGTTCTGCGTAGTGCTCTCGAGCTAATTTTGCAATTTGGGCTGCTCATGGCCGATCTCCACAACAGTAAGATCCAAGAATACGAGGCTGCTGAGCCGCTTGAAGAGCTATTCAGTACGTTTAGACGAAAGCTAGTTATCCTGGTGAGTGCACTATTTGTGTAATTCTAGTGAGGCGAAAGCTGATGAGACCGAGTGCAGCGCAAAGGATTGAAGGCGATAATCGACGAGACGGCTGCGCTGGATGTCACAGAGAGCACTGAGAGTGCACATTTTTATGTTCTCTCGGGGTCGCTGCCCGGCGTAGCGACGAGCCTCCATGACCTATTTACACGCATCGAAGCTCCTGAGACGTGGCAACACTAGAAGACGAGATGTCGGCTAGCTAATACGATCTCGTATATCAATAGTCAACAGCTCATTGACATCATATTGTAGTTTACTATACAACCGCGGCCTCTTACATGCTTAAGCGAGGTGGCACAATTCGTATGGTTCCATCCGCCACTTTCGGCGCTACAAACGAGAAAAGCGATTACATGAGGATACGAAGCGCGAGAACTTGAAGTGATGAGATAGTAATGTACAGGCGAGGCCGAAATGACGTAGTGCAGCAGGGTTCGCTGGAATATGTGATATGGACCGAGGTGGTTAAGATAGTGACAAGAGATGGGAACAACGAAGCAAATATTGACAAGAGGTACGTAGGCCAGATGGAGATGCGCAAGAAGCAAGAGGAGATTGTGAACTCCGAGAAAGACAGTTCCAGGAAGTGAGAACAGACATTTTAAAATGTTTCCGGTCGGGAACAAAGCATCATTTTTGAACGATGCCGAACGCTAAATGGGTATCCTGTGGGCTACCGCTAGAAAATTTGGCCCTAGTTTCACGCGCAATGTGTACACGCTCCTTCTCGAAGAGGATGCGGACTTCCTCTTCCATTAGGTCGTCCGTCACTGGCGCAGGCGTGTCCTTCTGACCGCCCCGGATACCGAGACCACGAACGACCTCGTCCACCCTGGTACCCGCGATGAGTTTGACCTCCCGTGTGTTTGTCATGGAGGACGCTTTGACACCGCCGAAGGAAGTTGAGCGCGTGAGACCGCGCTTCGCCGACTTGCCAGGAGTAGATGGAGTATTGGCCACGCCAGACAGCTCAAGGAGACCGACTGTCTCCAACAGACCGAGGAGATCAACGAACTCACTCCTCGAAACGACGGTGAAGAGACCTTCGTCCGAACGCGACAGTATGATCTTGTAATAAAGGAATAGCTGGTTTGTATCGACAGCCGACGCTGAAGTCACGTCAGGTGAACCGGAGGAGGGCTTGCTTGGGGTACGAGGGACTGTCGAAGATGGAACAGGGGATTTGCCGCCTAGAGTTAGACCGGCATCCATCCTTTGGCGAGCAAGGACCATGGCAAGAAGTACAAGACGTGCTTGCAGACCGAGTTCGCGAACCTTAACGACAATCTCGCTGTCTGTTGCCTTCTTGGACGCAGCGGCCGCGGCTCTGGACGTAGTGGACGCAGGGCTGTATGCTTTCAGTGCAGAGAGAACATGAGTAGGCGTCACTGGTGGTGTGGACACTTCCAGGGGGTTAGAAGTGTTGATCACTGGTGAGTTAACGGCAATGTTGATGGCACCACGCAAGACCTCGAAGACAGCACGAGCATCGCCAGTCATAGCGGCAACCTTCTTCGTTAGGAGCATCAGTGTCGGGTGAGGGAGGAATTTATCGAGCGACTCGGCCGACGCTGAGCTCATCGCGTTCTTGAGAGGCGCCAAGCGCTCTTCCACAATCTCCAAAAGTTCTTCAGGGGTGTATGGGGAGAAGTGCATGGTTTGAACACCAGCTAGAGCTTCCATAGAAGCCAGGGTAGCGGACGAGGACGAGGACAAGGTGTGGGTGTTCGCGATGCCAATCAGACGCAGCGACGCGGTATGCGACTGAGCAAGGGTGAACAGGGAAGTCAGAGCTTGCGATGAAGAAGCGATGTGGTCGACCTCATCGAGCAGAACGAGGCTAAGGAAAGGATGAGCATTGGAGCACGGTGATAGTTGATCGGAGGTACCGACCATTTAGTTTTCTGCTCAGCTAGCAACCTGTTCACAGCCTGAAGCGAAGTCTCCTTCAGCTTTCGTCCACGACAGGACTTCCCTTCTGACACAGCCTCCTTGCTGAGATCTTCAGCAAGTCGTGCGTACAGTGCTTCCACATCATCAAGCGCCATACAGTTCACGGTAACTACCGAGATTTCGGCGTCCGCAAGTTCGTCCCTCATGTCGCCGAGGACGGTATTGACAAGTGCAGTCTTGCCCGTACCAGGGGTACCTGAAATGTACAGGATAGAGGCATCCGGAACTCCTGTTGGCTCAGGCTGGGATGTCGACATGAAAACCGAGATGAACCGGGTGATCGCGTCACGCTCACTGCGGCGCCCCGCCATACGTCCGACGTGGTTACATGTTGGCCGAAGCAGTGCACGCACACGAGTTGAAACGGGCTGAATGAGATAATGGGGTGATGGTGGAGGGGTGACCAACGGCAACTGGGAAATTGCAGTCGCGGGTGTAGTCGGCAGGAGACTCGATGCGGAGGCACGCTTCCGTGGAGCTTCACGACAGGATCTCTCAGCACACATTTAGAAAAGAGCTATAGCGGTAACTTACTCGTGCGTGCGCGCGAAGGGGAAAGGTGCTCTGTGCTCGATCGCCTTAATGAGCGGGCTGCCCGTGGCGTTGTTGGCGAGCCTAAAATTGCTTCGAGGCGGAAAGGTGGAATATTTTCTTTATTTCCATCACCGTCAAGCTCAGTTGAGGAACGCTTGATGCGCTTCGTCGTAGGGGTCTGCGCTGGCGTCGGAAGTAAAGCGACCTCACACAATGACGAGGCAAGGGACGACGTTAATGGCGCATCCGAAGGCGCAGAACGCTTTCCGAGGACAGAACTGCGCGTCTGCATGATAATTTTGGGACACGGTCGACGACGAACGAAGGTCAAAAGCGGTGAGGAAGGACGGAGGGAGTTTCGTCGTCGTGTCTGAGAACGAGGAGATGAGAAAACAAGATGGCAGTTAATTACGGCAGGCGGAGTTGGCGCGGAATTTGATCTCCGCCTGTCACTAACGCGTCGCGTCGACGCGACGGCACGTGATAAGCGCTTGATCTGGGCGTCTGAGGCACATCGGGCGCTCCTTGATATAGGCATGTGGTTCGCGGTCGGTCTTAGAGTGGAATTTGACTCTCACCGGCCGTGGACAGACAGGCTTCCCCTCACACGCAAAAATGTGTCTTTTCAGAGCCTTGACCTTGAAATCACTAAGAACTCGTGTATAGCTTTTTGGCTGTGCCGACTAACGAGCCGCGAGCATGCCGGGTCCACGCTTATATTCCCCATCCTCTGCGGAGTCTTCAAACTCGCCCTCGCTGTGATCCCACCATGCTTCAAAGTCTGCACGGTGGTAGAGTTCTGCCTTTGTTCTCCCTCCTGTTGCTGGTGTGCACCGCTACTGCGGACGACTGTGGCAACAATATGCGCCGGTGAGCCCTGCCGGGGTTCACTCCTACGCAGCTTCCTGATCACTAAGTGAAAGTAGAGATGACGGAGGCGATGACAACGGCGATTGTTCCTCGTCTAGTCATCATTTCAGCCGTACCGCGACCTCTACCAGTAGTCACGCAGTCCTTACAGGAATTCCCTCAAGTGATTCTGGTGTTAGTCCTTCTCATGGTGGGATAAAGGGAGGGGGTATCGCGGGCATCGCCATTGGTATCGGTGAGCATGATCCTGGATCTTCAGTGATATTTCGCTGAGGAACCTGTAGTGCTTGCCTTCTTGCTCCTAGTGCTCCTGATCTTCTGCTTGCGCCGCAGTCGTCAACGGCGGCGCGTGAGACTTGAAGACGGCTTGGCGACAGCTTCTCAGGGGAACAGAGCTCCCTCCGTATCACACAGCGCGAACTTTGCACCCGCTATGCGCACATATGGAGATATTGCGCCTATTAGCCCGGAGCTTAGCTCCTCTTCGGTAATACCCCTCATCGCAGCTGCCGCATTAGCAGGGCACGTAACGCCTCGTGCAAAGCACTCCCCGCCAGCGAACCTGACGCGGCCACCATCTTCGCTTCCAAATCCACACGATATTCATAACGAGCCACTACTTGCACGGACGACTCATAGCGACCGAGACCGGGACCTGCCGCCAACTCCGGTAGAATGTGTCAACGTCCCAGAAGCTAGAGGACTCTCCGACTCATCCAGCTCTCGCTCATCCCACCTGCCGTCATCCTTCTCCGACCCGGCCACGTTTCTTACTCGCGGTGACACGAACCGGACAAGGGCGTCCACGGCGAGTATGCTACACAGTGAGATGGCGGCGTACCAGAAGCGGCTTGAGGCGCACCACGAGAAAGAGATGCAAGTGCGCGACGATGCCGGACCAAGTGGTGGCCTGCCGTTTGAGCCTCCTCCAGTGTACCAAGAGATGCTGCCTACAGGCAGTGCGAGCGACCTCGGGGAGATAAGTCACGAGATGGTAATGCATCGAGAATAATATAGCACTAGACTTTCTCTCGGACCTCGATTTTACTGAGGCTTTACGGACATTGAATTATGCTATGCGATAATACTATACCACCCTTCGGCCCTGCGTCGCGTACTTTCGCCTTGCATTATCCACTGCTTTGGCAATTATACACACTGTGTACTCCAGTAGACTGTTCCTTCGATGCTGTATGTCTTCGTCTTGCATCGACTCCATGGAAAAAACTTGCTGCGGACCCAGAACCGGACTCATTGACGACAAAACCTCGATCTCCGCTTTTCGACGACTGTGCAACATATGTTGTAGTTCTGTCCTGTGAAGAGCAAAGAAGTCATGCAGTGGCACAAAGAAGGAGCGATTGGACGTACTTCCACTCCCCAGGCAAATCGGTTCTTCGCAATATGGCCATGGCCTAGTGTATTAATCAGCTCTACGCAGCATGGAAAACGCCCCGCGCAAATAAACCTTCTTCTGGTCGTGCTTCGTGATAGGAAGCATTGCGTCCTTATTCAAGCCGAGCCTGTGATTGAACGACATGCGATTAGTCCTACTTCGCATTTAAAAGAACGATTAAAGATACAAAGAGATATCCTCGCCCCTCACTCCTCCCCACACGATGCGCGACGCGACGAGGGACTTATGCTCGTGCACCATACTTGCGCTGCCGTACTTGTATACGGACAGAATGTCAATACCCCATGGATCGCAGTCAACCAGTGAAATAATCGGCACTCTGCAAACATTTCATGCAAAGTGGATACAGTCAGCGTAGAGCCGCAGTATGGAAGAGGTACCCACGCAGCGGGTAGATTGTCGGACAACGTGCGGACGAGTTGGCGAGTTGCGACATCAGGATAGCCTTTGCCCTGCGAAGGCCTCAGTGAAGAACAGCAAGGAATGAGCAAGGACGCACGGTAATGAGAAGCCCGGGGCCCGGCAGTCTGGAGTGTTCTGCCAAATTGAGGCGACAAAGCGTTTGGAAGACGGCCTGAGGAATTTGCCTTGAGAGCTTTAGCAAGTCTTCGAAGGCAGTAACCAACCTCTTTCTCTACGACGAGCACCCAAGACAGGTCATCTTCCACCTCAAAGCGCTCTATCTCTTCAGACACTGGTATCAGTGTACTCTACATGCCTATCAGTTCTGATAGATGTAGGGCAGAGAGCGCTGCACAAACCTCGCTGGTGCTAACTGTGATGGAGTCCTCTTCATAAAGATGCATGGTAAGTCCTCTCCCTGAGACGAGGCCTTTTGACGATGCCCGCTTGTCGGGGCGTCAGCGTCGTCTTCCTAAATCCCCCAAAAGTGAGAGATTACTTACGACGTTGAGATCCGCACGTCCTACACTGAGTGTCGCAGCAATATCGTCGACAAGCTGGGTAATTTATGCCAGGCTCGCATGGAGGGAGAAGGGCAAACATTCAAGTTGTTACCTTATCGACTACGACCTGTGAGCCGAATAGCGGAACATCCTTGTAGTACATGTCCCTATGTCCAGGCATTAGCAAGGAAACGTATATGTGTAGTCTCTCGACACAAGCCGTTTTGTAGTAGGTACACCGGTCACCAGAGCTTCGTGCATTAACTCCACAGTTCTTAGGACTTGCGCTGCCCGTCCAATTAGCGCGCGTGTATAGACATATCTTGTGGAAACAAACCTATCGCTCGGGAGCTTGAATGTTTTGCATTGTGCGGAAAGAGCAGTAGACGTGTTGCCGGAGACCTGGACAAGTTCAGAGTCAATACAGGTGAGAATGGGTGAATATATGCGCACCCATCCTCCTTCATCGGTTTCCGGCGGTCAGCCAGCTTGAGGGCGACCTTACTCTGGCTTTGAAGTCTGCTGCCGGAGTCGTCTAGGGTGGGCATAGCTTTGGACACTTGGCGGAGAAAATCAAGGACCAATGATTCGAGACGGCAGATCGTAGATAAGCTGGATATATGCGCACTTAGTTAACCGCCAGAGAGCGAGCGAATATGCTTACCGAGAGTCGTCTTCGTTGTCTTCGTCCATATTCTCAAGAAGAGCTTCGCCACTTTCGTTGGCTTTCGCTTCTTCCTCATGACTATAGCCTGGAGTAACCTGACCGCTGTCCGTAGAGTCGGCATCAAATGTGATTGTGAAGTCTCCGTCGTCCACCGTGAGCACATCTCCACAAGAGTCCATGGCGGGATGACAGATAAATTCGGCCGGGGGAGGCGCGCGATTGAAGACCGCGTCGCAATAGCGTGCATGTCACACCGTGACGGAGTTCGCCGTAGGCTCCGAGCGAGATAGGTATTCAGAACTCTGCAACATACAAGCATCAATCCAAGAACATATGCCAGATACACGACGATGTGAATTTCAGGGACACTCTCTAGACCCAGTTGGGCACTTCCAGGTCGAACCACTCCGGAAGCTTGTGCCAGAACTCCTCGCGCACCGCCTCGACAATCGCACCGAAGTCCATTCTACACGCCTCACATGCACGTATCGCAGCCTTATTCTCCGTACCCGGCACGTCCTCGCGCGTCTGCATGAGCAAGCTATCATGAATTGCGAAGAGCGGGTCCGAGTTGCGGTTGAGAACGAGACCGTTGACGTCGCGGATGAGTGAATACGTAACGGCCTCGAACGCCATCTGACAACGCCGTTTGCGCGATGGCTGGAGCTCGTTTCGGTTGTGACAGAATTCGGCGGGCACGCGCCCCTCAAGCTCCTTGACAATGAAAGTGGAGAAGTAGCGCGCGGCCTGCTCCTTTCCCCGGAAGACGCGAAAAAGATCGTTATTCGAGAGGCTGTAGATCCGTCCAGTGTCGAGATCGGTGTAATCTGCTGCTAGCTGGCTAGGAAGGTAGCGCGAAAGGTCGTAGAATGCAGAGGGCAGCAATTCCGGGGCGTCAACCTCACGCGCGAGTGCGATGATTACCCTGGCATTGTGAGAATAATTTCGACTAGCTGCGGATGATACTCACGATGGATGCGGAAGTCCCGGGCGTGAGACATAAACACCATCCGCATTGGTCGCGTGCTTCTCCCGGATCTCCCATTGTGTGAGGAGAATGGGCCACGAAAGGAGAAGATGTCGCAGAGCCTTAGCACGCAATGCCGGGATGTTGTACGTAGTGGCGAGCCTGAGCGACACCGAAAGCTCGCGGAAAGCGCTCGCCTCAGACTGCTCAGAGAGTCTACAGCCTATCATCAGGAAGTCGTACGATGGGCTATGATAGAGTATTCACCCGTAGAGATACTTCAACAGAATGTATATTTCATCAGGAGTATGTGGCAGCCTCAGGATGGGGCGCCCTTCTAGCGATTGCGAGAGGTCTTCTTTGGTGGGACACTCTGCCATCGCAGCCAGGACACTTGAGTGGCGGACAAGGACGCCTCGGTGTACCAGGAAGTATCGATGTCCGCACAGCAAAGCAAGATTGCCGTCTTCAAACGAAAGTTCCGGATGTTTGTTGGGGACCTCGTAGCATGCTTCAAAGCGTCCGTGTGTGTCGACCTGCGGTGTGTGGGCGTTGGAGCTGAAGTCCTGCGGTTGTTCATCCAAGAGAATCGCGGCCATGGTCTGTGGCACGTCGCTCAGGTAGGGGAGAAGGGGAAAGAGTAGATGCTGGTCAGCACAGTCCGCAGGCGGTCCCCGCCAGGGAGGGGCTTGCTTTCGCGGCTGTCGTATCCGCCGCGGACTACCCGCCCGCGCTCCTTGAGTCCGCCAGCCGCAGAGTGCTTGCAGCCCGCATGAGTTACGAGATAGCTTGTCAATTTATCGCACGTATAGGCGGTATAGTTGTACTTCGATGCCATACTGCAGTGTTAGCCAGACGATGGGATTCGCGAATGATTGCATAACTGAGGAGAGCAGAGAAAGCGCTGCAGTGTGGAGAGCGGGGGCGGTAGTCACGTGGCTACAACCTTTCCGTTGGGCTTGGCGTCTCCGCCGAACTCTACCAAAGCATTCGCGTACACAGCCCAGCAGCCCCAGCCGGTAGCCTCCAATACAGACCATGTCCGCCTCACCGACGACGCCAGCCATCCGCATCGTTCCGGGCGCTCCCCCGCCACCTCCGCCCTCCAAAAGCAAGAGCAAGAATAAGAAGGCGGGGGCGAAGAAGTCGTCTGACCACGGCGAAGATCATGTCATCGTGCCCGACGCACACGCGGCGGCCCTCATCGACCATGCGCCCTCCGAGTCCGATGTCAAGGAGGACTCTGTCGCTCCGTCGCTCATTGCACGCCAAGAGAGTGTCGGGCCTGTGTCCCCCGGAGGTGCGGACGAGCCGAAAACGAGTCCCATCGTGGAGATGTTGAGCAAGAGGCTGAAAACATCTAACAAAAAAATTGTTGGTATCACTCTGATATCCCTTCATTGCAAGGTCGATTGGCAGAATTATTCTGACGCAGCACCCCTAGACCCGCATACAAAGCTATTCTACCACCCCAGCGGAGAAGCTCAACGAGGATCAGAAGCGTACCTTGAAGACTCTCCCTATCCTTGAGGGCGTTTCCAAAGAGCTTGAGGAAGTAAAGAAGGCTGTCGAGGTATTTGCGTGTGGGATCCGCCATTTGGTACTCTGCTGAATGTGCTTCAGGTGCATGAAGCCGAGCTGTCTCAAGATTTAGCTCGAAAAGGCGAGGAAACTGCAAGAGTCGAGCAACAGCGGATAGAAGATGCCTTAGCCTATGCTACGGTAAATATAAGGCATTCTTACCGTCTTGATCGACGTCTTGAATATTCGCCGTATCCAGAATGCGCACCTTCGGCGTACCGCAGACCTGCTTTCGTTCATCACACTCCATACGGCCCTGTCCGCCAGGTCTCCCGCTGCGCTGGCCCTTAACCTTGTCGAGAGCGAAACTTCCGCTGTTCTCTCCGCCGTAGAAACTCTCCTTGGAAGTGACGTCGAGAGAAAAACAGAAATCATTAGCGGTTTTTTGGCTGGCGAAGGCTCCTATCAAGACATTCCTTGTAAGTATCGTCTCGTTATTTTTATTTCTCACCCTTGAGTTGTTCGTAGACTCTCGCTTCTCCGATATAACCGACGCGTTTTTGAATCCCGGCACACCCACGTCGCCTGCAGAACCTGCTGTCGAGTTTTTAACGATTGAGACGCCCCCAGAGCCTGTCGACATTCCCGTCGGTGGGTTGCCTCCATCGATCGCTCCCACAGCCAGTTTCCAGTTTGTCCAAGAGGATGAGCTTGCCGAAGACGAGCAGGCTTTGGACGAGGCAATTGCAGCAATTGCAGAGCCTGCTACTGAAGAAGCATCACCTGAGGTTGAGGTGACGGAGACCATCACCGAAATGACAGTGAACGGACACACTGTGATTGAGGATACCGTAACGGTGACTACGACAACTGAGGCGAGGACATTTTTATCCTAAGGTATAAAGGACTATCATTGACATGTAGACCTTCAGGTGCCAGCCGAGGCTTCTGCAGGCTTGAACTGGGCCGAGTCTGAGGACGATGGCGGTCTTCCGTCACTTGCATCACTTCACGATAGATTCGGCTCTTCAGCTACTGGTACCCCCGCTACTGCAGCAGAGCCCCTCCCTTCTGAGACGCCCGCAGCTAATGGAGAGGCTGCTGCGGCAGCTACCCCACAGGACGACGGCTTCCAGGCGGCAATTCGCGGACGTGGACGTGGGCGAGGAGGCTCTCGTGGTGGTGATCGCCGAGAATACCGGGGAGGGTTCCGCGGTGGCGAGCGCGGTGGCCGTGGCGAACACCGCGGCGAGCACCGCGGCGAGCACCGTGGCGGTCGAGGTTTCCGTGGCGGTGACCGTGGTAGCTACCGCAGGGGATCCGGTGACTGGCGTGGCGGTGAACGCGGTGAGTTCCGTGGACGCGGCAGGGGTCGTGGACGTGGCGGTGCGTCTGCCATTTACATACTTTTTGCATATTACTGAGACTCGCTTGCAGGCTATGAACCACGAGGTGGAGTCGATCCTGCGTGACGAGCCATATCCGGGCGGAGTCCGCTTGAACGAAGTATGGACTTACATGTGTGTGCGATGCTTGGTAGTTGCGACATGATCGCATCACAAAAATCCTGCGCGACAACGTTGTGCTGCTCCGAACTATTGACGGTTCTGTAGTCTCTTGACGGACAGAATATATTTTGTAATCTTTACGTTTGCATGCAAAGTGCGGGCGCTTGTTTAACGCCACACTGCCTCTGAGCGCGTGGCAGATTGCCTTTCTCGGAGTTGAGGCCAAATCTGCCCCAGGCTTGTCCTCCCGCGTCCGTCACCCTCTGTCCCACTCCCTACGTATCGCACCTCGCACTCCCCAGTCCACCGACGCAACAGAGATCGTGTCCGAGCGACTTTTCATTCGACACCCTGCGCCGAACACTCTTTGCACCGATTACATGCGCCTGGACGCCCGCTCCGTTGCTGCGACACCATGACGTTAGCTTCCTCAACTTCCTCGCAATCGCCTCTGCTTGTGATGGCGCCGGACGAGAAGAAGGGTGGACTCCTTGCGGCCCTGAACCTTAGCCCACAAATTACCTCATACTTCATCGCTGGCGGTGTTGCAGGCGCCGCGTCGCGCACGGTGGTGAGCCCGCTGGAACGGTTGAAGATCATACAGTACGTCCGACCTCGCTGAACAGCGGGTTCAGCTTGGCTAATCATAGCTGTAGACAAGTACAGCCACAGAATGCAGATGGGCAATACACGGGAGTTTGGAGAAGTCTGGTTCGAATGTGGAAGGAAGAGGGATTCAAGGGATTCATGAGGGGAAACGGGATCAACTGCCTACGGATCATACCCTATAGGTGAGTCATCTAGTATTTATTTGCATTTTGTGCTAATGTGAGGGAGCAGTGCCGTTCAGTTTACGACCTATGAGCAACTGAAGAAGGTAAGACGTTGCGTTCCATAAGTTTCTTGAAACTGACGGTTGACTGGAGCACTGCAGTGGTTCACAGCCAGCGGTAACAGACAGCTAGATACCCCGACACGCCTTCTGAGTGGTGCACTAGCTGGTATCACGTCTGTGTGTGCGTCTCCATGCTGCTTCCAACGTCCAGGTCGCTATTGACTATACGCCCGTAGGTTCAACGTATCCGCTAGACCTTGTGCGTTCCAGGCTATCCATCGCGACGGCATCAATTCCAGTACAGGCTTCTGCGCCACGGACAGCGACGTCTGGACAGCCTGCACTCGCATCGGCGTACCATACATCAGCCACCACCTCTGCCGCAAAACCCGTTGCCACGACCTTCTCGAAAGCTGAGCTCACGATGTGGGGAATGACCTTGAAGGTAGTGCGCGAAGAGGGAGGGGTCAGAGCGCTATACCGCGGCCTGATTCCGACTGCCATGGGTGTGGCTCCCTACGTCGGCAAGTTCATTTGTTAAGGTCACCGGAGATTTGCTGAGCGCTGTCTCCGTAGGTATTAATTTTGCAGCGTACGAAGCTCTGCGTGGCGCCATGACTCCACCTGGCAAAAGCAGCGTACCGCGGAAACTGGCGTGCGGCGCATTGGCAGGCTCCGTCTCGCAGTCTCTGACCTATCCATTTGATGTTTTGCGGCGGAAGATGCAGGTGACCGGGATGAACGCCCTTGGGATCAAGTATAACGGCGCCTTGGATGCGCTTCAAAGCATCATTCGGACGGAAGGTATTCGTGGATTGTACAGAGGACTGTGGCCCAACCTTCGTGAGCGTCTTTCTTACAGCTGAGACACGTCGTAAGCTGACCTTTCTTGCAGTCAAGGTAGCACCGAGTATTGCCACCTCATTCTTTACGTATGAGCTAGTAAAGGAGCTCCTCGGAGCAAGCTGATTCATGATACACGTCACCCACTTGCAGGCTTGCACATTGATGAAGCTAGATATCGCAACCTACCTTACAGCTCTTTAAAGTCGGATATATATCGATAGTTCATGAATTTAGACCGACGAACTGTCCTTGTACGGTGTACTACAAGCGTGGAACTGTAGACGAGCAATCGTTACTCCCTCATGGAGGCGGGCCACTTCTCTCGAAAGCCTTCGCCGTCGCCCAGTTGTTTGTTTGTAGGTCCGCCCAAGTGTCATGCATGTCATGCTTGGCACAACCGGAGGTTTGAACTAGTGTCTGGATGGAAAGTCCGTTTTCCATGGCCATGGAGGTTCGCTAAATGAATTTTTGACAAGCGCACAAGATGCGTCCGATCCTGGTGAAACAGACGCCTAGTCGTGTTTAACCGCCGTCATTCGCGACTGTTGTACCTACCAACCAAGGGTGAGCAATCTTCTCCCTCGTCGTCCTCCACCTCCCATCTTCCACAACAACGTCGAAATCGCCCTGCGACACACCGACCTTTTATCCGACTGGGTCCGTATACTCCATGAACACCTGAGTTGGCAGATAGAGTGGCGGGTCATCTCCCATTAGAAGGTCAAGCTCCATAGCCTCGTTGCGTCCACATTCTTATTTCCCACCGCTGACGCTCTTACCACACATGATTTAGACAATCCTTGTTGTGCCGTATTGATTGCCCCTACAAATAAGTCGGATCAGCTATCTAGTAACACGCATACAACGCCAGGTGGCCTGCAGGCCCAACTTCTTCGTGGTTCAGGCTCATTGGGTACCCCCTTCTACGCCTGCCATCTGTTTCAACATGTATCGCGGAATTATCGCTCGGAAGCGTGAGAGCCGAGAGCACACGCCGCAGTTTAACAGCGCGCCATCCGTGCCTTCTCCGCCCTCTCTCAGTTCGATTGCGACCTCGTTCACTTCGTCTGGGGCTTCAGTTCTCTCCGGGTCATCCGACACAAGCTCGAGCCACTCTGATATCTCTTCCGGCGATCAGCTCATACCTTGTACTCCCTCCAGTGCGTCTCCCAAGCACAGGTTCCTCCCCTTCCCCTTCTCCTCCGCCAAAGCACCAGTGCCTGCGGCTCCTATGGGCCAAGGACAGTCACGTACAGGGTCGTCTGCACAACCATCTTTACCCACCGCTGCTACTACGCCAGCACTTCCATTCTCTACATCCTCAAATCCTATCAAGCGCGCATGGGGCCGTCGCAAGAAGTCCGAAGACGTCACGACAGTCGCAAAAGCACTGAACATCAACGGCAAAGGCAAGGGGCGCGAAACAGAGACGATAGGATCGGCAGTCTCCAGTGCGTTGACAACGCCTGCAGCATCTGTAGACGATCTACATGTAAGTTCATTGCGCAGTGCTATTCTCGTGCCCAAAGCTCATAATCTGCAGGCGACAACATCTGTCACCTCGCTAGTACCTGCTGCTGATCCGCAGAATACGAAGTTCAGCGGTGCGCCCCCAATACCTCCGCCAAAAACAGAGCAACACAAGACCAGAAGCGCATCAGCCCCGCTTGATGTTCCCGCGCTCCCATCTGAACACTCAGCTCCTCCCTTGGTGATCAGCCCCAGCTCTACCTCTGCGCTATTATACATACAAAGTCAGGATGAGCAGAAGGTGCAGACGCCGCGAACAGATCTCGCCAGGGACAAACCTAACAGCCAGACGAAGCAGGACTGGAGGAAGAGTGATGCGACGACAACGAGCTATGTGACCATTCGTCCGAATACATTGTCTGGGACGCGCTCGCCTCGTCCCGTCTCTCTCGCTGAGTCGTCGCATTCTGGCCACACCATAGTGCCTGCGAACAAACGCCTCAGTGCTCTTATAACCGACGCGGAGTTTGCGATGGCGGAAGAGGACGATTCGGATTCGGAGGAAGACATCGTTAGAGTCTCTATGTCTGGACGACTCTCTCCAGTAGCCTCTGCGGAGACCCGGAACCGTCGCTCTGTCTCGGTCGATATTATTCCTGCTCACAAGTCAAATTTGTCAGGTCCTCCCAATCCACACTCCGCGACATTGCCTTTGACGCGGTTTATGACGGAGACGTCGTATGTAAGCTCTCAGCCGTCGCGAGATCATCCCACTCTCGGCAACATCGCCGCCAACAGGCTCATTGCTCCTCCGTCGCCTCCAGATGCTGCGTACCTTACTGGCACCAATGTACGCAGCCGCATAGCGGCCTGGACGGCTATGACCTCTAACACCGAGCGGATGCCTCCCCCGTCACCCCGGCCGTCGTACTCTCGGCGCACTAATGCAGCCGTGAACCCCAGCTTCCGTCAGACAGCTATTAGTATCACCGGCAGTCTTGCACCCGCCGCCCTTGGGCTGGGCAAGCGTGCGGCTGAGAAGGTCCACCGGGTTTGGGGCGGGTTCAGCGCAAGCTCGTCAAGCCACTCCGCTTGTTCTTCCACGTCCTCTCTCAGCGGGTCGATCTCCGGTACTGCACCTTCATCTTTCAATAATGGGAAGCTCGCTGATACCATTGGTCGGACCGCTTCGGGGCAATCAGTTAGCGGACAACCACCGCTACCGGGTGCATGGAAATCCAAGCGGAGAACGCCTAATGCCCCTTCCGGGTCGTGGAGCGTATCCTCGTCCGTCACGAATCTGTCAGATATCGATGGGTTTTCAGGTCCTAACCTTGGTACGTGCCTTAGGGGTCCCCAGCTCAATAGAGCCGGCGTGCCCATAGCCGGCGGCTTGGTCTTCGGCAGGGACCTCTGGACGTGCGTGCAACAGACTGCGACAGATGCCGTGCGGCAGCAGCTCGAGTATGGGGAATTCACGGATCCTGTAACAAAGCGGTCATTAGAAGAACGGATGTTACCTGTCTTGGTAACGCGCTGTGCCCAGCACCTCCATCTATGGGGGTTGCAGGAGGAGGGTCTATTTCGGTGAGTCGAGCTCCACTATACTAGGTGCTGAAAGATTGACTCTATTGTGATAGCTTGAATGGGCGACCGGCGCATGTAGCAAAGTTGCGCGCCGAGTTCGACGCCGGTGCCGATTATAGCTTGGTGGAGAGCGATCCCGGTGATCTCGATCCTCATGCAGTGGCTTCTATCTTCAAAGCGTACCTCCGAGAGCGTAAGCCGCGCGACACACTTGTATCGGTTCCCACGCTAATGTCTTCGCAGTCCCCCAGTCGCTGTTGACTGCAGGTCTCATTCCGCTGTTCGAAACTGCGCTGGCTTCGGATGCTGCCATGCAGGAGTCAGTGGCGCAAGCGGCTGGAAATACTAGTCCGACATCGCCAGGGTCTAGTCGTGGGTTCCCCATGCTGAGGAAGCCGCCCTCGCTCTCCACTCTCGCAATGCCGAGCTTCGCGGGCACTCGCGCCATGTCCGAGAATACGATCGCGACATTAGCTTCGCTGGTTGCCGAGCTGCCTCAGGTGAACCGCGACCTGCTCTACACCGTTGTGGAGCTCATTCAGGCTACATCCGCTCGGAGCAAGGAAACACGGATGACGCTCGGCAACCTCCTACTTGTCTTCTGCCCCAGCCTCAATATGAGCCCTCCCTTGTTGCGTGTACTCTGCGAAGCACCTGGTATCTGGGAAGGCAAACCTATGTCTGATCGCTATGACAGCATACCTGGTACAGAAGGCAGTCGGGCCTCATACAGGTCCCGTGCAGATGCGTCTGATGTGGCCAGCCTCTACAGCGAATACTCGGATGCGCCGCCTCGGATTAGTTCGGGAGCTGGCGCACGTACAAGCGCGCTCCACGCGCCTGAGCTCGGATTTGGGGGCGGCTCGCCATACCATTCGTCGAACAATTCTGGCTCTGGACAAGATGACGCTGCATCCTACGTCTCCGCTCTTGATCACCCACCTAGCCCTTCCGACGACAGCTCCAGTAACATGCCCGCACTCACCACGTCCACCGATTCCTTGGCAACGCCATCAACGATGTCGGAGGCATCTTCGCTCCAGCCCGCTATCATCCCTGAAGACGAGAACCTTTCTGAAAAATCTTCATATCCGACTCCTGGCGTCCCCGTCATCGCCAACCCAATCGATTTGCCCCTTCCCAGCCCACGCCGCCCTTTCGCCAACTCTCCCGTTCCATTCCCGTCAACACCTTCGCAAGCCGATAAGTCGGGTACTGCAAGCCCAGTCTCTCCTACCCGCAAGTCTCTAGCACTCTTATCATTTCCGCCTTTGAGCAAGGTCGATAAATCTGAGGCAAGCGCCATCGAGTGGTCTCCGACGTGGTCCCATCGTCAACGACAGAAGCGTCCATCACTGCAGCTCCTGTTTTCGAAGAGGTCGACTTCTTCTCTGGCGTCTCCAGTCATCTCTGGGCCTGAGCCGATAGCGCCACCAGCTGATATGGCGTGTATGCCGATCGCTTACGCCAGGAAGGATGGGCCTCCTGCGCTCGATACGCCCATTTCAACGTCGCCTCTCGGTCTTTTCGAGACAGAAGATAAGGACAAAGAGACGCCAGCCGAGATCAAGGTCGTCGAATCCTCACCGTTTTCAAGTCCGCTGCCGCTGCCTAGCCTGACGCCCCGTGAGCGCAAGGAATCGTCCATTTCGTCTGGCTCGTCGCTCTTCTCAACGCCTCAACAAACGCCAATCGGCTACTTTGGTGGGCAGTCGCCTTCACTGCTTTCCATGAATGCTAGGGTGGACGAGGCCGCATCAGATTCGCGCAATGCATCGCCAGATGTTCGTGCGTCGCCATCACGCAAGTCAGGCGTGCTGGACATCACTGTGCCTGTTGAGCCTGACGTTGATTGGTCTGCGAGCATACTCAAAGAGGCGGAGTCGTCGTCACAGTCGAGCAAGGAGTCGGACCGATCTCGTACTTGGCGGGTAAAAGACACATTCAACGTTTTCGGGAGCCAATGAGCAGGCGCGTTGCGTAAATTGCGAGGCTGCAGGCAGCCACATATCTTCATGAGGTTCCCTTCAATATCTTCATGGGTCGATTGAATCCCCCCGCATAATGGTTTGGAATTCAGTGACGACTATCGTTATTATACACGACCGCGTTCTCACCGCTTTGCACTAGTTTGCGCATGTCCGACCTCCTTTGGATTTCACTCTCAAATCTGACATCTGGAAATGCGGACTTACCACTCATTACTCCTACCATCCTCATAGCACTCTCGGCATTACGACACTATAATATTTATCGTATCCAATTGCATGTGTGCGATATTCGTCAATCCATTTTCTTTGCAGTTGTCCTGTTTACGGCTCGCCCTTAGCGCCGAAACTTGGCCTATGACGTCTGGAGGAGCGGGCCCGGGCGCCATCGAGATTCGACGCGTTGTGCGCGTGCTAGTCTCAAAAACAGCGCCAGACGCTCGACAGAAGACGTTGTAAAGCAAGCCAGCCTCGCTTTACTTCCAACCACCACCATCGGTCCTCGCCGCTATGTCTCGCGCTGAGCAGATCCGCGGCAAATTCTTTGGCAATCCTCCCGACGGCAAGGCCAACAGTGCCGACGCAGGCTTGCCGCGCTCAGGTTCGGACAACCCGCTCACGATCAAGATCCCCCAGCCTACAGCGCCTGCGACCCCCGCACCGCCGCCAAAGCTCAGGGAGAGCAAAACAGACTCGTCCCCCAGGGATGTTGCTGAGGACAGACCCACCAAGTCCTTCCGCGAGAGGCTCGTTGAGCAGCTCGGCCCAGACTACCATGGTGCTGAGCGGCACAGGCTAGTTCAAGACGACGAGAAGGAGATGCACTGGAAGCGATGGGGCCCGTACGTTAGCGATCGTCAGTGGGTGAGTCCTACGTTTCTGTCTCTATATCACCATATCTTGCATTCGCGCGATCGGTATATGCGGGTTTTTATGTCTCGTTTTCAGCATCGTTGTTGTGCCCGAGGGTTATTTGCTCACTAAGTGATCTTCAGGCTACGGTCCGAGAGGACTACTCTAGCAACGGTGATGCCTGGTCGCATTTCCCTCATGATCATGCGCGATCTCGCGCCTACAGATGGGGCGAGGACGGTCTTGCAGGTATTTCCGATAACCATCAACGCATCTGCTTCGCTTTATCGCTGTGGAACGGTCAGGACGCTATCCTGAAAGAGCGACTCTTTGGTGTCACCGGTCATCAAGGCAACCATGGGGAGGACGTGAAGGAATTATACTACTACCTGGACTCGACGCCTACGCATTCATATATGAAGTTCCTCTACAAATACCCCCAGAAGGCTTTCCCTTACGACGAGCTGGTCAGGGAGAACGTGAATCGTGGACGAGATGTGCCGGAATTCGAGATTCTGGACACTGATTGCTTCAGCGATGATCGCTACTGGGACGTATTCGTCGAGGTACGTTACATACCCAGTTATATTCGTGTGTATTTCGCTTAATCAGATGCGTCATACAGTACGCCAAAGACGAACAAGATCCTAACAGCATCTACGTTCGCGTCACATCTTACAACCGTGGACCTGACCCTGCTACCCTCCACGTTATTCCTCAGTTCTGGTTTCCTAATACTTGGTCCTGGAACGACGATCATTCCCCTACCCCCAGCTTGCACGCGTCTGGCGAGGGCGTCATCACTGCCAAACATCACTCACTCGGCAAGTTCCATCTCTACTGCCTGCCATCTCCGCCCCCCGTGGACACTCAAGGTCAAGAAGTTCAGACAGAGTCTGATACAGAGGGGGTGCTCCCAGAGCTCCTTTTCACGGAAAACAACACAAACTTTTCAAGGCTGTATGGTGGCCAGAACGAGACGCTATATGTGAAAGACGCCTTCCACGATCATATCATCTCCGCTCATCGCCCACCCGACGCAGTCGACGGGTTTTTTGTGTCGAAAATCCATTCCAGCACCCAAGGGCACCGCACGATTCCAAGCGGCGGCTTCAACGGTGCAGAGTCAGAGACGCCACCGTCCGAGCAGGAACAGGGTCCGCGTACCCCCTTCCCTCCTACACCCAACTATGTTAATCCGGAGAAGAAAGGTACAAAATCGGCCGCACATTACGTCTTTGAGAACGTTCCTCCCCGTGGAGGATGCGCCGTCGTGCGTATGAAGCTTACACAGCGTAAGCCGTCTGAAGATCCCAGCGTCGAGGACGAAGGCATTTTCGATGACGCGGTCGAGGAACGACGAGAAGAGGCGAATGAGTTTTTCAATGGGCTGGTCATCGGTCCAATTAGCGACGACTTCAGGCAGATCATGCGCCAAGCCTTGAGCGGTATGCTCTGGACGAAGCAGTACTACCAATTCATCCAGCAACCATGGATTGACGGTGACCCGAAGCAGCCTCCACCGCCACCTGAACGAAAGTGGATTCGCAACAGAGTATGCCCGTTTTCTCTACGCATCCCCGTGCGGGCTCACTTATCCTACGCTTAGGGCTGGAAGCACATGCACGCGGCAGATATTCTGTCCATGCCGGATAAGTACGTGGCACGTCCCTACCAGCCCTTATATCCATGCTGAAGCCTACCTTAAACAGATGGGAATATCCCTTCTTCGCTGCTTGGGATACCGCCTTCCACTGCATTCCGCTCGCAGTCGTCGACCCAGGCTTCGCAAAAAAGCAATTGGACCTGCTCACACGCGAATGGTACATGAAACCGGATGGCCAAATCCCTGCCTATGAGTGGAACTTCGGCGATGTAAACCCTCCTGTCCATGCCTGGTACGTTCATTGACATTCTTTACTGTGCATCGCTAATGTGTGCATCAGGGCTACGTTCCGCATCTTCAAAATAGAACGAAAACTCTACGGCAAGGAGGATCTTCCCTTCCTCGAGCGTGTGTTCCAGAAGCTTCTCCTTAACTTTACCTGGTGGGTGAACCGGAAGGACTCTGAGGGTAACAATGTTTTCGAAGGCGGCTTTCTCGGTTTGGATAATATCGGAGTCTTCAATCGGTCGGAGCCTCTGCCGACTGGAGGAACTTTACGCCAGGCAGATGGCACGGCTTGGATGGCATTCTATTGTTTGAACATGCTCAACATCGCCCTCGAACTGGCAAAGCACAACCCCGTCTACGAAGACATCGCCTCCAAGTTCTTCGAGGTATGCAGAGACTTCGCTTGGTCGATTTCGGCGTCACTAATAGCTGTACATAGCACTTTATCCTCATTGCAGACGCGATGACCTTCCGCTCAGGCGACGATGAGTCCAGCCTCTGGAATGAGCAGGATGGCATGTATTACGATGCCATCCAGTTCGGCCACGGAAACACTATGCAACTTCCTGTTCGCAGTTTGGTTGGCCTCATCCCCTTGTACGCAACACTGGTCTTGGAGCCGTCAGTCATCGATCGCCTGCCTGGGTTCAAGAAACGTATGGAGTGGTTCATTGAGAACAGACCCGAAATATCAGAGCGAAATATGGCGAACATGAAAGGTATGTTATGGCTGTATTTTGCAATGATCTATGCTGATGTATGCGCGTTCTCCAGTTTCAGGACGCGGTGAACGCCGTCTCTTGGCTCTCGCTAGCAAGGAACGGTTGGAGCGAATCTTGAGGGTTATGCTTGACGAGACCGAGTTCTTGAGCGAGCACGGTATTCGATCGTGAGTGTCTTCCGCACGAGTCTCACGCAGGGTCACTGAGGGTACCGACTCTTAGCCTCTCTAAGTACCACAAGGACCATCCTTGGGGCATGGACGTTAATGGCCAGCGTCATGAAGTTAACTATTGGCCTGGCGATTCGCAGTCCGGAATGTTCGGCGGCAACTCAAACTGGCGCGGACCTATCTGGCTCGCTGTCAATTTCCTGCTCATTGAGAGCTTGCAGCGATTTTACCAGTACTACGGCGATGAGGTGCAGGTCGAATGTCCTACGGGCAGCGGGGACTACATGAACCTTGCAAACGTCGCCGAAGAGATTCAGCATCGTATTATTCACATCTTTGGACGCGACGTCGAGGGTCGCCGCGCCACGAACGGCGGAAACGTCAAGCTCGACTACGATCCGCACTTCAGGGACTACGTATGGTTCTATGAGGTAAGTATCAAGGTCGCCACTTCGTTAAACATGACTATTGACGAGCTTCTTCAAAGTACTTCCATGCCGACGACGGGCGTGGCATCGGCGCTTCCCACCAGACCGGATGGTCCGGTCTCGTCGCATACCATATTCTGCAGAGCGGCGCGAGCTGTCGCCTGCCGAAGACACCAAAGAGTGGGTTCTCTCACTACTTGTGGTGGTTGCGATGCGCTGACATTGTCCTTGCTTCAGCTCCTCGTGGTATCGTCAACCACTACTTTGACGAAAACATCGATTATCAGTCCGAATACGGCGGCGAGACGCCCTCGGTGTTCAGCGCATACAGCGCCGCCGATGCCAACACACTCGGCGACATCTCGCCTGATGCGTTGTAGACGATACGTTTCCCATACAGCCTGCATCACCTTAGCCGCTACTCGAACACGGTGCTGTAGCGCGCCCTTTACGAACAGTAACGATTCGCATATTAGAACCTTCCCGAGACTAGATAACGCAAATAATAGCATATAGTTAGCCTGTAGATGTAGCACAAGTACCAGAGCCTGGCAGAATACACACATACATCGTTCTGGATCGGTTTCTCTTCTGTTAAGCATGTAACGTAATATAGAACATAGGATTGTCCTTTGTGCCACGGATTCCGAACGTGCGGCTGCTTAGTACATTAGAGGGAGGGCGCATGCATAGATTTATCTCTTCCCAACGGAAGATTGCTACGAGGGCGAGTCCGAAAAGACACAGACATACCTGCTTTGTGTCACCCACAAGATTGTCTTTGAGTTGATTAACAATCTACGTAATCGTCCAACTGTCGAAAGAGCAAATGTGACTGTTCGTACAAAAAATGTGTCCATACCACCGCCCCTCTATGCCTTATTCTCGTCCCTGCTGGAATCGGTAGACCTGTCTCCCCACATGCCCGTACTGAACAGCTCGCGGATGTTGGGCACCATGAGCAGCGCCGCGGCGGCGACCTCGGGCAGGGCCTGGAAGATGTAGAACGCGGCCTTCTCGCCCGCGGTGTTCTGCGAGCCGAGCGCCATGGACGTGAGCGAGGTTGTCCAGTTGTGCATGACGACGAAGTGGTAGAGAGGGATAATGATCTGGGACAGCCGGGGCAGAGTATGAGTTGTGCTGCGGACGCATCGAAGACAGACGGGAACTACGTACGAGGACGGTAGAGATGACGAACCCCAAGAGGACGCCTGTGCGCTGGATCCTGCGGACGTACAGGAGGCCGAAGAGCGAGAAGGCCTGGAGGACGAGCAGGAAGACGAAGACGATGGCGGAGACGGCATATCTGCAAAAGGGTGCATGGTCAGAGTTATGTCTGCAGGATGTAATGGACCAAATTACCTGAGGGTCTGCACGTTCTGCGCCTTTTCCGCGTTTGTCTCCGCCTGGACGTAGTTGTAGCCCATCACGATGCCGATGATGATGGGCACCCAAGTGAGGAGCGCGAGCGCACCGAACGCGCGACGGTACCAGAAGCGCGTGTCCGGCTGGTCCTCATCGACGGGCATCGCGTACCCTCCGTACGGCCCGGCAGGCTCGGGCGACTCCCTGTCGCTTTCGAGTGGTGTCTGGTCCTTCGGCGAGATGCCCCTGGTCGTGCGGACGAAGAGACAGCGGAGGAGCGTGATTGTGTCAGCGTGTAATGAGATGTAGCCGATCGCGAAGGTCATCTGCCAGTAGATGGTCAGGTTGCGGTCGAGGTCCTCTGCGGGTGTCTTTGCCTGCTTGGCGCGCAGAGACCAGATGACGATTCTGAAGGGAGAAAACAAGTGGTCAGTAAGGTGGAAGGCGTTCCCGAAAATGACGAGACTCACCGCTCAACTGCAAAGGCAAAAGTTCCGAGCCTGACGAGCGTGCGCGTTGTGGTCCGAGCAAAGCGGTAAATTCCAGCTATGACAAGAATTGCGTAGAGTGTAGCGAACAAAACAGAGGGTCCAAAGTCGCGTTCAAAAGGCACGCCGCCGACCGGGGCGGGGAAAGAAATATCAGTGGACATGACTAGTAAGCAGAAGGGAAGGAAGCGAAGACAAGGAGAAGACGGTGACGGTCTCGTCGCCATCCGTCCTCTCTTTATAATGCTCGCTCGGTGCTGCGCGTTGCAGCATGTCCGTAGCCGACGGTGGCGCAAAAGGTGGAGCTTCTAGACTTGACAGGAGGCTCTGCTGATGATGGACAAGAGCTGTAACGACCAGTGAGCACGGGAGGGCGGCGGGGGCTGCTGCGCACTTTGTCAATGTTTGTGCGCTCTACCAGTAGCGCGATCAGCACCGGAAGCAGCACTTGTGGCTGCATGGCCACGGATATCATCGTATCCCACAACACCCCGTGTCCGCAGAGCAAGGGTCGTGCATGCACTTTCAACTTGGAAAGCGATTGGTCGCTCGAGAGAAACCGGCGGCCGCAGAGCTCTTTGGTCGTGTTTGGAGCAGTATGGGCTCATGGCACGGACAGATCACATAAGAGATGAAGTCGATGAAGCTGCGCCAATCATCTCCTGGTCCACTCAAAAGGTGACCCTCCGACACAGCATCAGCGTTGATTGTAGGGCTGATTCGCTCGTGTTGACCAGAAGCTTGCCAACACCCGGCGTGGCTGTGACGGTGTCCCCACAATACCCTGAGCCTGAGCCGCAACATGAAGAGCTGGCAACTCATCCGACGGTAGCAGTAATGTCATCTCAAGGGGAGGCGCAGTCGCGGACGATATTTTACAGAGCGTAGGCTGCGTAGAATAGCCGAGATAATGCGAGGAGCACGATGACCGTTCCGCTAGGCTTTACAGTATACTAAGGACCACTCCTTGGGACATCTGATCAATATTCACTTCCCATTCGTACATCTCTCGCGTGTAAGTACCGAAAATTTCATATTGTATTATCTTAACATATGAAATTCCTTGGTACGAAGCTGCAAGGCGAAAAGACGACGAGAGACGGGGTCTGAGGTCAAGGGGAAGGACACAAAATTGAGGTGGTCGGGGACAGCAGCCTGGGCTATCACTAGCTGGGACACCGCGACAAAAAGTGACAATAGGTGACCCATACTAGCAGCATGGCTGGCGCGGCAGTCGCGCCGCGGTCAGGCCTATCGCGGCTCAGTCACGCCTGAGCTCGGTAGAATCATGTCCGACGCATTCTAGCTCGCCACTAAACATTTGAGCATGATACGCACTTTTCACATAAGCTGAGCAAGAGCTTGAGTGCCACTGAATATCTTCGTAGTTTTTAGGCACACTGTGCGACTCCGGTAACAGTCCCAGCATTACTCAAACCGGCGCACATGACGGTTTTCGAAACCTTTTGCTCCACCACCTACGCCACAATCACTGGAGGACTCTGGTTTTTAACAGCACATAGATGTAGATGTGTTACACACAGGAAACGGTAGCGATAGGCCTGACAGGATGCGTGAGGGCAGAAAATGGCGTGTCCCAAGTAGCGGTGCTGTCCTACACTGTACCAAATTCACGACTGGCCTTGTCTCAGATATTTTCAATTGGCTCGGGATCAGGTTCAGACGCGCTGTACCACACCGCGCATAAATAAAATACCGTTAACTGCTGCTTCAGGCGCGTGTTAGTTTCGCTCGCAAGCCTTGCAGCGTGCGAGATACTTATCCCAGGGGACCACGTAAAGGTCCGCGCCAGGACAGCCCCGCCCGCTGACGGTGGCTGCCCTTCCCCCGAGTAGCTACCTGCGGGAACTATGAACAATTGCAGCTACAACTACTCGACTGCGACTACCCAACCACAACCATCCGAAGGCTAACTGCTACGACTACTCAACTACAACTATCCAAGGGAAATTTACAACCACTTTGAAACTATTCAGACGGGCTCACGCACTCACACTCTCAATCTCATTTTCACTCTTGTTATCACTTTCGCTCTCGCTTTCACTCTCACTCACTCGTTCACTCTCATTTTCACTCTTACTCACTCACTGTCCGCACCAATGCCCCTATATATTTTGAGGCAGATTGAGGCAGACGGTGCAATTCACTTAGACTCACAAAACAAACAAGAAGGGGGAAAAACAAGGGCGTCGTGTACCGAACGCCCCACATCCCTCGTCGGCTGTCCTGCTGAGTGTGCGCCCCCACACTCAGCCTACACCACCCAGTCGAGGCGCCACGGTCACGACCATCCCGACAACCGCGAGGCCATCAAGAGACCTCGCCCCATGACCCACAGCCCGACCGAGCGATGCATGGTTGAGGCCGCCCTATATCGACAGCCGGGGTGGCCTCTCCCAGGACGACGCTGTCCTCCCTGCTGACACACCCCGACACGCCGCCGAGGCAGCGCCGTAGATGTCCAGCGCGCACCGACTTGGATCGATGGCAGTGACCGCGAGGTGTACCACATCACCGCGAGTACTGGTGCTGGGGAGGCGAGACGGGGGTAGAGAAGCCAGCGAGCAGTCGAAGCGTACTCGCCGGTGACTGTGCAAGTTGATGTGAGTGATAGGTTGCAGAGGGTAGAGGACAACGAGGACGCACTGAAGGAAGAGGACATGGCCGACCTGGTCCGGGTCGCAGTGCCCAGAGGTCAAGTGGCCTGGGGAATGTGTGCGACAGCGGGGGGCTTTCTTATAGGTTGGTGAGGATGAGGCTGACTGGAGGGACAAACAAGCAGCAAACACAGGCGCGAGATCGAGATCGAGGGTCTCGGAGGGAGGCTGCGGCCAGAAATGGAAGGCATGTTGCCAAAGAAGGCAGGTCTCGGAGAAGTCTGGGAAGTTGGGCTGTTTTCGATGGCTGACAGGGCGTCCATCGAGGGGAGAGAAGCGCAGCTCGCTGGAGGAGCCGGGCAAGGGCCATGACATGTGACTATGTCATCGGAGGCAGCCGGAGGACAAGTCTTCTGATCACAGCGTAGCCAGCTCACTCGGCGGGGAGGAGGCTGATTCGAAACCTCAGATCTCGAAGCGTAAAGAGGTCCCATGTATGTGACACTGTATCTTGTTCAGTGTCTGCGCTTTCCCAGCTACATCCCTAAGGAAACTTCCGAGAAACATCTGCATTATATGTGGTGTATTTTTACATGTGTTTTCGTATTTTGTGTATAATAGTTTGCCGCTCACCACTGAGTCCAATATACTAGTACCAGGCAGAGCGAACCATGGACGGAGAAGCTGACAACATCACACAGATGAAAACTCCCCTGGATCCTTCAGTGGTAAATCGCCGGCACCAGTGCTCCCTGTTATCGGAAGCAAATGCATCGCATTTTCTTGAAATCCTGGGAGACTCCTTACGTCTTCTGGCCGTTCGAACTCGACTGTTTGATGATCAGTTGGCAGGGTGACATCGGAGTCAATCCGGTCTTGCTGGGTCAGACCGAGACACACCACAACAATGATCAACGTCGGATACAGGCACTGGCTATCGTTCAGGCAATCGTGCAAAGTAAGGGTAGCACGGAGACTCACGGTAAACTCCGATGCCAGTAGAGCGATAATATGCGCGCCCTCGATCTTCAACGCTATGAGAACGACCATGACAAGCTGCTGCAGCGATCAGTCTCCAACCAACAGTGCTGCCATGCCGTCGCACTTGCCCATGTGATGCAATATAGTGCGCCAGATTCGATGAGAAAGATAAGGATGGTCCCGTAGGCGGCCTTTCGCCATCCGATGACCTTGATGACATCCTGATGGTACCTCCTGCCACAAGTAACGCTCAGATGGACATGAAAGGATGACAAATGTTAACCTTACCAGTACACCCAGCTGATCATACCCACTGTCCACATATTCGTCGCCAGCACCAAGGTAGCCCATATGACGAGCCAGTCCAGGTAGGTGCCCTTATTAGCAGAGGCCATGGGAGACAATGGGCTTGACGTCAGCCAAATCGTGACGGCTCCTGCCACTAGTCGGATATGCAACTCAGAAGAGCGGTTTCTCGTGGCTGAGCACTTACACAGGGTAACGACCCACAGCGACGTCGGCACGACGATCATTTTATAGCTGCGTCCCCACAGGCCCCACGCTCTCCAAATAACGAGGCTGTCGCCCAAAGAACACTGGTGCACACAGCTTCAACAATGTACACGACGCACGCACGAAGGGACTCACATTGACGATCTCAGCTATGATGCTCTGTATCTGCGGAGGGTCCCCGATACGCGACGCGGGCTGCCAGCCGTCGACGAACGCCCGGAACGTGTACTCGTTCACGGCTGCAAAGTGCGTCGTCGCAAGCACGAACATGAGCACGGTCATCGCGCCCAGCGTGAGCGCGACCCTGTTCCGCTCGCGCCGTGTCCTGTAGCAGCGCCGTGAGCACACTGTGCTCCTGCGGATCACCAAGGCCGGCCCACTCACAGAATGAGCGTCATCGCTGCGCCGAACACGACGACGTTGATGCCTGTTCACGCGCTCACTCGTCACCGGCGCTCGGACGCATTCAAGGGCTCACGGCGCTGCTCACCGTACGCGATGGCCTCTGCTACCATCGACGCGAGCTGCGATCTGGCTTGGGAGAAGGCCATGGCGTGTGCGGTGCAAGACGTGTGCGGGGTCCGCACACCTGCTCGCTGACCTTTATCGAAGGATGGAGCCAGGTCTGGTTAGCTGATCGGCGGGACCCTTGATGTGAGCCAAGGACTCTGCATCGCGGGAACCCGTCGGCCCCGCACATTCAGGGCCTGTGCCCTTGCAGTGGACGGCCCGTTCCATCAACTGTACCTTGCCATGAGAGCGGCGTCCCGACTCCCGACTCTCTGTTCGAGCCTCCGGTAAATCGTCCTGTAAAATAGATATAGCAGCCCACACGTGAGCTGAGTCACGAGAATCGTCGCCGAGCACGAACGTCGTACCTGGGAATGAGGCTCGGGAAGTCGCTGTTGAGCTAATGCTGCTCGGGTGTTGCAACGGAGCAAGCTGCCGACGCCAGTCCATGGCCACGCGAACCACGACGGGATAGGGATAAAATAAGTGGTTCCCATTGAATAGCTGCCTAAAGCAAGACTGCAACGCCTCTAGTAAAAGATACACACTACGAAACATTACTACGACTTGAATACCTTCCAAACCCGCAAGGCAGTCGAGACATCGACCGTGAAGTCGCCAGGCTAAGGGACCTGGCACGCCCACCCACAGCTTACTGAAACCGGAGGGGGAGGGTATAGATGCGCGAAGGAAGAAGGGAAGGAAGAAGGCTAAAGGAAAGTGTGGGTGGGGTGTTAATCAATGTGCACGAGCTGCCAGTGCGTAGAATACCGGAGAAATCGTAAGAAAACGAGAAGAAAGTCATAGACAGGGTCGTGATACAGATGAATAGAGAAAAGAAAACGAGGATCGACAAAAGAGTGTGCAGGTGTAGTAGTGAAATCCGTATAATGATAATGCGATGGTCAGAATTCAGCAAGTTGCGTATTCCGGAAATCGACAGATGAGCGGAGATGGACGAAGAGCGAATGCGACACAGCGAGGATACGAAGGGAGACTGATCGAAACGCAAGGCCAGATGGCTGCTCATTGCACGTATAGCGTCACCTGGCTACCAGGCCGGAACGACTCGAACGCCATCTGGACGTCTTCCGTTGATCCTAGCGACACGAGGTCGCCATCTTCGTCCTTGTACTTGACGCGCAGGGGCCCGTCGTCTCTCCTAGGTCCGCATAGCCGAATTTTCCTTCCGACTCTTTCCACGAGCTCTTCGTACTCCGTCGTCCGCGGCACCTGTATGACGAAGATGTCTTCGTGGAAGTGCACCTTGACCTTCACAGGCACCGTCAGTTCAAGCTGCTCCGTTGCGGACTGCAGCACCTTGTCATGATGTGATCGTGCGCTGACTCCCGTCATGCCCGATAGTGAAGTGTCGCTCGACCCGAATGGAGTGATCGGTGAGCTGTTTGGTGAGTAGTCTGAGCTGTTGTCTGCCGTAGATTGGCTCGAGCCGCTGCCGCGCTTGCTCTCACCGTTGACATGCGGTGGGTGCCCAGTCCATGGTGACGGGAGCGGCGGCGGCGCCTGCCGTGCGATATATGCGCTCGGTTGGCTCGCACTCCGCGATCGCTGCAGGGGGAACGATGGGGGCTGTGGACTTGGCCCGCTTGCCCGTGATTCCGGACGGTCATGCTGCGTGCGCAGCCTGTTTGAGCTGAACTGACTTCGTAGAGCCGGCCGTTGTTGGTAGTCACCGCCTTGACTGCTCCTACTTGATGCCGGTCGTCCGTTTGGCATTGCCGGCGGGTATGCGCTGGGAGGCAGAGGTGACGCCGAGCTGCGCATACGCCCACCCAGAGGCGTCGCTCGCCCCGAAGATGGCATGCTCGATGCGACAGGATAATCCTCGTAGTCGTCATCGCCGTCTACGTCAAAACCGTCGTATGGTGGGTATCCTTGTGGGCCGTTGGCAACCCCGTCTTCTGGCATTGACGGGAAGCGCCCGGTGCGAGCGCTGCTGGTGGGTGGCGGGAACTGCGACATCGTTGCGCTGCCGGACATCGCAGACGTAGCGCTCGAGACGATAGAGAATGTACGGTCGCTTGAGTAACCATTTTGGCGGGATGATGGGGCTGGGCTAGTGCTGTTCGCGACCTGCGTGAAACGCATGTGCATGCTCCGTGATTCGGATGACCGCCGAGCAGCGACCTCCTGTATGAGACGGTTCAACTGGTTCTCCCACAAACGCAGCTGCTCCTCATTGCGACAGCGGAGGGTGAAGTACTCCAGATCGTCGTCGCCCTTCCAGTACACCGCAAGCGAGTATTGGCCTAGAAGGGATAACGACATCAGCGGTAATACAGCGGTGGGAACAGCGCTCACGAACCTGCATTGACCTTCGGAACCGCGCTGGTGACATTGTTCAAGAAGATCCGACCCTTCAAGAGAAGGGGCGTGTTCTTCTTTCTCCCGTTCGAACTAGCAGGGATGTTCAAAGGCATGGGTACGCCTTGTTTTTTCAAGAGGGAGTTGGTCTTGCCAGCCTTCTTCGCGTTCGGGCCTTGAGGGACGTATTCCTTGCAGCAGAGAATAATCTTCTCAAAGAGGAAAACGTGGTATTCACGGTCCATGTCCGACTTGGTTACCGTGAAGATGTCGTCGAGAAGGAGAGTACCAAAGTTGGAAATGTGGTGACCCTTCCAGTCTTCTACCCGGCCTTCAAGGTTCTTGACGGTAGCGAGGTTCTCAGCGCGACGCTGAGCTTCGTTGATCATGTCCGTGATCCGCTTAGCGGCGGCGACGCCCTGCTTGAGCTCCTCCAGATAGGGGTAATCATCCTTGCCGTTCAGGACCTTCACCAAGCTCTGCACCCAAGCGCCATTAGCACAGCGGTATCTGACGCATCACACAAAGTGAAACGCACCTCAAGTAGAAGGGGATACTTGCAGATGCGCTGCACTGGCTTGATAAGGAAGGCCGGCAACTCCGACTTCACGTTCAGAATGTGGTCCAGAGCCTAATCGGAGTTAGCGCCCGCAGTTGGCCATAAGCGCAGAAGCCGCGATCGGTTGCAACCCACCGAAAGATGATGCTCCTCCTGTAGCATGATCTCGCTCGCGGATGTGTAGTTCGCACAATAAGGCACGTAAACAGCAAACTCGTCCTCCTATTGTCAGTGTCGCCGCGTATGTCAAGTAGAATGCAGACGGGTCGAGACAATAAAACAGTGAGCCGACTAGCGCAATTTGGGTTGATTGGAAGTATGGACGCACGAATTCGGTGAAGGGCTGGCCCCAGTGCCTTTCATTCCAAGGTAATTCCCATATGCTCTCGAGCTTGATGAGGAACGTTCGCTGGAAGTTCAACAGCTTGTTGAGACCAGGGAACAACAGATGGATGGTATCTTGATCAATGGTGTTTGTCTGTGCAGCGGCAGTTGCATATTGCTGTTGTTCTCTGGTTAGAGCACTGGTCCGCGCTGCCGGGAGACAAGGGACGCACCTGCATCGTTTCCAGATCCTGTACGTACTTTCGCTCCGTGTGAATCAGCTCCGTCACAACCTGGCAACCTGGATAGTCGCTGAATCCCGAAGCGTACATATCAGAGGGAAGCGAGTCGCTCGAGTCTTTGGGCGAGCAGAGTGGTGGTGATGAGGGCATGTCATCTATGTAGGCCTCATCTGGCAGCATGTCGACGACGGCAGTGGCAATATTGACCACCTATCCTATATTAGCCACAACACGTGCGCTAGGTGGACAAGTGTAGACGCACCTTGACGAAACCGTCGGTAGAGCTACGATCCCAGAGGTCGGTCACTGTGAAGGTGCCGCAACCCTCGAGTTGCTTGCACCCCATAGCAAACTGGGCAATGGCGCGCTTCCTCATCCGCTCATTTGTGGGGTCGAATGAGGCAGTGTCAACAGGAATGGGGTTGACAGAAGGGAGGAGATTGAAGAGATAGCAGAGAGGAACGCCCAAAGCGAAGCAGTCCCAAAGCTGGGTGACGGGATCGGTTGAACGGCGCGAGGAGGAGGACTCGGGGGCGGCTGAAAGACTGAAAAAGCCTGAGAAATCTTGCACGCGCATCAAGCGAGTGCGGAGAGCAGAGCATTGCTGGTAGAGGGATGTAGACTGAGACGCAGCCTTGTTGAGGACGGTGTTGTTGGGAACGGGAAGGTCGATGGAGGGCCCTGCACTCGAGATTATGGACTTTTTTCGCCCAGCGGCGGAGGTCATGACTGGGGTAGGGGGGCGGTGGGCGGCGTGTACAGCGTGATGGACGAGGGAGAGTGGGAAAGAGTGTCTGGGCGGGTCGGGAGGAAGGTTGTATAGGACTGCCAGGCCTTGCAGCGTTCACACAGCCGACAACAACAGGCCAACTCCGACTCCCGTTTGGCCCTGTTTGGCCCCAATCAATGAGGCGGTTGCCCGCGCTAGTCCCACTTCCCACGCTCGTTCGAGCCCTCTCCCAAAAAACAAAATTGAAACATCTCGTCAGCAATTTGTTCAGCATCCGTGCTCTCACACAAATCGATGTGCAACTCCCGCGGACACACTTCAACAAACCGAACATCATCCATCGAGACCTCACAGGGGCTGGCTGGCAACTGCCTCATCATCTCATCTCTCAGCTCGCGTGCATGTGCAGACATCAAACTGTCGACACTGTCCGTACTCAGTACATCTCAGAAATGCGTATATCACCCACCGCTCACTCCGCCGCATTGCCATCAAATTCGAACAGCGTCATCCGGGCATTTAAAATATACTTGCATACTAATACCTCGCTGGCCAGCCAAAGGGCACTTTGAGGAGACCATAACTCCCAGCTCACCCTCACGACCACCATCGCCTCGCGCGTCGCTAGGTCCTCCACAATCTTGTCGTTTGTATTACTCGATGCCGTACGATTGTTCTCACCTGATAGGCATCCTTCAGTGGTTGACCGAGCATCGTGGCGCCTTGTAATGAAAGATGGCAGGCCTGCGGCCTCATGCAATGTTATCTGCCCTTGTCCGAGGACGATGGTCCCTTAAGGGCGTGCAGATCCTCCACAGCAGTAGCGAGAAAGCCAAGCGTCGCCCCTGCAGGATGACGTGAAACGTGTGTTCCTCGAACGGCAACAAATGTGCCAAAGCCCCGTCATCGGACGACGCGCGTGGCTGCACATCGAATGGCACCGATAGGCTACCTAGGCCAATGGCGGCATTCCCTCGTGTCCGGCAGCTGCCTCTTCCTTCTTGAAGGTCTGAAGACGAATTCGCATGGGGAAGCGGCCCTGCGAACGCCGCGAAGCGTGCACAAGACAGTGATTTCCGCCTATCCGTGGTAATCCGTGTTGTCGGAAAGATGAACTTAACCTTGCGTGTATACTTCGGAGGGTCAGTGTGAAGCCTCTTGCCTTATTGAACCAGGCCTGCAGCGCCGGACTTTGCGGTGCGCCTTTCGTATTACCTACCGCGGACAGTGGCTTGTTCTCATTGGACGCCTTACGACAATACCCCTGCAGAGGCTTTTATTGAAAGCACCTTGCGAGTCGAGTACATAGCGTCAGCTGAGTCCGTAAACCCACACTCCACCCCGGCTCCTCCACAGTGGTCATGGGCAAGCGTAGTAGGTGCCACGTACATACATTGCTGACAGGCTTTGCGGAGTAGCTTGCCATCTTTCATCTACTGTTGCGATGATGGCCGGAGCAAGTCAAGCAAACCGAGTCGAACTTTACAGCTGATTCGCGGATACATGCATTAATCAAGCCGGGAGGCGTGCTACATATCATCACGCCACGGTCAGGCTCTCGCCCTCGCCCACGTCTCAGGTTTCAACACTGGGATTCACTGGGCCTCCGGTGTCTGCATCAAGACTTCCGCACGCCTTGTAAGTGGCTGGGGATAACCTCACGCCGTCGCATCCGATGTTGGCGGAGAGCCCTAGACGGTCCAGAAGCGCTCGGTTTCTATGGTCGGGGCAAGGTGTTCGAGTTGTTCTGGCGCAAGCACAACCCCTCGTGTTCATGTTCTACATATAAGAGGTATATGTTGAGTATGATCTGTGGATAATTTTTCGAATTCATTGGCGAGGGACATGCTTTCCGAGGATGGTGCTCATTGGGTGATACTAGTAGTGTTTCGGTGGCCGTACTCATGCTACATGGTGAGTTAACAGCAGGCAACACAGCTCCTAACTTAGAGACATCATAGACAGGGATAGCTCATGAGGCATACGCGCGAACGTTCGTTACTATCGTCGAAATATGACGAAGGGGGCACATGGGCGGGGTAGTAACCGTCAAGGTCAGAAACACTCTTCCACAAGAGCCGGTTGCCCTGATCACCACCCCGAAGCGGGGCAACATTCTCCATCTCTGCGAACTGCCTGCCGTCGAATGTTGACGTCGGCATCGTGCGATCAAGTGATGCTATAGGCAGAATCACGCAAAATCTTTTGCGGGTGCACGAGAAGCGGCTTCGTGGCGGTGAGCTGCGTGTCCGGGGCCGGTCCCTGCAAGCTAGCCCTTGATAGCGGAAACTTGTCGGCAGGGTGGTGTAAGAAGACTACACAGGCCGCTATAATCTGCTCTGTTAAGGATAGAAAAGATGGGATGCGGCGGGATGCAATCTGTCGTGGGCAATCTGTGCAATGCATCCCGCCAACTGGACTACCTCAGCTGGCAGACAACGAGGGATGCAAGAGCGATGAGCAATCGACCGACAGCGATGAGGGTAATACTGTAGTAGCTTCAGCCTGCCATTTGAAAGTGCCTCCGCTTGACCTCCGCGGCAGCGCGGCGAGCCAATCAAATTCGACACGATCATGATCGTATGATATTCAAATTAGGAGATGATATCATCAAGGAAGGCGACAATTTGCACTCGCCCGAAGTTTGCACAACTCAGACCGGGCATAGCCACACCCTCATGACAAAAAAGGAGTTCGATTATTCGCTCTATCTCGTCACAGGCAGGGATCTCCTCCCGCCTGCGAAGGTGCAGCAGAAACTATCAACAGTCCATCTCGTCGTGCTAATACTTGTCGGAAGGACTACCTCGAGAGCCTGGAAGAAGTAAATACATCCGTTTAGTCACTCCGTCAACAATAATTCAAAACCTTTCACAGGCTCTAAAAGGTGGCGTCACGCTCGTACAAGTGCGAGAAAAGACTGCCGACACCGGAGAGGTAACTCCGCACTCGTCTGTGTCATTGCGTCACTTACATACCCAGTAGATACTAGACGTCGCGCGAAAGACCAAGGAGCTCTGCGACAAGTACGATGTGCCCGTGATCATTGACGATCGCATCGACATCGCACTCGCCATGGGCGCCGATGGCGTGCACCTTGGCCAGACTGATATGCCCGTGCCCATCGCCCGTGCCTTGCTACCGCCGGATACCGTCATCGGCAAGACCTGCAACACTCCCGAGCATGTCCGCGTCGCGATATCAGAAGGCGCCGACTACGTCGGCGTTGGCCCTGTCCGGGGCACCCAAACCAAAAAGGTGAAGCACCCCGTTGTTGGCCCCCGTGGCATCGGCGAGATGCTTCAGGTGCTCGACGGCACGGATGTCAAGGCCGTCGCAATCGGTCCGTACGCCACGGTCTTCCTTCCTCCTGCTGTTTTGACCTCGGGTTGTAGCGGGTATCAACTCGACTAACGTTTTGCACTGCCTTTGGGGCTCTGTATCTCCCACCGGTCACCAGCTCGATGGTGTCGCAGTCGTAAGCGACATCATGGCGTCACAAGATCCGTACGCATCGTCGAAACGGCTGTCGGACGCCATCAAGGCATTCTACCGCTCGCCGCTCCGGACCTTTTCGCAAGGTCTGTCTACAGCACCGTACAAGGTTGAGGGCATCAAGACCGCAGTGGGCTCGATCCTGCGGTCCGTCAAGCAGTTTTCTCCCCTCGTACATCAGGTTCTCTACCGCAGTTTTCAGTTAGTGGCTTGACGTGCTAACAGTGTGGCGATGTGGCAGATCACAAATAATGTCGTGACGAACCAGTCCGCGAACGCGACGCTTGCGCTCGGTGCGTCCCCTATCATGGCGACCGCCCCGGAGGAGATGGCGGACCTGAGCAAAGTCACCGGTGCGCTCCTCGTCAACTTCGGCACCATCCAGAACCTGGACGGCATGCTCGAGGCAGGTGCGTCTCTCAACTGATATCTCGGCACTGATGCCTCTGCCCGACGCCGTACCTACACGCTGATCGTCGCTGCCAGGCCGAAACACGAACATTAACCGCAAGCCCATCGTTTTTGATCCTGTCGGTGTCGGCGCCACGGCATACCGGAGAGAATCTGCCCAAGGTTAGCACCGGACTCTCATCGCTGACGTACCTGCGACGCCCACTAAATTAAAATCTTAACCTTCTCGATAGGACTACTGAGTGCATGGCAGGCGACGGTCCTCAAGGGGAACGCCGGCGAGCTCGCGGCAATCGCTAACTCCTCAGAGGTAAGAAATGCAAAGACTAGAGAATGTCGGACTCGGCTGACCGAGTGCAGGTCCAGGCAAAAGGCGTTGACAGCCTAGGTCAAGGCTTTGCCGACCCGGCGAGCTTTGTGCGCAAGCTCGCACGGCAGCACCGTGAGTTCTTCCCCACGTTCCTCTACTCCGTTGCCTACTGACGTACGCTCCAGGCTGCATTGTCGTGCTGACGGGCGTGACCGACTGGGTGTCTGACGGCCACGCCGTCGCACGGCTCTCGAACGGGCACGCCCTCCTTGGCGAGATCACGGGCTCAGGCTGCATGGTCGGCACCGCCGTCGCAACGTTCTGCGCCGGCGCGAGCACGGCAGCCGCCGCTGGCCGCGCTGCCGACGCTGAAGACGACGGAATGCTCGTGCGCGGTGACATGTTTGTGGCCGCCATTGGAGGGTGCGTCTCCTTCCCTTACGATTACCCGTGTTCGACGGCTGAATGCACGATGGGTCCTCAGTGTACTGGCGATAACGATCGCTGCAGAGATCGCTGCCGCGCGAGAAGATGTTAAAGGCAGTGGGACGTTCCTCCCCGCCCTGATTGACGAGCTCGGAAAGCTCACCGCGGAAGACCTCGCGAGCAGGGCGAACATCGCGCTCGTTTGAGGCATAGAGCTACGGATACATCAAGTCCCAAGAAGGGTTTGTGATATACAACAACCTTGCATACGTCCGATGGATGAATTGAATTAAAGCCCTACTTTCTACCTGTTTCAGAACAGATGACAGAATTTTGCGTCTCCAAGATCTTCGAGAAAGGCATCTCGGGCGTCGGCTGCAACCAGTTTTTCGTATCATACACCGCATGTGGCGGAGACTCGACCATATGAAACGTGTACGCAAACCGTGTATTCGGGCTTCTGTTCTTCTCAGACTTGTGCAGGACGCTCCCATGAATTAGCACCAGATCGCCTATCGTCGTGATGACAAATTACTGAGTATCGAGCTTGGCACGGGGACGATAGGGACATACCGGGCTCGCATGCCTCCAGAATGTACTTTCCCTCCGGGCTCGGTGGCACCTGGGTCGCCGGGATGAGTTCCTCGAAACCTGTGCCTCCTGTTGGAAGGCGCACGAAGCGCTTTGTGATAGGAGCAGTCTTATGCGAGCCAGGCAGGAAGGAGAGTGCGCCATTCTCCGGCGTGCACTTCTCTAAGGGTATCCAGAAGCCGAGTGCTGATGGCGGGTCGGTATACTAGAGATATGAGGATGAATGAAACTTGTCAGAATCAGTGTGGCTATGATGTGCTGACCAGGAATGTGCTAATTGAGGGAAAGCACTTATCAACTGATGATCATGCAGACGGCTAGAATGGACGTACGAATCGTTGTGTTCAGGAACTATGAATGAAGGGATGTTAGGTTTGAGAGATGCACCAATGGTGTCCGCACACACCTTCTCCTCCAATATGAGTTTGCTTGCAAATAATCATCGACTGCAGGGCTTAAGAGGCGTTGAGTGAGCTTCTGATACGACTGAATTATTACAGCGTTTGCTCACCGACTGGGTCATGGTGGAACTTCAAGTCCTTTGCAACGGCCTTGATAGCCTGGTTCTCAAGCGTGACTTCGCGGAACACAGAGTCGAGCTCATGCAACCCTGACACATACTCTCAACTCATGTTGGCTGAAGACGCCGGAAAGACGCACGCACCATGTCCAATCTTGTTCACCGCCTTCTCCTTCGGACGGGTGAGCTTCCCGTCCTTACCGACCGCCTCCTCCTCGAGGAAGTACCGGATCTTGTCACCCGAGCTCAGGAAGTAGTCATCCCCAACGTGATTGTCGTCGCCAGTTGTAAACTTCGTCTGCATACCAGCAAGGTCCCGCAGACGTCAGTTGGCGACAGAGCACGAGAACGAGGGAGTGGAGGCGCACGAGCGGGTGGTCCTCGAGGCTGAAGTTCGCCAGGAGCTGTCGCGAACGCGTCAGTAGCGCCTCGGTATCCTCTGGACTCAAAAAGTTGGGCAGTCGCAAGTATCTTTCGCCAGGCGGTGGTATGAGAGATAGCGTTGGTCGATAGGAAGGTACTCACCCGTCACGGTAGAACTAGAGGATGGTTAGACGGCTATCGGACCCAAGACTGCCATATATTGACACACCTGGTCAACCTGCTCCTGCGAAAGGTATTGCAGACCGGTGTCTCCAATGGCCATGGCTGATGTACGCGGCGAAGGCACTGACTAGTCGAATCTCCTGAGTTCAGGTCTCTGTCTCGGTCAGCGCGGACCGGCGAGAACCATTCTCACGACCAAGAATTGAAATTCGATATCCCAGCCTCATTCCTAATTATACAGTGACACTGAAAGTTTCAAACGAGTAGTGTGCAGAAAGCGAAACGACGAAGATATAGCGGAGCTCGTTCGACATTTTGTGAGCTTTTTCGAAAAAGTGATAAAGAGATGAGCAAAAGAGATACTATAGCAAAAGCCGGAAAAGTAATCATTCTGCTTCTTCAGCCTCGTCAATGTCTTCTCCATTGGCCAACTTAGTTATAAGATGATCGATTTTTGCCTTGTGAATGCGGTGGTGTTCCTGCCAGCCTTTCCATGGATGGTGCGGATGCTAAATAACCGTCTCAGCAACCAGAGTCTGGCGGTGTCGGAGTAGGTCTACTCACCAGTCGACCAAACTCCTGGAACACCTTGTCTGTCGTTCCCTCCGGCCTATTCGCAAAGAATCCAGCCAGCAGAACGTCATCCGCCTTCGTGTACCGCATCTTCTTGGGAGGCGGGGGCGGCAGAGGGTCGTCTCCCTCTTTGTGCTCGAGTTCGTGCTTGTGGCGACGGTAAAACTTCATCCAAGATGCACGCGAATGATGCGGCGCCTTTCCATGATATCAGCCAGAGCGTTGCAGATGCACAGAGCTCGGTGCCGCACCTTGGTAGCCACATCCTTCCAGAACGCCACCATGTCAATCTTGCCGTCCTGCTGTCTTGTGCGGTACTCTAGGAATCGAACAAGGAAGATAACATCCTCGTCTGTAAATGCGACTCCCTTCCCAGTCGTGCTGCGGAACAGCGCCCTCGGCGGCGTCGGTGATCTGGTTCGTTCAATGTCCGCCGCAGCACGCTGCCTTGCAGCAGCGACCGAGCCTGGATGCACACCGGGGACGGGCGGCGCAGGCTGGTGGGGTATCTCTGCAATCGGAACGCCCTCCTGGATCTCTTCATGCATTTGTTGATCTTCTTGCTGCTGCTGGGGCGGCGGCTCGCCGTCGCCGACTGGAGTCTGTTCGTGTTCGTCGTTGTCCAGCTCCATAGCATAGCCTCCGAGTCGGATCTGGTGCTTGTTACAATACCGACGCCACGAGTAGAATCTGCGTTTCCCAACTCAGCACTCTTGAGGTTGAGCAAGAATCATTGATGGCTCACGTATGATGAGGGGCTTTGACAGCGATCCGTTCACAAATCTCACGCAAGCTGTGGCAATGTGAATAATGACCTCTTCCAGGCCCGATCATGCCGCTTACCTCAAGACCAGACCTTGCTCCTGGCAGTAGTCGATATACTTCTTCAAGTAAAGCACGTCTTCAGAAGTAAACAAGTTGCCACCATATGTGCTCTTAATGACGCGTGAGGGCGGCGTCGGTGACCTGGCTGGCGGGTTTCGTCTGTTGACGACAAGGGTGGAGGCAGGAGGAGCGGGCTGTGGCTGAAGCAACGATGAATCTGAGAAGTTCCTGCCAGCATACAGTACACACGCACCTGCGAGCGATGTCGCTTCCGACCCCTTGCTGGCGTAGGCTCCCGCGAAGGCTCAGGAGCGTTCGAGGGCCCAGCTTCAGGCATAGGTTGCTCTTGAGGATAGTACGGTGCGCTGTATTGCTGTTCACGCTTGGCGTTGAGCGACCCCTATGCATTGAAGCACTGGTATGAGACAGAGCTCACCTGTGTGTAGTACTCAGCAGGGGGACCTGGCACCCATTGTGTATGTTCGTGTTCCCTGCCATATTGGTATCCGTATTCTGGGGGCGGCTGAGGCACAATGGCGCCAGGTGGGGGCGGTTGGTGCGGAGTCGCGGCCCCAGGTGGAGGCGGATATGCCCATTCACGGGGGTAGTCATATCGATACCCGGGAGATGGTGGTCCGTGAGGAGCACCAGGAAGGTGCGGAGGCGGAGGCGGCATACCACTAGGCTGCCAGCCCTGGGGAGGCGCAGAGCCGTCCGGAGGCATGGGTGTATGCGCGGGGTAGGGCTGGTATGCGTTCTGGTCTGCCTGCTGCTGCGGTACTTGTGGTGCCTGAGCTTGTGTCTCCTGCTGGGGCTGTTGTTGAGCAAGAGGGTTCAGCGGGTCAACTGAGGACGCTGTTATCGGCATCGGGTGACCATTGACAGTCTGGGGTGTCATGACCACTGGGGGTTGCGGCTGGCCGGGCGATGCTGTTGAAGCGGGTGGTTGCTGAGGAGGAACATTGGGAGATTGAACGTTAGTGGGATGCGGAGGTGGGGGCAGCACAGCAGGAAGAGCAGACGGGTGTACAGGCTGTACCGCGGGATGCTGGGCGGATGGATGTACGTAGACATTGGGGGGATACATAGCATAAGGATAGCTGCGATTAGTGAGCGGCGCGGAGGTGAATGGCCCAGCTGGCTGAGGAGCTGGTTGGGCAACTGGTTGTGCTGGGACAGGCGGGGGCGGAGGTGGCGCAGTTGTCGCGTTCTCTCTGTGCATAGGCTGATGTTGAGTCCCCTAATCCTCTGGAAGAGAACAGACACTTACCTCTCTTTCCCTGTTAACTTGCACCCCGCCCATTGCGTGGCGAAGCCATGCAAAGTCTTGTCCTGAATACAATGAAGGACCCAATGCGCATTCAGGATAATTTTATTCTTCTTGCCGGCGTATTGTCTGTAAAGATTTTGCCCTGACTCCTTCAAGGGGTCCACTACAGCTACTGTCAATATTTGCAGAGTGCCAGCTGAGAACAGGACGCGCCTAGGATGTACATGACACCACTGTATCCCGGAGAGACGACGCCGCCATATTTCTGCGAGGAAGTCAGTTATCGCATCCGGACAAAGGTCGCTACGCGACGGGAGAGCAGCCGAAGCAGTACTCACGACAACTTGCTCAATTACAGCGTCCCTGTCCTCGACATCTTTCTCGACGTACAGCTGCAGCGGTTGGCCACTCATAGGATCCAGGAAGAGCTTTTCGGCATTCTCGTCAGCGGGCGGAGAGGGCGGCCGTGGTTGCTGTTGAGCGGGCTGAGGCTGTGGTGCTTGCGGCTGCGGTTGTGCATCCTGAGGCTGCGGCTGTTGCCTGCGAGTGCCTTGAGACCGCTGAGCGCGTCGACCGTTCGTGCGGGCTGGTGCCATGGGTCTTGGCCGGTCGAGGGAGGATGAGTTGTTGGAGTCCTGGGACTCCTGCGCCCACGACCCGCCGGTTCGGCTGAGCCATGCTGAGCTTGAATTTGGGCGCCTAATTGATCTCAGCCAGACTACGCCACAAAGCCGCCCGCTCCGGTCGACCCCCTCACTTGGAACAGCACACCAGTATCGTGCCCTTCGCGTACGCATGCAAAGCTAGTCGCGTTTGCGACGTTATGTGCGTTCTTTTGCACGTTGAGCTTAGCAAATCCCGTCGTTCAGATAATATCTATGGTGGATGTTGTTTGTCCAGGACTCCAACGCAGCCGTCGCCGGCAAACTCAATCTTAAAGCTGGAAGACCCATGTGTTCGGGCGGGCTCATAGCACACTGAACAATCTTTGCTTCCTAGCGCAACAAAGATCCTCGATGCTCGCCTCTCATTATCCGCACTTCGGGCGCCGTTGACACAGACGATATTTCGTGCTGGCCCGTCACAGAAGCCGCGTCCCTCTTGCGCTTCCCCACCAACAATGCTTCTGTGTGAGTTCTGTATCAACGGAGATGTTCCTTTCTTAGATCTGATTGGCTGGCAAAGAGAAGCTGCGCGTGTGACATCCTCATATAGCAACCCTTGTCCCACCCATCGGTCCCTGCACGGTAAGTACAGGCCCTCTCTGTACAGCTATCCGCTATCTACAAAAATAATCCTCTATTCAGTGTATGCTACGTCTGAAAGTCAGCGGCGGCCGTGCTGCAGGCCATCATAATCGTCTCCACTAGACACGCCTATCAAGCGAAGACAAAGTTCAAGAGCGGCGAACTACGTACACCGCATCCTTGAGCAGCAGCATAAATGGACACATCCTCATCGCCCTATGAACTTCGGAAAGCACTGGTGCAGCCCCACTCTCGACCTTCACTCGACTACCGTTAAGCATGCCTAGCACAGATCTCACAAAGTTTCCCTCACCCATCGGCGGTATCCCGCTTCCTCGGGATCTCGCTCCTTCCGTTACTTTTGCTTTCCTCTTCTTCCTCCTCGTACTGCTCGGAGTATACCGGCTGCTCCGTCGTACATCCCGCAGCCTGCTCGTAATCACAACGCTCGGGTTTGCCGTCGAAAGGTGCGTACGTGAAGGAACCCCTTACCGACCGTCACTTATTTTCATGCATGCGCGGCCAGAGTTATCATTTGGTCTTTGCGAGCCAAGGAATCACGCACGCCATCTGAATACTCCGATCGTCACCTCATGACCTATTGGCAAGTCACCTTTACAGTGGGCTACGTCATTCTCTTCGTGAAGCTCGTTATCTTTCTCCGATGCCTTGTCATGAACGCTACGGAGGAGGTATCGTCCCCCGACCTTCGCGTCTTGGAGGAGATGCAGAAGCCTAATAACGACTCAGAGACGCAAACCAAAGCGTTTATCGAAGACGCCGTTGTCGACGTTGGGGACCGTACGAACATTCGTCGCCGGTACAGAAGGCTGTCTCGTGCGGTGTTTATCATCGCCATCCTCGTCTTGATCATCGGTGTCGTTTCCGGCAACGCGTATGTCAAAGGAGAGACAAACAGGAAGAAGGCGCTGCTCGCGCAAGTGCTTAGGTGAGTGCTGTATCGAATTAAGACGAACTGAACGCTGACCCCCTTCTCGAAAGACAAGCCGCGGCAGTTGTCTCTCTGGCGCTGCTTCTCGTCCTTCAAGGCCTGCTTGTGTACGCTCATTTTACCGTGGGCTGCATCAGGCGGACGCCATTGATTCTTCTGTTTGCTGTTGGCGGCATCATCGTAAGTTGATAAGTTCATTATTATTCGCCTTGCCTGTCGTGCTTAGAAGATGTTCCTTGCAGATGATAATTCCAATCTACCATCTCGTTGTCATGGGCGGCCTCACAACGTCCCTCACGTCTACGGAACGAGGGTCACAGAATACATCCACTGAAAAAATTGCCTTCTACGTGCTCCAAGCAGTCCCGGAGTTCCTAGCAAGTGGAATACTGCTCTTTCCAAATGTCAGGACTATGTTTCGAGCGAATACTGGGTTTGACTTGCTACGGCACTTCAGACGTGGAGAACCACGGGCTCAGTGAGGTGTATGGGTAGTTTACTCTGCATACACACGTCCGCACCCATCCTCATTAGAAAGAGCGAAATTATGTACAAGCGTCGTCTGCCTTACCGGTTTCACAACACCACTTTGACCGTGAATGATTGGGCCACGAGCGCGAGAGCGTTTCTGCGAGATCTCGAATCATCCAATTGCCAGCCTCCTCTCCGCCAATCGAACTAGAAGACTTGTCTTCCGGTTGCCTCCGATGACATATTCACATGTCATGGTCCTTGGCCGGGCTGTGCTTCTCTCCCCTCGATGGACGCCCTGTCAGCCATCGAAGGCAGCCCAACTTCGGGGACTTCTCCGACACCTGCCTTCTTTGGCAACATATCTTCCATTTCTGGCCGCAGCTCTCCAAAGAAGTCCCTCCGAGACCCTCGATCTCGATCTTGCGCCTGTGTTTGCTGCTTGTTTGTCCCTCCAGTCAGCCTCATCCTCACCAACCTATAAGAAAGCCCCCCGCTGTCGCACACATTCCCCAGGCCACTTGACCTCTGGGCACTGCGACTCGGGCCAAGTCGGTCATGCCCCCTTCCTTCAGTGCGTCCTCGTCGTCCTCTGCCCTCTATGACCTATCACTTACATCGACTCGCTCACTCACCGGCGAGTACGCTTCGGCTGCTCGCTGGCTTCTCTACCCCCGTCTCGCCTCCCTAGCACCGGTACGCGCGGTGATGTGGTACACGTCGCAGTCACTGCCATCGATCCAAGTCGGTGCGCGCTGGACATCTACGACGCTGCCTCGGCGGCGTGTCGGGGTGTGTCAGCAGGGAGGACAGTGCCGTCCTGGAAGAGGTCACCCCGGTCGTCGGTATAGGGCGACCTCGACCATGCATCGCTCGGTCGGGCTGTGGGTCATGGGGCGAGGTCTCTTGATGGCCTCGCGGTTGTCGGGATGGTCGTGACCGTGGCGCCTCGACTGGGTGGTGTAGGCTGAGTGTGGGGGCGCGCACTCAGCAGGACAGCCGACGGGGGATGCGAGGGTGTTCGGTACACGACGCCCTTGTTTTTCCCCCTTCTTGTTTGTTTTGTGAGTCTAAGTGAATTGCGCCGTCTGCCGTCGACCAGCCTCAAAATATATAGGGGCATTGGCGCAGACGGTGAGTGAGTAAGAGTGAAAATGAGAGTGAGAGTGAGAGTAAGGGACAAAGTGAGAACAAGAGTGAAAATGAGAGTGAGCGAATGAGAGTGAGAGTGAGAGTGAAAACGTGTGAGCCCGTCCGAATAGTTTCAAAGTAGCTGTAGTTAATCCTTGCATAGTCATAGCGGAGCAGTTAGCCTTTGGGTGGCTGTGGTCGGATAGTCGTAGTCAGTTGTCGAGTAGCTGTAGCTGTAGTCGTTCCACAGTCGTCGTAGGTGGCTACTCGGGGGAAGGACGGCCACCGGGTTGTCCTGGCGCGGACCTTTACGTGGTCCCCTGGGATAAGTAACTCGCAAGCCGCGAGGCTTGCGGGCGAAACCAACACGCGCCTTAAACGAATGAGATAATTTTTTGCGTCCACGTTTATAGCCCTACCGAGGCTGGAGCGATGGGCTATTGTTTAAGATACGTACAAAGCTCGAAGAGAATGCATTACACTGTCTACGAATACAACAAGAATGAAGATTATGAGGGTATCTCTATGCATTGGTAGTGATGTGATCTGCTGAATGGAGCACGCGCAACCATGACTAGACGGACAGGTTCAGGACAAAACAATCTACTGCGCTTGAGCTTCCTGGTCGACGAACTCCTGTGCTTCCTCTCGTTTGATGGCGCGGATCGTACTGACTTTTTGATTGTTGAACAGTACGCCATAAAACTTGTCCGCGGTCACCAACATCTCAGGTCGGAAAGTGGTCGTAATGAACTGTGCCGTAGCCGAGAGCTCGTGAATCATCGCTATTGGAACCAACGTGCTGAGTATATGTGGTGGGAAGATAGCGGCATAGTTGACTCACCAGCAACAGCAGTACGGTATTGCGCATCGAGGTTCGCATCAATCTCATCGAAGAGGTAGAATGGCGCCGGATCGCACTTCTGTATCGCAAACACCGTCGCAAGCGCGACCAGCGACTTCTGTCCACCAGATAGCTGCTGGATGCGGAGTCCTTCATCGACTTTGGAGTTGAACGAGACCTTGATTGAGACGCCGGTGTAGTTGTCAATGGTCGTCTGCTGCGACTCCTCGCCCTCCTCTGCGTCCTCTTCGTCTTGGTCGATTCGCCTCTGGATGATAAGCCGTCCTCTGCCAGCGGGCACAAGCTTTTCAAAGACTTCCTCAAAATTCTTTGCGACCTGCTTGAACGTTCGCTCGATCGCCTCGTCTTTGCGCTGGTCGAGCACTTCAACCAGCTCCTGGATCGACTGCGCAGACTTATCGAGCTCTTCGCGACGCTGTCGGAGCTGGTCGCGTTGCTTCGTGAAGTTGTTGTACTGCTCAAAGGCCTTCTTGTTGACATGCGCGAACTTTTTAAGGCTTTCGTTGACGTTGTGCAGCTTTCTGACGAGCTGCATATGTTCGTCAATATACCGATGAAATCATGGTATCGTAAAAAAGCCATTTACCCTGTCCGTCTTCTCATTGGTGTACTTCTCGAACGCCTCTTCGGGAAGGACACCAAGGTCTCGAATGTTGCGGTTGCACTCCTCTTTGCGTTGCATAAGCATCGTCTTCTTCGCAAGGTATCGCTCTGTATTCTTCTGCTGTTTTGAGACGCCGCGGCTGTCTTCCGCCTGTTGATTCTGCAGACGCTCTACTGCTGCTTTATCTTCCTGTAGCTGCGCTTGAAGCTTCTCTCGCTCCTTCTCCAGTTCTGTGGGAGCAAATTAGCTGAGGATAACACCACGTGTAGCATGAATTCCAACCTTGCGATCTCTTCTGTAGAGCCTCGATGGACCTATTTAATTTCTCAAGCTCTCGTTGTTTAGCTGCAAGGTTCTCCGCTGCAGTTGAATCGCCCGCCTCGGCCTCGCCGAGGGTCTCGATTTTGGTCTTGAGTTCCTCGCGGCGACGGCGGAGACTCTCGTTGAGCTCAATTTCGAGCATGTTCTTCCGCTTACCAAGCTACGACGCGACGTGAGCTGAGCATTTCGGGATAGAGCAAGTAGCATACACACCTCGTTCTTCGTTTTCGCGTACTCGAGGACTTGCCGCTGCCTCTGCTCGACCTCGCGACCAAAATTCTCTATCTCTTCTTCCTCTTCCTCGCTGAGATCCGTGGCAAGCGGGCTGGTCATCTCTTCGCGGTAGGCCTGTACTTTGCGCTCGAGACTGGCCAGCTCGCTCTCCAATTCGAGCACCTCGCCTTCAAGCCGCTCGATGCGTTGCACGAGGCGTTCACGCTCACGAGTGTAGTTCGCCGACTCTTCAACGAGGGTTTCGCGTGCTGACCGCGCCACCGTCTGCTGGTTCGTCTTCACCTGAATCTGGCCAACCAGCCGTGTAATGTCCTGTTCCGTCTTCTGGATCGCCTGGGTGACCTCGCGAAGGCGTTTCTCATCTGCCTCGTACTTGGTGCGCCAGCTCGTCACAGCACGAACGGCATCGAGGCGGCTCCGACGGACGTCGTACCAACCACCGGTGAGCGCGCCCTTACGGTCGACCTTGTCGCCATCGAGTGTGATGGTATTGATGCCATGCGACTTGACATATGCAGCTGCGATCGTAAGGTCACGACATACACACGTCTTGCCAAAAACTTGCTCGAAGGCACGCGCGTGGGCGGAGTCGTACCTCAGCTTGCTCAACAGCGGAATCGCATCTTGCGCGTCGGGTGTCGGCGGAAGCTTGGGGTGTAGTCGGTTCAGGGGCATGAATGTCACCCGACCTGTCTTCTCGCGAAGCATGGTTTGGAGGACGGTGGTCGCGGTCTCATCGTTGTCAACGACAACGTGGAAGAGACTGTTGCCTGCAGTGAGCTCGATGGCGGTGTTGTATTTATCATCTGTGACCTCGAAGAGGCGATACAGGGGGCCGTATACGCCGTCGAGTCCCAGTCGTTCTGCGATTTGATCCACTGCTCTTAGACCAGCGCCCGTGTCCTATAAGGCCGTCAGCACCAGGCGAGCTATGACACGAGTGTTCCTACCTTGTCCATCATACTCGCCAACGTTCGCTCCGCGGTCCTCAGCTCGTCCGCTTCGTTGTCCACGAGACTCTTGAGCTTAGTCTCCTCACGCCACAGGTCCTTACGCTTCTCTGTGAGCTCTGAGTGCTCGGCCTTGAGCGCGGCAATCTCCTCGCCAAGTTCACGTGCACGAGTGCGCCCGTCCTCAGCCCGGTCGACAGCCTCCTCCGCACGCGTCTCGACCTCTCTCAGTTGATCTCGTGTCGACTGCAGACTTCCTTGTGCGGCTTCAAGCGTCTCTCGTTGGGTCCTGGTGTAAGCTTCGACGCTGGCAATTTCTGCACGAAGGTAGCGGTCGCGTTCGGCACGCGTCCTGAACTTTTCGACACGACCTCGCTTTGCGTACAGGGCTTCGAGACGGGCACGAGCGGCTTCGAGCCTCCGCTTCTCCTCAGTTTCTTGCGCCTTGTGGGCTTCCCATTGAGGCATCAGCTCCCGAAGGGACTGCTCGCGCTCGTGGATGTGTTCTTCGAGGTCCGCGAGCTCAGCTTCGAGCGCCTCACGCTGTCCGCCTGCTCGCTCGGCGGCAAGATTGAGATCTTGGACCGTGCACTCCAGCTCGGTGCGCGCACGGAAGAGGTCGGTCAGCTCTGACTGTGTGCCATGTCGCGTGACAGTTGTAGTTGTGAGTGCCGTTCGCGTACGCGAGACGCTTTGTTCTAAGGTCTGCTTCATGTAAGGGCGAAGGCTACATGCGAAAAGATAATTGCGCACCTGCATCTGCTTCTCCCTATCATCGTACTGTTCTCGACGCACATTCGCGCTGTGCACTTCGCCACGGCGCTCCTCTTCAATTTCCTCGAGTGCTTCGGTAACTTCCTCGAGCTCGCGTTGGTAGAGCGCGTACTCGAGGCAGCGCCGCTCCTTGTCCTTCTCTTGAAATTCTTTGAGCTCCTCTTTCTCTTCTTCGAGCTCGTTTAAGCGTGACTCGATATATTCGAGCAGCTCGTCAATCTTGCCGCGTTTTGCGTCCGTTTCGGCCATGATACGCAATGACTCGGTACGGCGCTGCTCATAGACCTTTGTGCCAGCCACCTCCTTGAGAAGCGCCAGCCGTTCAGGGTCTTTAGCATTGGTCAATGCCGTGATCTTCATGCATACAACCACTCGTCAGCTACTCTCACGGTCTGTGAAAAGGGATAGAAGACGCACGCGGCCCTGGGGAACGATGTAGTATGGATTGCTCTTGCTAAATCCTGCAGACTCAAGGAGATTCATCACATCGGCCTTGCTCGCGCTCTTCTTGTCGAGACTGTATTCGTCCTTCTTGAGACCGATAGTACGCCGGAGAATGACCTCATCTCGTCCTGTTGGGAAGCGGTTGTCACTGTTATCGAATACGATTTCAACTACGTATCTATATAAGTCACGAATAGAAAGTGTCGAGGGATCAGGGGGCGCACCGTAAGCTGAGAGTGTAGTGGTCACTGAAACACCTTCGTGAAGTAGAGACTGTCGCTCTTCACGAGACATAGACGTGTAGGCATCTGATAGTACAAAGCGGATAGCTAGCGAACGAAGTACATAAGGTCACGCGTTATCGTCGGGTCCCGTTAGTGTGCTCACCCGCGAAGAAGTTGCTCTTTCCCGAGCCATTCCTTCCGACCACGACATTGTGCCTCGGCGAGAACGGTTCAATTTGCGTTTGGTCGCGATCTGAGAAAAAATTATCGCATCAGTATATCTCTGCTCTTCTTTGAGTGTAGAACTTGGGGTCTCGAGGCTGATACTCACAGGACTTGAAGCCCTGAATGGTTAGGGTTTTGATATACATTTTCTCCTCTTAGCGGCCTCAATACTCCTAGGAGGTTTACCGACAATAAACAATGAGGTATAAAGTCCTCTCTGTGGTAATATTCGGCCGTGTTTCGCGAAAGGGAGGAGTGGGGGACTTGCGAGGTCTCAGCTCGCGGTGATCAGGTTGAGCAAGACGTGACGACTTGACGCGCTCATCGTCGCGTGGGTCACGCTCGTCACAGGACTTGATTGTAAGCGCTTGTGTGGCCGCCGCTGCTTGTGCCAAGCCTCCACGGGGCACACTCCCTGAGTATTTCACGCATTTTTCTGCATTTCCCTCTGGACTGCCAAACGACGTAGATATCACCAGGTTTGATGCCTCCATCCTCTTCTCACTCTCCTCGGCGTAGAGGTGCCAGGAGATACCTGTCCGCCACAGGTACACGCTGGACTGGTCGTGCTCCCTCCACACCCAAGCGTCGACGTAGCTCGTTCGCGAGTTCGGGTCGCTTCACGCCTCCGCGCACGCCAAGCGACGTGTCCGATGATGAGGACGATCTCGATGAGGGTGTTCATCTCGATGATGCAGCCTCTGTGGTTTCCCATCCCGAGACGTTTACCGTTTTAATGCAAGACGACCGAGAGCGTCCCCTAGCATATGCCTCCCTTCCTGCAACACCAATATCCTCAACTCCTCGGCCACAGACTCCACCGCCACGTATACCGGCCCCGAACTTTCGAACCGAACACGAGTTCGTGCAGCCTCCACCACTAAAGCGCGATGGGCATGTATCGCAAAAGGACGCCCCGCCATTTTCGATATGGGACTATCTTCGCGAAGAGCTGCTCGCAACAGACTTTGACTCACACCAGGAGCTCAAATGGGAGCGTGTGAGCAACTTCCTGAGCATGCCGCCTGCGATCGAGAAGGTGTGTCCCCATGTTACATTTGACTCGGCCTGGGCTTCCTAATGATAGTGCCATAGATCATGCTCTTTGGCTTTGTAGTCTGTCTCGACTCTTTCTTGTACACCTTCACAATCCTTCCCATCCGCTTCGTCCTTGCTTTTAGCCGTCTCCTCATTAACACCATCACGCCGTCTGCCCCGCCCTTGCCCCCATCGCAGAAGGCCGATATTCTCCGTGCTCTACTACTGGTTGCCTCAATCATAATCCTCGCGCCTCTCACAGACGCGAGCATGATCTATCACAGCATTCGCGGCCAAGATACCATCAAACTGTATGTCATCTTCAACGCACTCGAAGTACGCGTTACTTCTCTCTATGTCTCGGCACATGCATATCTCCACATTTGCTCATGGCTTACCTATTAGATTGCAGACAGGCTGTGCGGCTCGATAGGCCAGGACATCATTGATTGCCTGTTTTCGCGCTCGACACTGCAAGTCATTTCGCACCGCAAGCGGCCAACCTCCGAGACGTTGAAACCTTTCTTCTACTTTGTTCTCGCCCTTGTATACACTGGTGAGCTTGTTCATGACTATTACTGTATCGCGTAGATAATGAACTTGTGTGGCAGTCTCGCATACCCTAGTGATGGTCTACCAAATGATCTCGCTGAACGTTGCTGTGAACTCGTATGACCATGCACTTCTCACTCTGCTGGTCTCAAACCAGTTTGTCGAGATCAAAGGTTGCGTGTTCAAAAAGTTCGAGAAGGACAGCCTGTTCCAGATAACATGCGCAGGTGAGCACGTACGCAAATTTTCGGTGTCGGGAGAAGTCTCATGCACATTCAGACATCGTCGAGCGTTTCACCCTCGCACTTATGCTTGTCGTGGTGGCCTTCCGGAATCTAATCGAGCTAAGCGGGTCATCTTTCAACTTCAATGAAGGCTTCGCGCTCCCGAAAAGCTTTGGCTGGTTCCGCGGAAACAACGTCATATGGACGATCTCTTACGTGCGTTGGTTATCTGCTTCCCGCAACGTCCCTGAAATACTCAGGCCAATGATTGCTATAGCCCGTTATGACGGTTATGATCTCCGAAATGCTCGTGGACTGGCTAAAACACGCATTTATCACCAAGTTCAACCATATCCGACCAAGCGTTTACGAGCGCTACACTGATGTGCTATGCCGTGACTTGGCCAGTGCAAGCGGTGTCAGCAGACGTGGGGCCGCGAGGAAGGTGTGTAGCATGCTTCACACGCACAGGATCGACTGGATCTACTGAGCTTGGCTGTCCAGCATACCTACGTCGATCAGTCCCCGCTGGTCGCGCGGCGGTTGGGCTTCGCATCACTGCCTCTTGCGGTGCTTGCCATCCTCGTCGGCAGCCAGTCGTTCATTCTGCTCGTCTCCATGCACGCCGACGACACGTCGCCCCTGTTCTCGCTCGCCTCGATGCTCAGCTCGCCCTCCTCCACCTTTTTCGCGTTCGCCTCCTCCATCTCCGCCTTTTCGAGCACGCTCCTCACGCTCCTCTCCTCCCCCGCGTCCATCCCGCCCGCGCTGCAAGCCGGCCTGCACCGCGCCCTCGCGGCGCTCTCCACGCACGACGCGATCAACATCCTCAAGTGGTCCGCGCTCGCGGCGCTCTTCTGGCTCACGTCCGTACTCGTGAAGATCATGCTCGGCGTGAACCTGCTCAGCTACGCGACGCGGCGGCGCGCGGGCATGGACGGGCGCGCCGAGGCCGACAGGGTCAACGACTTTGGGCGCGACCCGATCGGCGAGGGGCGCGAGGAGCAGCGGTACAACAGGGAGCTCAAGACGCTCTTGGCGGACCAGCGCGACGACGCTGTGCCTGTGGCGGAGATTGGGGAGCGCAAGGAGGGCGAGAGGAAGGGAGGGAAGGAGGGCAAAGAGGGCGGCGGCGGTGGCGGGAAGAAGAGGCTGCCTCTGGAGGAGATCACAAGGTACACTATGGTCAAGAGGATTTGGTGAACGTACCTCCAAAATAGATAGATTTGGATTAGCTATCAGTGCAATCCCACGGATTTGGACGGAGTAGAGCGTGAGTTAAAGCAGTGATATCGCATACGCAAGCGGACATACATGCTAGCATACATTGTGAGTTAGTGAATGAGTATGGAGTGGGTATTGATACAGTAAAATGCACATGAACATGGTAGGGAAGATGCAATGTCTAGTCTAGTAGTCCAATCGTTGAGTCCCATTGAGAGCTTTGTCGGTGTTTCCAGGAAGTGAGATAGGGAACCAGTGACTAATAGTTACCACGTACAAGTAAGGAACCCAGAGTGGACAGAATCGGAGCTGAGAGAGACCTGCGGTGTGCGCCTCCGGTCGTCAAGAGACTCAGCCAAGAGTTGGAAGACTCTCAGACGACTGCAAGGTGTATGAGTGCCGCATCTTGCCTCTTCCCTCTCACAGCCGTCCTCGGGCCACCCTCGCCTTCGGCCGTCCTGTACGACACCCCAGAATGCGCCTCGCTCCCCGCGGACGTCCGCGACCTGCTGCCGCTGCCGCTGCTCGACGACGCGCCATCCCTGCGCCTCGGCTCGCGTTCGCGGCGGGGCACTGCCGGCACGCGCTCGACGACAAAGTCCGTGGCGTCGAACACGACGCCGGCGTTCGCGTGGGTGCTCTTGCGGTGCGCGCCGCCCTGCACGAGCGGCGCGACGCGGAGCGCGCCGACGCTCTGCGGCATCGGGTCGTGGTACCGCTGCGAGGGCGCCTCGGTCGCGACGGACGAGGTCGAGTACACGGACGGCGTCGCGCGCCGCGACTTGAACGGGTTGAAGATCGGCACCTGCGCCGACGGGGACTTGGGCGGCGGCGTCGGCGGGCGCGAGCTCTGGGAGTGGCTGCGGGACACGTTCATGGGGGACGTCGGACGCGGGTGCTCTCGCGACGCTGGGACGCGCGTGGAACGGGGGATCGTGCTCGGTGAGATTGAGGGCGTGTGGGCATCGAAGATGTCGACAGGTACGGCCCTTGTGCGCTGTCGTGTGCTTTCTGCGCGCGGTCGCGAAGGCGCGTATGCTTCCGGAGTCCTTGAAGATGAAAGGGGCTTCGGCCTCGAAATGTATGGCGATTGAGTGGGTTGGTCCAGGACTCGAGGTGCAGAAAGGTCGACTGCAGCTATCTTCTCGTTCTTTGTCACAGGAAACGGCTTGTCAGAGACAGGTATACGGTGGTTGGGCCCGTAGGTCTGTTCTGCACGAGGATTGTTCACTAGCATGGGCCGGTTGTTCACACCTCTGCGTCCGCCAAGGGGTGTCGGTGCGCGCAAGGGTACTTCATTTGGCCTTGGTGAGTGCAAATGCGGCGGTTGGCCCGTTTCTGGAGAACGATGAGTCCTTGCTCGAGGCCTGCGCTGCAAGTCTACAGGGGCGGACGAAACGTCGTGAGAGGGGAACTGGAGCAGATCAGGGCGGAACGCCGGCGAAGCCTGCACGTCGAGCGCCGAAGCCGAAGCCGCTTGCTGGTGGGTGCGCACCAGACGTTGATCATCGCGGGATAGCTCGCTCTCCCTGCTCATCTGGGCCAGGAGCGGTGGCACGTACACCAGCGTAATCGACCTGGAATCCTCCTGAGACAGTGGCCGAATGTCGTTCTCCCCCATACGATCGAGCATGGTCTCCCAGGACTCTCGTCGCTCTCGTCTTATTTCCGGTCTGGGCCCGCTGATCTTCTCCCTGTCGACTGGCCGATCCCGCGAAGGCATCCGCTGACAGTCCTGTATCGATGGCCTGCGCTTCAGCACCATGCCAGGCCGCGCATTCTCTTTCAACAGCGAGTCGGACACTATCCGCTTGAACCCAGAGGCCGCGGCCACGACAGCATCGCTGCATTCACCTCAGCAAACGGACCGTGACTCTCGGATAATGACGTACGCTGCAGCATCTGATAGTCTTCTTGCTCGTTTGTAGAGCTTATTCGCGTGATTGGTGCTGGACTTTGGGACAGTCGTCTCTGAGCTGCAGACCCCGGTCAGCACACGCGCCGCCACAACACTGACTTGCGCGTACTCTTTGGATCGGTTCGACGAAATCTTTCTTAGTCTCTCCATTGAGTCGATGGTCTGGTTGCTGTGGGAGGGTGACTGTGCGGATTAAGGATGTGCTGAAGGTTTCGCGTATGGTGGAATGATGCAATTTATATATCTATTCTGGTAACAAAGACAAAGAACTGAGTGGTTTGGCTGAGTCGCAAGGTCAAAGGACAAGCAGTGACGGGCCGTAAAAGGGACACAGAAAGGCAAAGGCATGGGCACAGCCGTTGTCTGACCTCATGTCAAAGTGATCTCTAGTGCGATGCAGGGGAAAAGAAGGACAATAAGCGTTCAGCAAGCCGGTAATGGCCCTGGATATCTGCCATTTGACACATCTCTGGGTCGGACGTAATTCACCCATGCACATTACTGAACTCCGGAGCTCCCGTACGCGCGCCCCAAGCTCGGCCGGCGCCGCGGATCACGCAGCCTGGGAACTGATTCTCGTTGTACAGCATTATTCAAACACCTCTGCACAGGACAAAGAGGATAAACAGTGGACTGCTCGATGCGCAGCCAGAGGAGCTCTGCCGAGACCGAGACCAATGCCCAAAAGAGGAAGGAGAGCGGATGGAAAGCTGGCGGTACTGAAAGGCACAGCTGGGCCAAGCCCAGTGCCGTGACGACTCGCGCGCGAACGAGGAACGGGTGAGGAGCGTGCGGATTAACACAGTCCACCCACTCGTGGGGCTTCCGCCGTGACGTAACCACTCATTTCCCCTCGTCACTCCTCGTGCCTGACAGGTCCGGCACGGGATGCCATATAAACCTTAGCCCGATCCATGTTCCACCCACCGCCTCTCCTCCCACTGCTATCCACCGCTGTCATCCTTGGTGCGTTGTTTCACTTTTGCAGACTGCTCTCAGATCGCTCATGTCTTGTCCAGATCCCCTTTACGAACCGTCACGACCCACGACTTTGCAATGGCCGCAGGAGCAGCAATCCCAGGGCTCTTCTTCACCTTCGTGGCGATGGTCCTCCTCATCTTCGTACGTCCCCAGCACTTTCATTGCCGGCAGCTAGCTGACAGTTTCACTCTGCAGGCCTCAGTATCCGCACCAACATGGAACGCCGTATCGTTCTTGAACGTCCCAGGCATTCACTTCGGTGTCTTTGGCTTCACAGGGTCACAGACCCATGTCGGCTACAACTTCCCCGCACCAGTGGGCGACAGTGAGCTGAACGACAGCACCTTCTACCGCCTCACCCAAACCCTCATCCTCATCCCAATCGGTGAGCACTATTTTCCCCTCCCCTGCGCATCGAGTACTGATATCGTCCTCCGCAGCTGCGGGCCTCGCTGGCCTTGCGTTCCTATTCGGTGTCTGTGGCGCAGGCTACCACCGCGTCGGCACCATCCTGATGAGCCTTGTCTCTGCTCTTGCGATGCTCATCACGCTTGTCGCTTGGATCCTCGAGATGGTGCTTTTCGGCATCGCCCACCACCACAGCCGCGAGCGGGGAGTCAACGCCACCTGGGGCAATGCCAACTGGCTCGTCCTCGGCGCCCTCGTTGCGCTCTTCATCGGATTCGTGACCGCAACGTGCGGTGTATTTGGAAGCTACCGCGCGCGCAGGCGCGCCTAAATGCCTGGTGGGTGCCAGCCGGGAAGTAGAAAATGAGCTTCTCGGCTTGCCTCGGTATCCCCTTATTCCCTTCAGTGTTTATACCCCATGCTTTGCGCTTTCGACTTTCGTTACCGGAAAGTTATACGACTACCCATACCGTACGAACTCTCTATTCAAACTAAGTACCATACACGCAGACACTTTAATTCGATATCTAATTGCACCTATGTATTTCATTGCGAAATTCACATTTCCTGTCATCCGCAGTCTGTGGGAAGCTGCCTTGCGAAAACTGCGGACAGTGACGCACTACTCCATTCCTTTGAACGCTTGAAGAGCCAAGTCGCCGAGCCAGCGTCCTCGCACCACAAAGTGCGGAATCCATCCAACTATGACGCAACCGACACAACCTCAGGAAGCCCCTCGACATTAATATTGGAGGCTTGTTACTCCAGCCATCAGAAAATATATACCCCAAGCATATTGCCGCGTGCACAGATAGCAAGCGGGAGGCGCTTCGCGATCGCGTCTAGGACACCACCCGCAGCATATCACGCGCTCCCCTTGAGAACGACATGTGAGGGACATTGTGCGCTTGTGCATGACGGCGAGGGTATCAATGACCAGGCAGATGGAGCGCCTAAGCTGCTCGGTGGAGTGCGGGGTACGCCCGCCGCTGACATAAGTGACGGGACGTTGTGGCGTCCCGTTCCCAGAGGCACACGGACATCGTGCAGCATACAAAATACATTTTAAGAGCCCATGTCCCAATTTCCACCTTATAAATTACAATATTATACGTGTATATGAAATGCCTTCTCACGTTGTTCACGTCGCTTCCTGTGCTGTGGGAGCGGGCTCGGGCTTCTTCTTCGGGTCCATGAGTCTATCCCCGAAGTACCCTGTCCCGAACATCGTCTTCATGTTGATCGTGAGGAGGACGACACACGGCGCAAACTCCGCTAACGCTTGAAACACGTAGAACGCAGCCTTCTCTCCGGGGGTATTTTGCGACCCGGAGGCCGTAGAGGTCAGAGACGTCGTCGAGTTGGCCATGACGACGAGGTGGTATATTGGAATCATCGTCTGCGCGAGCGGTGCATCAGGTCTGATTAGCTATGGCACGTACACGCTAAATGTAAGGGACGCACGAGGATGGTCTCGAGGGCAAACAGCAGAATCACGGCGTTTCGCTTGATACGGGGGACCATGAGTATCGCCCAGATCAACAGCGCGAGGACGAGCAGGGTGAGGATCAGGCCCATAGCTGCAGTGACATATCTGCGGCCCCAACGGGTGTCAATCGAGTAAACACTTGGATCACAGACTCGTCGCTGACCTGAGAGCCTGGACGGCTGGTACCTTCGCCGCATCCGTCTCGGTGTCGACGTACTCGTTGCCCATTACCGCGCCGACGATGATTGGTATTAAAAATTGCAGCGAGAGTATGCTGAATACGCGTCGATACAGCGCTCGTTTCTGGGGCTGGTCCTCCCGCGCTTCATACTCGAGGGGCAGAACGGCAACACTCGTCTTCGACTTGCTCGCAGAGGCACTCAGGCCCCCTACCTCCTCCGATTTGCTCCACAGCGAAGACTCTGGCGTCGAGGAGGTATCTATGGTCGTGCCAACGACGGGACATCGCAGCAGGTGGATGATCAGGCTGTGAATCGTGAGGAAGCCGATGCTGAACGTGATTTGAAAGTAGGTGGTCAGGTGGCGGTTGAGGTCTTCGGACGGCATTCGCGCTTGCTTGGCTCGTAGGGACCAGATGACAACTCTGGGGAGCACGAATCAGAGGCGATGGGACGGTAGCTAGCCACCCACAAAGACGCACCTTTCAATAATAAACACAAGAACCGAGAGTACAAAAACATTGCGGGATGCATTCTTTGCCAAGCGATAAAAACACAGGAAAGCGAGCGCGCCATAGAGGCAGGCGAAAAGAATGCATGGAGCAAAGTCGTGGGCGAGTGGAACACCGCCGATTGGTGCAGGAAACCGAAAGGTGCCCGACTGTGACATTGGACAGAGGAAAGGGCGGCGAAGGAATTGGATGGCAGCCTCGCTTGAACAACGGCTGTGACTTTTTGTAGCCATGGCACACTGCAGCGCCAGGACATGCTGGGCCTACAATTCCACGCTCACTGCGCAAATCCACGATATTGGCGGTTTAAATGGTGGCATGAGAAGCCTCTGCCTCGCGGGCAAAAGGATAGCCAATGGGGCAAGTTGATTCTCGCTCTCCGCAGCACGGGTGACGGCCGCAATGTCTACGTCCCGGGTGGGTGTGTACAAGAAGAGTTAAACACGAGCTTAAGATTGACGGGATGGCTGTGTCTGGACAGCACCCACCTCACCGTGTAATTGTATTAGGAAGCTGAGGTCGTACGACTCGAGCCTGCTGCGCTTGAAAGTTGAACGCCGGAAACTTGAACGCGCGACCAATTAAAATGTGATACGCGCCGTTGTTCTGCAGGCGTCGACCGGCACGTTAAGTGCTCGCCTTGGCTTGGGAGATTCTGTACTGCAGACATCACAAGAGTAGGCATGAGTCTGCAATGAGCTGTCGTAGAGAAAGTCCGGCCCACACGAGAGCCGCCAGCCTTGCGATGTTCGTGAGTCGCGACTCTTTCGCGACTTTCCGTGGCCATCACAGCGCTAGATAAGGTGAGTTTGTTACAGAACAAATACTCGAGCACGGATGGGAGTTTCACAGAAAGCTGTAGCCTGCAAAGCACTGTAAATCGAGACGTTGTGGCGTCCCATCCTTGGAGGTGCACATGGCATCGCGAGCATATAAAATACATTTCAACAACTCAAGTCCCAATTTCCACTCCACAAATTACAATATTATACGTGTATATGAAATCTCTTCTCGGGCTGTTCACGCCGCTTCCTGGTCTGTAGGCTTCTTTTTCGGATCCATGATTCTATCCCCGAAGTTCCCTGTCCCAAACATCGTCTTCATGTTAACAATGAGGAGAACAACGCACGGCGCAAACTCCGGTAGTACTTGAAATACGTAGAACGCAGCCTTCTCCCCAGGGGTATTTTGCGATCCGGAGGTTGTAGAGGTCAGAGACGTCGTAGAGTTGGTCATGATGACGAGATGATATATTGGAATCACCGTCTGCACAAGCGGTGCATCAGATCAGTTTTGTTGGTGCACGAAAGGTAAATGATCGATACGCACAAGGGTAGTCTCGAGGGCAAACAGCAGTATTACTTTTCGCGCGATACGAGGGACCGTGAGTATCGCCCAAATCGACAGAGCGAGACCAATCTGAATGAGGGCCAAGGCGAGGGCTGCGATAACATATCTGCGACCCAAACGAGTGTCAGCCGAGTGAACACTTTAATTATGGCCTTGTCACTGACCTGAGAGTCTGGATGGCCGATACTTTCGTTGCATCCGTCTCGGCGTCGACGTAACCATTGCCCATTACCACGCTGATGACGAAAGGCACGATAGTTTGCAGAGCGATCAAGCCGAATATACGTCGGTACATGGCCCGCTTCTGAGGCTGGTCCTCCTGCGCTCCATGTCCAAGGCGCGGAACTGCAACGCTCGTCTTCGACGTGTTCACAAAGGAGCTCAGGCCCCCCACCTCCTCCGTTTTGATCGTGGACGAAGACCTCAACGTCGAGGAGATGCCTTTTGTCGTGCCGACGACGACGCATCGCATCAGATTGAGGGTAATGCTGTGTGGCATAAGGAAGCCGGCGCTGAACGTAATTTGCCAGTAGATGGTAAGGCTGCGGCTGAAATCTTCAGACGGCGTCCGCGCTTGTTCGGCTCGGAGGGACCAGATGACAACTCTGAGAGACACGGAGCCGAGGAGTTAGCGATGGGACGGCAACTGGCCACCCACAAGGACACACCTTTCAACAATAAACGCAAGTAACGAGAATACCAAAAGACTGCGAGATGCGCTTCGCACTATGCGATAAAAACCCAGGAAGGCGAGTAGGCCATAGAGGCAGGCGAAAAGGACGCTTGGAGCAAAGTCGTGGGCGAGCGGGACGCCGCCAATGGGTGCGGGAAACCGAATAGTGCTCGACGGTGGCTGCGACATTGGTCAGAGGAAAGGGCGGCGAAGAGGTTGGATGGCAACCTTACTTCAACCACGGGCTTGATTTTTGTAGTCATGGCGCACAACTGCGCTAGAAAATACGGTTCCACACTCTCTACAATACCGGCAGTCTTGATAGTGGCATGAGATGCCTCCGCTTCTGCTCGATGTGTGATAGCCAATGGGGCAAGCTGATTCTCGCCATTCGCAGCACGCTCGGCGGCCGAAATGTATACGCTGCAGGCGCACGTGCACAAGAAGCATCAAAAGTAGCTTAAGATTGACGGGATAGCTGGGCCTGGATAGCGCCTCGCTCATCGTGCATCAGGAAGCTGCGGTCGTACGGGAGCCGCACTGCTGCGCTTCAACATTTAAATTTGGAACGCTGAAAACGTACCGTCGCTTCAGCCAATATTTGCCCTAAGGAGGCAAGCGTGATCGCCACATTGAGTCGCCCCGTCGATCTAGACGACGAGCGCGATTACGATGCTACGGTTGTTAGTTGTATCTTGCACAAGAGTAGTAGTATAGGTTCTATAATCACTGAGCACACCTTAGGAGATGCTGGGAGGCGAGTTATGGTGAAGAGGACACTGTTACTCTGAGACAGGGACCACAGGGTATAAAAAGAATTTATTACCATTTAGCTAGCGTAGTAGTTGGGAAAAGGGAATATAGATAAGTTAGGAGACTTAGCTAGCAGATCGTGGTTGCGTCATGGTCGGCAAGGTGACCTGATGTGGCTCTTTGGACAGAATTTGGCTGGAACAAACAAATAAAACAAATACTAAGACGACCGCAATTTGCTGTGTAACCTGATGCGCCCTCCAGTTGTCGTTGACATAAGCTCGGCGCGTTGTGGCGTCCCGTTCTCGGAGGCGCACATGATATTGCACAACATATACTCTACTTTTTCGATCTGAACGACGGCGGGTGTGACTGTGACCGTAGCGGCGACAGAGGTGGGGGCCTCGGTGACCCGTGACAGCCGCCGCTTCGCCGCGGCGGCGGACCAGATTTGGGGTTTTTTGTCTATGGGTACACCGCAGGCCCAAAATGTTTGGCTCACTTGTAGTACCTGTCACACACCGGCGAGCCTCTCTGTGACCCGTGACCGCCGTTCAGATCGAAAATCTACAGTAAAATCCATTTCAACAATTATAGTCCCAGGTCCCTCTTCTAATTCATGATATTCTACGGGTATATCCAATCTTTCCTCGCACTGTTTACGCCGCTCCCTGTGCCGCAGGAGTACTAGTAGGCTTTTTCTTCGGGTCCCTGATCCCATCCCCGAAGTTGCCTGTCTCGAACGTGGTCTTCATGTTAACAATGAGGAGGGCAACACACGGCGCAAGCTCCGGTAGCGCTTGAAATACATAGAACGCGGCCTTCTCTCCAGAAGTGTTTTGCGAACCGGAGGCTGTGGAGATTAGAGAAGTCGTCCAGTCGCCTGTGATGACGAGATGGTATATTGGAATCACCGCCTGTACAAGCGGCGCATCAGAGCTGGTTAGTTGAGTTATGCACAGAGCAAATGAAAGGGACGCACAAGGATGAATTCGAGAGCTAATAGCAGAATGACGGCGTTTCGCTTGACACGAGGGATCATGAGTATCGCCCAAACCGACAGTGCGATGCAGAGCTGGGTCAGGGTCAGGGTGAGAGCTGCGGTAACATATCTGCAACCCCAACAAGTGTCAGTCGAGTAAACAGCTGCATTACTGACTTGCTACTGGCCTGAGAGCCTGGACGGCTGATGCCGCCGCCTTTGGGTCCGCCACAGCATCGACGTAACCATTTCCCATCAAAGAGCCGATGACGGCAGGCGCGATAGATAGCAGTGCGAGTAAGCCGAACATGCGTCGATATAGTGCTCGCCTCCGAGGCTGGTCCTCTTGAGGCCCATATTCAAGGGGTGGGATGGCAACGCTTGTCTTCGACTTGTTCATAAAGGCTCTCAGGCCACCCATCTCCTCCGTTTGAATTGTGGGTGAAGACTCTGGCGTCGGGGAAGTACCTTTGGTCGTGTGGACGACGAGGCATCGCAGCAGATTGAGGATAATGCCATGGATCGCAAGGAAGCCAATGCTGAACGTGATTTGCCAGTAGATGGTAAGACTGCGGCTGAAGTCTTCGGATGGTGTCCGTGCTTGCTTAGCCCGAAGGGACCAGATAACAACTCTGGAAAGAGGAAGGTTAGCGACGGTAAACGGCTGGCTACGAGGACGCACCTTTCAATGATAAACGCAAGGAAAGAAAATACCATAACATTGCGGGATGTGCTCCTCGCCAAGCGGTAAATACCCAGGAAAGCGAGCAGGCCGTAGAGGCAGGCGAAAAGGATGCTTGGAGCAAAGTCGCGGGAGAACGGGACCCCGCCAATTGGCGCGGGAAATTGGACGATGCTCGACGATGGCTGGGACATCTGACAGAAGAAATGGTTGCGGAGGGATTGAATGGCAGTCTCGCTTCAACAACGGCTTTGACTTTTGTAGCCATGGGAGACTGAAAGCGCTAGGAGACAGGCCTACAGTCCCACGATCACCGCGCAAATCTACAAGGCTGGAAGCCTTGACAATAGCACGAGGTACCTCCGTTTCTGCCGAATATGTGATAGCCAATGGGGCAAGTTAACTCTCTCCATCCGCAGTGCAGTCGGCGGCCGCATTGTACATGCCCTGAGTGTGCGCACACAAGAAGGATCAAGAAGGAGCTTAGGACTGACAGGATGGCTGTTCGGACGGCGCCTCGATCACCGTGTATTAGGAAGCTGTGGTCGTACGGGACCGTGCCCCTGCTGCGCTTGAATATTGAACACGCGTAATCAATTAAAGCGTACCGTAACACGTACCGCATGTACGTGTTGAACAGTGTTCTTTGAAAATTCTACATCCCATGTCTGCGCGATGCAGTGCAAGCGGCGACCGCGCTGAGTGATATGTAGGACACGGTTGCCAGTGCTGTGTGCTAAGCGACGCTAAGACCGTAGAAGGCATGTCTAAGCGCCATGAAATGGCTGTGCACTGTCGTCTTTAACCAAGTGGTGAAGCTGAGAAGACAAAGGAATCTGTTCATTGCAAGAGACCGTCCGCTGGGAGCGTGCTCTCATTCGGATGTTTTAGAAGAGTGTGAAGAAACATAGTGCGCAGTGCTATATTTGATTTCGTACCATGTGAGCGTAAGAAAAAGATCCACTAGACTAAGCATCCTTACATAGACAGCACAAAGCCCGCTAATCGTATCCAGAGAACGAATCGAACCCGGCAAAACCATTGGCACCGGGCCCACCCTGAGCATTTCCGGATGTGCTTGTACCCCCAGTACCACCGACACTCGAACCACCGCCGTTCGTCACCGTGCCCGCAAAGTTCGACACTGGGCCCCCAAGAGCATCACCAGAGTCGCCAGTGCCTGCGTTACCACCTGATCCATCGCCGTTTCCAGCACCCCCGGAGGCGTCACCCGATGTTGACGCACCGCCTGTGCCGCCAATGGCTGAAAAAAGAACTTGTCAGCTACGAGGCGGACAGTGGCCGCCAATGACACTCACTTGATGCTCCGTCGTTCGAGACGGTGCCCGCGGCCGATCCTTCGTTCGTCACCGAACCGCCGCTCGCATCGCCCGAGCCGCCTGTAAACGCATCGCCTCCATCTTGACGCCGATGCACTCGGCGAGGAGCATCACCGCCGACAGCGTTGGCGGATGTACTCGTTCCACCATTCCCAGCACGATCAGCGCCGTTGGTGTTCGAATTTGAAGACCCGCCGGTCATGATACTGTCGCCGTTGGCTGTGCCCGCGCTGCCTGACCTCGCGTTGCCACCTGGGCCGGCGATAGCAGGTAGAGACTCTGACGTGCCGCCGTTATCGCCGGCACCTAGCGAAAATCTATTACATTCAATCCTGGGCCACGAAAGGCCGAAACTTACCGGTGCCATTGCTGCCTAGCGGATCGCCAGTCCGATACACGGATCTACCATTGGCGTTTCCAGCGTTTCCGGTGGACGCGTCAGGATAATTACTGTGGTTGATGAAGGAGCCGTTGGAGGAGTTTGTGGGATGAGAGAAGTGCGATCCAGCGGCAGCCTTCGCAGCGGCCGCGCGAGCTGCTGCTGCCAAGGACGCTGGTACAGGGCCTGCGAATGCCACAGTAGCGAAGGTCGCGACTAGTGCAATGATGAAAAGAGACGGACGCATTATGAAAGTAAGTGAATACAGTGGAAGACCATCGCACCGACTTTAAGGTCATTATATACCTTTCTAGAGCTGTTTTGCAACTCCCAAATGTTTCGTTCCGCAGGCCTCACTATGGCGGAAGACCAAAGTAGGACACTCCAAGGACGCAGGCTCGCAATTTACGGGGCTGCGATCGGGCGATGAACCATTGCGCGGAAGCAGCTGCACGAATCAGGTATTATTTGAGAATATTTGACTGTGTTGGTGGGCTGAAGGAGGTAACGTTTAGATTTGCTTCCGTAGACTCATTGTGAATCCTAGCCAATCCCGAGGACTGTGGCGGGGGCAAAGTGGGTTTGATATCTGTGCAGTTGGCCAACTTTCCGGTCGCATGTGAACTGCACGCATGAGTCTAGCTCGAGCACCTGCTGGACGGGTCACTCAATCGCTGATTGCGTAGAAATCGGAGGACCATCCAGCAAGCGACAGCTGGACGATCGCTGTGGGGCGCGCGGAGTCTATCGTTGCTTGACATCACCCTTCGTCATGCGACCAGAGGAATAATTAGCATCCGCTGCCCTGAAAATCAACCGTTCGACTACACCGGCTGAGATCGGTGTGTCCACGCGAGGTTTGACTCCGACTGCGCTCGGGTGCTTCGACGAGCGAGGCGGTGCAAACGTGTATCGCGGGCAGCACTGCTTCTGAGAGGTTTTCAGGGTATTTTAGTTTTGTAGAGAGACCAAGTCTTGTAGACTTGTAGAACGATGAGTCGGCGTATTTGAGTGCAGATGCACCAGAGGAAGCGGCGACTAGCGTAAATGTTTGGCTGTGTTAGGATCACAAGGTGCTGCCTTCCAAACGTAGACATCCGCTTAGGCGCCTTCTCGGACCGTATAGCCCGATTTTCGAACCGCGCGCTTTTTAGCCCGCGGAGTCTCTCAAGTCTCTCGCCACGACACTCTTGAGCCCGGTGCTCGTCCACTCCTTTCGCTGATTCGTGCACAGTCATGGCTCCGCCAACATCTATGCCTGGCGACACCTCTAGTGACACCCCTAGTCCCTCGGCGACCACCGGCATGCAGATCGTCCTGGCCGTGACCTTCCCGCTTATGGTCTTGTCTCTTCTAGTCCTCAAAGCCGTTGTATTCTACCGGAGACGCACACGAGAGAAAACTGCTGGCGGACAGAGCGTATTGAGTGTTGGCGTAACTGTTGACGTAGATAAGGTCATTGATCTTCCGTATCAACCCAAGGATCAAAGCTGTCAAGATCTGGACTGGACACCTGCGAAACGAGCCAGCATTGCTTATGCGGGAACAGTCTCATCTTTACCCTCGGACTCTTCTTGGAATATCGGAGCGGGAGTGGATTCCGATCGTTCTGCGAGCCCTACACCTTCTGCTCCTGAAAGCCCTTCACTTCGTCCTGGCCTTATTTCCAGTCACATTCGACCCCCAAAACGCGTCCCTCTCGGCTCCTATTTCAAGACGTACCCGAGCTCTGCAAGCGTTGCTTGCGCTCGCTTGTGTCCTCTTGCTGCTGCGTTCTCGGCAATGGATGTTGACGGTCTTGTCCAATCTACCGTTCGCTTCCCCCGACTACCGCCCGCACCAGATGATCCTTCGAACTTGTCTGGCTATCCTACCATTCCTTCCATTCCTTCGACGCATCTTATACCGGAGTCTTCTGTTGCTGTAATCACCTCTGACGACTCAGGCGCCAATTGCACGAATTCTAATAGTGAACACGACATTCCGGAGCCCGTCAGCGACGACTCCTTGGGTACACTTGTAGATTCTTCAGTATGTTCTCAACGCGTCGATAACTCTGCATATATGGACACCTCCGATGTCAAATCACAATCTTTGGAAAAATCCTTGTCTATTGCTAGCGATCAACCTCCGACTCGGAATCTGATGCGTCAAGAGGTCACTCTCAACACTAGGCGGCCTGTCTCCTCGTACAGCCCTCTTGTCTCTACGTCACTTTCGCCTTTGCAGGCGAGTTCAAGTCCTGCCGTCCTGACGATGACTATGATGCCTGGATCCCAATACACTACTAGGTTGCAGGGGGTCAGTACACCAATCATTCTCGCGTGTGTATGTGAATTAAATTGTTTTCTGCAGCGCCAGGAGACTCCTGACCTTGATACTTTCGTTGTTGCCGCAACGCCACTACTAGACGAAGCGCCACCAGATTCTCCTCAAACTGCCTTGTCTGTTGTGACGTGCGGGAAGCTGATTCAAAACAGCCAGAGTTCCAATGCAGCCGACGATCTTACAATGGGATGTAGGCATCCTGGGCGTGTAAGGCCTTTCGATCACCGCATGTGATGTCTTGGTTGTTGAACCTCGTTTCCAGGTGCTACAACCACTCTTCGAGAATTCAATTTCGTTCGACTGCTCTCAGACCGTATGTTGCTTGCATCCATCTTCGCTCCTTTATTTCTAACTCCAGCACTAGGACCATGCGCACCTAAGCATGGCGTCTTTGCGATCAGCATTCACTCTGTCCTACTCGCCCCCTCTCCGTTGCTCTCTGGCATCTTCTAACCTTCCTCTTACGTCAAAGGCGGCGACATTGCCAATGCGTGAATCTAAGCCGCCAGAGGATGCATCTCCCAATTCAGCTCTGCCTAAGCTCGCGCTCTCATCTCCTATGAACTCCTTCCACGTATCCTTATCCCCCTCTACATCGGTCGATATCACTGCGGCATACTCGCCGTCCCTTCTTTATTCACCTTTCCAGCGTCCCCACGCACCGACGCCAGGCTCCGTCGAAAGCCGTCTATTCGCGTACGCTCATTCCGACGTTGACCACCACGATGTTGAACACCGGACCGACTTCCTGACACCAGCTATGTATGACCGGTCTCTGTGTCGTCTGTCGACGAATCACAGTCTCGAGGGCATCTTACGGTCGCCATCTTCCCCGTTCTGTAGGCCTCGTGCACCGACGCCTGGATCTCTGGCGAGCATCAGCCCGCATTTCGAGATGGAAGACACTCCCAGCTCCTTCCGCCGCTTAATTTGGATACAATTCCACCCCTCTCGCTGTGATGACTGTAGAGCAATACATATTTTCTCTTGTTGTAGCCAGTGGTTCGAACGTGAATGAGGTTGCGAACAATGCGTGGGCTCTTGAATGCATCAGGCGCATCAGGCGCATCAATGGATTACTGCCCGCGGCAATGGGCTCTTCTCCCTACTGTTCCTATCGCACTGCTACTACTTCTACTCCCACTTGTATCTGAACAGAAACACACGACGGGAGAATCACGGCCCGGACGCCAGCAAGAACAAGATGGAGGGGTCATGTACGCGGACGTGGACGGACCGGGCGGAAAGACAACCTCTGTTCCCTCTACATAAGGACGTATAGCAGCAATGAGCAATAGAGAAGACACAGTTCTACCACCTCTCTTGCCAAGATGTGGGCACCACCTTCGCCTTTCGCGTCGAACCCCCTGCAGACCCGTACGGACTTGGCCCAGTTCCTGACGTCGCTCCTCGACCCTCTCGCAGCGCATACGTCGCCTGGGGGGTCACGCATCCACCTCGGCTTCACAGGCACACATTTTGACGAGACTGCGGCGCATCTCGAGGGCTTCTCGCGCCCCATCTGGGGCCTGGCGTCGCTCCTGGCAGGCGGCGGCACGTACACGGGCGCGGAACGCTGGGTGCGCGGATTCGAGAGCGGCACGGACCCGGAGCACGATGAGTTCTGGGGCGACATGCGCGACCGCGACCAGCGTATGGTCGAGTGCAGCGCCATCGGTTTCTGCCTCGCTGTCGCGAAGGAGCAGATCTGGGACCGGATGGGCCAGAGGGGGCAGGGCAACCTCGAGCGGTGGCTCGGCGGGATGAACGACAAGAAGATGCCGAACACGAACTGGCTGTGGTTCCGTGTGTTCTCGAACCTCGGTCTCAGCAGAGTGGGGTCGTCGTACTTCTCGTCAGAGCGTCTCAAGGCGGACATGGAGCACCTTGATACGTTCTACATCGGAGACGGATGGTCGAGAGACGGCCCTGAAGGAGTCCTTCAACTTGGTGTGTAAAGTGTAATCGTTTGTGAACAAGCTACTGAATTGGTACAGATTACTATTCCTCTTCATTCGCAATCCAATTTGCACAACTTGTGTACAGCAAACTTGCGTGGAACGAAGACCGCACGCGGTGCGAAAATTACAGAGAGCGTGCTAGGCTCTTTGCCAAAGACTTCGTCTGGTATTTTGATGCAGAAGGTTAGTCCTTGATTGATACGTCCGAAGACAACTGTCGTTACATTGCATACGTCAGGTCGAGCTATCCCATTCGGACGATCGCTCACCTACCGCTTCGCCATGTCTTCGTTCTGGGGTGCATGCGCTTTTGCCGACCTGGAGCTCCCTTCACCTCTCACCTGGGGTGTAGTCAAGGGACTACAATTACGGAACATCCGCTGGTGGGCGAAGCAGGCGGGTGCATACAACGTAGACGGCACTCTGACTATCGGCTACGTCTACCCAAATATGGCGATGACGGAAAACTACAACTCTCCTGGATCGCCATACTGGTGCTGCAAGTCCTTTATCTCCCTCGCTCTCCCAGAATCGCACCCATTCTGGGCAGCGCAGGAGGAACCCTACCCTCTTCACTTGCTCAGCTCATTCACCAAATCTTTACACAAACCTTTCCATATTGCCACGCACTCCGCGACGTCCTCAGCAGCACTGGCACATTCTTACATCTTGTCTAGTGGCCAACGCTGCTCGTACGCCGTGAAAAATTCGGCTGCAAAGTACGGCAAGTTCGCGTATTCTACCGCCTTCGGGTACAGCGTTGCAGTCTCAAACGGCCTGGGTGGTCCCGGGCTCGAGGAGGTCGGCGCGGACAGTGTGCTCGCCTTCCGGGACCTCGAGCATGTCGTCCTCGGCGGCAAGAATGCCGACGTCGGCGCTGCGGGTGCTGCAGGTGCCGCAGATATCGACCTCGAGGACGAGGGCTGGCGGTGTCGCCGTCGCGTCGACGACGCACGGTTCAAGAGCACCGGTCGCAGGGAAGAACTGCTCAGAAGTGTCTGGCGGCCGTACCCCGGCGTCGAAGTCGAGACGTGGCTCGTGCCGCCGGCCCCCGAATCGCCGCTCTGGCACTTGAGGGTCCACCGCGTCCGGAGCACCCGCAGGCTGGCGGTGGCGGAGGGTGGCTGGGCCGCCGACGGCCAGCGGTGGGACGGGCGGCACCTCGATGCGGTTGCGGATGTCTCCGAGTTCGTCACACAGAGGGCGAACAGGACACGAGGCTACGGATACCTCGAGAGTGAGGGCGGTGATGCCGTCGGCGCGGCTGTGCTGACTGTCTCCAAGAGCGGCGTGAGCGGGATCGTGGACCTGTCGCCAGACGAATTCGCGCCTGCTGCTGGCGCGAGGCGGGCGGGCAGGGCGCTACGTACGGATGCGAACACGAGCTTGATGTTCCCCCGTGCTGTGGTGCCAATGCTTGTCACAGAGCTCGAACCCTCGAAGGAGGGCAGGGATCTCTGGTGGGTTACCGCCGTGTTTGGTGTGCCCGCCCGCGATGGCCAAGAAGGCCCGCCGGAGGGCTGGCAAGCAGAGTGGGCGAAAAGCCCTGTCATTCCAGAGGAGATTGCGAAGTTGATTATATAAGCAGTATGTGCTTCTTGCATTCTTGTGAGAAGAGTTAATACATCCACTCGTTGTATTGTATAAAGTTCATCAAACAGTAAAACTTGAAAAGGCATGACCTGGATGCCGGTCACAGGACTGGAAGGTCTCGTCAGTGACTAGATAATATTTAAGAGTAAGCTAACAAACGTACCTCCGTCGCCAATGCAGAGACGGGGAAGTAAGCTGTTATAATACCGACCAATTTTACTGTATTCACACCTCCGCGTCGAGAGAGTGTGCGGTGCGTGTTTCAGCCTTCCACAGAGCCACGCGAATGCGGAGTCGTCCCATCGGTATTTTCGCTCGTCGTTGTCGTTGTCGTAAGACATACCACCCAAGCGGCTAGCGTACTGTAACACCGATATCGTCAGCCAATCGTGGAAAGCTACAGCCAAGGGAGACACTTGCCTTGTCGTACACCTCCCAACGCGCGCTTTCCCAGCCTTCGATGTCGTGCTCCTCGATTACGTCCACAAGAGCTTCAAAAAGCTGTTCCGTGTATCTGTCACTCCAGTAGTAAATGATATCGCCAGTGGAACCATCCATCCAAGACCTCATGTCTTTGCTATTGTCTTTAGGTGCACGATAAAGGACTTCTCGAAGCCTGTCAACAGAAGGTGAGGAAGGGAGCAAACTATCTGGTCGCGACGGGTATTTTGGGACAAGAGTTATCAGAGCGCCTCTCATGGCCTCCTCTCTTCGCCGCCTGTTGAGGTCAAAGACGAAGTCTTCGTCCCCCACTTTATCGAGCGCTTCGTTATATACATGCCACAGCCATTCTGGGAATCGCGGTTTCATGCGGAGGGGGCCGGGGGTGACAACCCATTCATCATCCGGGTCCAGGAGTTTATCGGTGCGTGGGGACGAGTACAGGAAAACGCTATCGGTAGAGCAAGCGTCAGGTGCAGGGAATATCCCGCCTGCGTTCTTAGGCTTAGCGTGAAACCTATCTTTCAACTTGTCCAAGCTGGAATCCGTTGTTCAACAGTCAGTGCAATCTGCAGGATTTCTGAGCATTGTCCACGTACTATGCCTCGAATGCCTCTGGACCACCGTGTTTTCTCCAAGCCTGCCTCTCTACGGCGCGTTCGTTGTATAAGAACATGGGCTTGATGACGTTCTGGCCATTTATTACTGTGATCGTTCTACACTCGAGGTGAACGAGAAATCAGCATTTGAACAAACGATCGAGGCGTATGATACCGGGTCTGGGACGTACTCTGCCTTCTCAAATGGGATGCTGGCCAAGTCTTGTTCAGCCTGTACTGCCTCAAAACAGCAGTCCTGTTGAGCTATGCAGTGGTGTCAGTGAGTCCATCCGGCATCCAGCAGCATAGACTGAGTGTACCTTCTTGTGTATCCTGACCCTGCTCGCCCTCCATGTAGACTCGTCCGTCGCGGCGGCAGTTCGCCTGGCTTTCCTAGGCGATTTGGGCGGCGAGTAAGGAGTCTTCTTGAGAACCTTCTTGCGGGCCTCCTTGACAGAGTCTTTGGGCATGTTAGTGTGCAGGTGATTGTTACGATCAAAGAAACGAGAATGCCACGAAGACACAGGTGTTGGGACTGAGTGCCGGGACTGGAGTATTGTGCGCGAACCGACGACCAAGACAAACCTCCGGCGGGTCATCGCTATGTTTGGTGTGCCCGCTGACGAAGGCCAAGAGGGTCCACCGGAGGGCTGGGAAGCAGAACGGGCGAAGAGGCCTGTCATTCCGGAGGAGGCCTCGAAGCTGGCGGTATGAGCAGCGTGCACTTCCACACTCTCATGATAATAAATGATACATTCACTGCATATATTGTACAAAGATTCCCGAAAGTGCATACTTGGTTTATTACAAAACTGAATGGTTTCATCAGCAGTCAGATGTATCGGGACAAGCCACAGACGTACCACCTCTGCCAATGGCGAGACGAGGAAGCATATTGTTGTACCGTCGACCAATCTCGCTGTACCCACACCTGCGCGTCGTGAGGGCGTTCGGTACGTGTTGCAGCCATCCGCAAAGCCATGCAAACGCGGAGTCGCGCCACTCGTCTTCCCGGTCGTTGTAGCAAAGGCCATCCAGGCAGCTGGCATACTATTGTACCAATACCGTTAATGTATCACAAAACCTGCAGCTCGAGGGAATACTCGCCTTGTCGCGCACTTCCCAGCGCACGTTCTCCCAGCCTTCGATGCCATGTTCTTCAATCACATCGATCAGAGCCTGGAAGAGCTGCTCCAAGTATCTATCGCTCCAGTAGTAGTCAGTGTCGCCGGTGGGACCGTCCTCCCAGGATTCCATGTCCTCGTCGTCACTGCTCTTGGGTGTACGACTGAGGACGTCTCGAAGCTTGTCAACAGAAGGGGAGGAAGGAAGAAGACTGTCAGGTCGCGGCGGATACTTTGGAACAAGGGTCGCCAGGGCAGTTCTCAAGGCCTTCTCCCTCTGCTGCTTCTTAAGCCCGTGATACTCAAAGTTGAACTCTGAGTCTCCTATCTTGTCAAGCTTCTTATTGCATGCGCGCCACAGCCACCTCGGAAACTGCGGTTTGATGTTGATGAGACCGGGCGTGACGACCCATTCATCGTCTGGGTCCAGGAGTTTAGGGGCGGGCGGAAGGGAGAATATGCCGACGGTAGCAGTGGAGTACGCAGAGGGCGCGGAGAAGAACTTGTGTCTGTTCTCTGGCTTGGCGTAGAACCTCTCTTTCAACTTGTTCAGACTGTGAAGTTCATTGCTTGACGGTCAGCGCAATGCACAAATTGCCAAAGCCTTGCTACACGCACTATGATTCGAACGCCTCTGGACCCCCGTGCTTCTTCCAAGCCTGCCTCTCTACGTCGCGTTCATTGTACAAGAACATGGGCTTGGGTTTCTTCTCGCCATTTATGATCACGACTGCTCTGCGTGGATGTATAAAGCGTCAGTATCTGAAAGGCGCAACATGGGTATCGAACTCGAGTTTGGACTTACTGTGATGTCTCACGTCGGAGACCGGCCAAATCTTGCTCCTTCAGCCTATACAGGCTCAGTGCAGAAGACTTGTTGATCTGAGGAGCAAGTGTCAGTGAAGTTGTCCTGCACCGACCGGAGTAGTCAAGCGCACCGTCGTGCCTGCTCCGATTGTGCTCGCCCTCCATGTCGACTCGTCGGTCGCGGCGGCAATTTGTTTGAGTTTTCTGGGCGACTTGGTGGGTGAGCGGGGAGTGCTCTTCTTCGGCGAATCCTTGGGCATCTCAACGAGGGTGATCATTGTTGCGATCAAAGAAGCGAGGGCGCATCATAAGAAGGAGAAGCGTCAATGATGCAAGACGCTCCTGTCGCAAATAATTCCCACCATCCAACCTGAACAGCGGTTCTGAACTTGCAAGAAAGTGCGCTTTACTGCATACACTTGCAGTCTGGGATAAAATTCACCAGAGATAATCACATCGTCGGAGGAATGTGCACTGTGCAGCTAGCTAGTAAGAAGTCGGCACTCTCATCCGAACATATTAAACATTCATTCTGTGCATCACTCAATACAGATATACAAAAACACTTCGGAAGAGTATGACCTCGATGCTAATCACATAATTACGTCGACAAGAGCCTGGAAGAGCTGCTCCGTGTATCGGTCGCTCCAGTAGTAAGTGATCTCACCACTAAGGCCATCCGTCCAGTACTCGACGTCTTTGCCGCCGGCAGCCCCAGGTGCACGACCAAGGACCTCTCGAAGCTTATCGACAGAAGGTGAAGAAGAGAGGGGGTTGTCTGGTCGCAGCGGGTACTTCGAGGCGAAGGTCGTCAGAGCGGCCCTCATAGCCTCCTCTCTCTGGCGCTGATTTAGCCCGTGATATTCTACGTCCCACTCCGACCGCCCTATTTTGTCGAGTGCTTCGTTACATGTTCGCCATAGCTACCTTGGGGTCTGTGGTTTGATGCGGAAGAGACCAGGGGTGAGGACCCATTGGTCATCTGGATCCAGGAGCTGAGGTGCGGGTACGAGGGAGACTACCCGGACGGTAGCAGTGGAATATGCAGAGGATTCAGAAAAGGTTTTGAATCTGTTCCCAGGCTTGGCGTAGAACCTTCCTTTCAGTTTTTTCAAATCCAGAGTTCGACGGTCAGTGCAATGCATGACATGTCAAAGCCTTGCTCCACGCACTAGGCTTCAAATGCCTCTGGGCCACCATGTTTCTTCAAGCCTCTCGCTCTACGTCACGTTCATTGTATTAGTGCATAGGCATGAGGGCCTTCCGGCATCTAATAATATCAAAGTTCGGCCAAGTCGTGTTTCTTCAACCTATACAATTTCAATGCAGAGGACTTCCTGATCTGAGGGGCTATGTCAATGGAGTCGCATGGTCCGAGGTGGCAACAAAACGCACCGTCCTGTCTGCCCTGATTGCGCTCGCTCTCCATGTCGACTCGTCTGTCGCGATGTTGGAAGTCTTGGTCTGTCTGACCTTCTTCCTGGGCGACTTGTTCTTCTTCGGTGATCCGTCGGGCATGATTGTTGCGATCAAACAAGCGAAGGCGCCAAGATAAAAGACGCGCGCCCGTGCTTTGAGCTCCTGCCGCCCTCATTGGCATCGAGCGCGTCGGCGCGTGCATCGAGCACGATACGTGGTCGACGAAGGTTCACTTCTCAGGTTGCGCCTGGCTGTTCGCGGGCGGTACATGGTGTAGGGGGAATTGCCCTGGGAGAAGAAGGCCCTGCAGAAGCAGATCTACATCGCCTCCGCATCCGCGCGTTGGCCTGGGTCGATGGCTTCCCCGCGCGCGGCTTCACTCCACCTCGACACTCGCGCCCCTGACTGGCTCGCGTACGGAGCAGCACGGGGCAGAGCGATACCACGGTGCTTTCATTACGTAAGCGTCGGTGTTGCGACCTCCGGCTTCGTTACTCGCGCTCTTCATCTTGTATGCTCAACAACAAATCTCTTGGACTTGCAGGGAGAAGTCTTTTATCCATCCGAGTCTGTGCTTGCTGTACGCTTCAACAACCTATAAGTACGTGCTGGTCCTCTAAACTCGTCCCGGTATTCAGTCCGGAGGTAAAGCAGCATGAGTCACTAGCGTGAAGGGGGGCCGCCGCGTGCAGATCGCTTCGGAGCGGCACAGTATTCTGCTACCCGCAAGGTCACGTAGGCCCTATTAACACTGCCCTTCGCTCCAGGGGACGAGCACCCGACTGTGCTTGTGTAGGCATTCAAGTTTATAGCGCTCATACTAGCCCAAGTACTGTCAACACGGTATCCGGTAGGCTGCGAGCTACCTGTTTGCAGCCACCTCCGTTGATCAGTATTTGCACCCAATAGCTAGCCAGCTCAGGGGATGATTAGCATCGCGCACGCACTATTCCCTGGCCGTCCCGCTGACATGCTCTATTGGCGGCGGCCGCCTATGTCATTGGCCATTACGGCGTCTACGGTAACTCGCTCCGTACGTTACTGTGGTGGTGTTTTCCCCCTACGCTGTTGACGCGATAGCCAGCTCTGAGAAGTGTTAATTATAGGTGGTCATATAAAGCTGAGGAATGCAAAACGCCGCCCCTCATCATCTCGTTCCTCCCCTCAACCTACCGTCGACATCATGTCGGCACCTGTCTCGTTTCCTGCCCCCATCGGCGGCGTACCTTTTGACAACGATTTTACTCCTTCTGTTTTCTTCGCCTTGCTGTATGCCGCCGTGTGTCTTCTTGGTTTCTGGCGTCTAGCACGCGAGCATTCTCGCACAATGCTCGTCGTGACTACCCTCATTTTCACCATCGAGCGGTATGTCACACATCCTTCTTCTGACGACTCACATCAGATGCTAACTTCTGAAACAAGCGTCGTGGTTTGGCTCCTCCGGGCGAAACAAGCGAAGACGCCCTCCGATGACTTGAGCAAAAACCTCACGGCGTACTGGCAGATGACCTTCAGCGCCAATTACATCGCGATGTACGGCAAACTCATCGTGCTGCTCAAATCGCTCGTTATGGATGTGCTCAAACCCGTTCCTGCGCCTATCGTGCTACAACCCGGGAACTTTACTCAGACCGCCGACCCCGAGGCATCTACGTCTTTCCTTCACCACTCGTCGCAGCAAGACAAATACCGCGAGGTGCCGTCTAATGAGTCGAAAACAGAGCTGGTTGAACGTGAGGGGGACCTTGCAGCCGCACACAAGCGCAAGATATTCACGCGCATCTCCACGGGTCTGGGGCTGCAAGCGTTGTTGCCGGTCCTGACTGGCCTCGTCATGAGCCAGCTGTACGTCGGGGCCGAGACAAATGCGAGCAAGGCAAATATAGTGCGGCTGCTGAGGTAAGTCGTTCCAGGTTCCCGCCAGTGCCTCTTAGTGACGCTGGGCAGGTTTGCGATCGCCGGCATGTGCTTTGCCATCCTTATGGCCTTGCAGGGGATGTGCTTCTGGGCACGTCGTCTCCCGGGCATTCGCAAAACTCCGTTGATGCTCATTGTTGCTCTCGGACTCATACTCGTATGTTTGTCTCGGATTCTGAGTGTAGAGTCCGTTTGAATATTCTGCCCTTAGACCATCATTCCCTCATACCACCTCTTCATAATGGGAAACAACACAACGTCACTCATCTCGACCGCACCAGGTTCAGGCAATACGCCAGCGGAGAAGACCGCATTCTACGTCTTCCAGGTCATGGTCGAGCTTGTTACCAGCGGCACTCTACTGGGCATCAATGCGAAGGAAGTCTTCGGCTTGTGATGGGTTTGTGTAGGGAAGATCTCTTTACGTTTCGCATACGGTAGACATTCTTTGACCCAAGACGGAAGATTGACATTTCGCTACTCCATCAGGAAACAGCGTCTTGCTGCGTAGCAGGGGCGTCTACTACCACCAGCCACCGCGTCTGCGCTTGCCGCTTAGTGCATGCGCAAGGCTCAGGAGAGCCTGGTAGCACTTAGCAGCTGCTCATATGCACCACCTAACTCTGGCTAATTTCTCGCGCCATAGACTAGATTTGTATGTAAAACATGTGCTTACAACATTAGTGAATGAAACTAAATAGTATACAAAATTTTGATCATGACACTTGAAGCGTGAAGTACTGTCCGAAGGTGGTATACTCTTCACTTGCTCAAGTACGGGAATGTCTGCCCTAAATTAACGGATGATGGCACGGCCGATGGTAACAAGCGCCCGAACATCCCTCGTTCCACGTCACCACCGCGCTGCGTCAGCCTATGTCGGCGGTGTCAGTCAACGGGCAACGCGTCGACGCCATACACGTCCTTGTGTAAGTTATGTTCTTCTAACATATACCATA